ATGTACATGATATATGTAATTTCATATCTTGATAACAATATATAACACGATATACCATGTTCCACCACCTGAGTGTAACCATGAGTAGAATACTCGTCATCATCAATTTAGACAAAGTAATTGTGTAAAATGATATCCCGATACATGATTTCGTCACACCTATTCGTCTATCATATGCACCTTCATGACAGGTGTGTAGCAGTCAGACATTGTCGCCATGATGGTAACATTTTCACTTCCATAGGACAGAGCGGGGCCTTTTGCTTTGCCACTGACAAATGTCGTGTTTGTATTTTTGGACATCTCGTTGTAAAGATCTATATTACACTCTTTGCTGATGTCAAAGATTCCCACTGCGTACTTGTTTGACTTCACGTTTTGGTTAAATGGAACCCGGAACAGCACAGCTATTTTCTTAGAGGGGTCTTTTGTAGAAATATTGAGGAGATCGTAGGTGAAGACCCCGACACAACCTCTTGCTGCGATTTGAGGCTTGCCAAACAACGCCTCTCCAGATGAGGACGGTTGAACGCTATCGGGCAGATCTTTGATGCAGCGTCCAATATGGAGGTACTTTCTAGAAATAACAGAAACATGTATGGGAACTGATTTTAAAATAAGAAAGAATATAACGAGAAAAAAAGTTGCTTTTACCTGGGGTTACAAAGACTGTAGTTCGAACAATCATTTGTAAGCATGACTCTGCACTGGCGTTGTGTTGGTATCTGTTTAGCAAATTGTGATACAACTTCAACTCCGTCAGATGCCATCGATGCTATACTGTCAGCATTTTGAAGGGTGTCAACTATCTCCATTTCTGCAGTGTGATCACCTGCTCAGACAGGTATTAATAAAATAAGATGTCGCTTTAAAATCACTTCCACAAATGTGAACGGAATAACATTCCTGCCATGAACGCGTCCATTGTGATAAGAAGCTGATAGTACAGAGTTATTTAATTAGACCTACCTGGTTATTCTTAACTGGGATGAAGTCCTCTGAAGAACAGCTGAAAGCTCTGGCTGTCACTTGCCTTGTTATACAGGTGATGGAGGTTAAGCCCTGGTTCTCCAGGAAGTTGGATAGAGATGTACGGTAACTGTAAACACCCACACATACCTTATGGTACAATGTTGGCAGAGGAATGTGACTCCACCTCTCCAGAAGACATAAGAGATAGCAGAGGCCTGGAAGGTATTACTTTATTAAAAGCTGTATATGAATGTCTGTTACAAATTTCTTGGGAAACTTATCCAATAGTAGTTGAGACATTCCAATGAAACCCAACAAATAGAGTAGATGCTGAGATTCTCCACAAGGTGTGTGAAAACTGTGAACCTGATCACCAAACTCCAAAGACCCAGCACGGCTACAAGTCTACGGCTTAATCTACTGAACATTTCACTTTGTGTTGTTTGCATCAAGCAGAATGCAGCGGCTCAGGTTTGTTTTTGCAGGTTTTAATAAGAGAGACAAGAAAACCAGGTGATGCTCATCGTTCAACATGCCAGTCCAATCGAAAGTATTTAGCTCTCATGTTGCCAAGTAAGTTATGAAACAAAGGTTGTGTAACTTGGTATAGTGACAGAAACCTCTGTGGGAGACGGTTTATTTTATCCATGAGCCTAACTGAGGTTTAACTTTAATCAAGTAAACTTAACACAAACAAACCCTCCGTGGTAAAGAGAAGATACAGTGAGTCATATTGGTCCTTTTTTTGTTTACCACATGGTAAAGCCTGGTTTTGTATAATTCTGTGTGAAATTTCAAGTGAAATTTCCCCAAAAATAAATACATTTACTGACTTCGTTGACATGCATGAACACAAATACAGACCTGAGTGTATCCATGAGTAGAATTCTTAACAATTAAGATTTTCTGAGAACGCTGCATTAGTATGTGCTCGTTATTATCAATTTAAGCAAAGTAATTGTGTATCACGATATCTTGATAAATCCTCAAATTGAATATCGGCTCTCCGTCTGTCACACGCACCTTCGTGGTTGGTTTGTAGCCGTCAGACATTGTGGCCATGATGGTAACACTTTCATGGGACAGACTGGGGCCTTCTGCTCTGCCTCTAACAAATGTCAGGTCTGTATTTTTGAAGTGTGCAGACAACAAGAGGAAAAAAAAAGACAGGACAGTTAACACAAGTTTCGCCAAGAGAATAAGGTGTTGTTAGTTATCGTGTTTTTCTGTGTGTGTGTGTGTGTTCCACACTGTCGGCCCTTGAAAGACGAAGTAGCCTCTTCCAAATGTGCCATTGTGCACTTCCACAACTTAAAATACTTTTCATCTGCCCGTGGAAGCTAAATGTTTCTCTTCTCAGGTGTGCGTCTGTAGAACACACTGTTCTGTTTGCTAGTTTCCACCTGACAAAGCTTTGTTTTGGAGGGCAGATGCAGAACCGGGTTGTATTGAGTCGGGTGTCTGGGGAGCCTGGAGTCCAGACCGGCGGGTGAACGTGATGGTTGGGGCCGACATCCAGCTGGGACGTGTTCACCTGCCTAGAAAACCCGAGATATTCTATTGAAATATGGCCTCAGTACCAGTTATGAAACCGGTGCCATTGGAGCCGAGAGAAAATGAACCATACTTTGGTGTTGAGGGAGATCTTGAGTAGATAATAAGGAGAATATAGTATATGAAACAAAACTCAAACCCTCTATACTAAAGAGAAATCTGAAATCAAACACCATTACTCAGCTTGTTTCCAAGATATTTAGTCAACTGATCTATAGAGGGAACCATAAGTGCATCTTTGGAGGGAAGGGGAAACAACACTGCATGGAAATGCTATTGACTCAGAATTCCCCCCCAAAAAATAAGAAACAGTTGCTGTTACACTGATCTGATATTGTTGAAATGTAGAATAATAAACCGATTTTAAATGTTGGGTGCTGAGAGGGCTGCTAGATGTTGGCAACGACGCTCACTCAGCATTTCCAGGAGCCTTTACTCACGCTGTAACTGAGACGAGACAAAGAGGCGGGAGGCAGGCAGAAGAGTCGTAAGTGTGTTGATAATTGTCTCCTCGATATTGATGTCCATTAGATAGGTATAAAGCACCCTGCTCCTCTCAATCCCCCCACATACACACAGCACCAGATCCTCTTCCCTTCCCACAGCGCTGAATCTAAGATTCCCAGCACTTAGCATTGATTATTAATGGAAGGTTTGAAAAGAAAAGGGGGGGCAGAAACTGATCTCTTTATGCACACTGGCGTTAAGAGAAACACGTCGGGGGGGTTCCCAGCCGATCTCTTCCCAGAAACCCGACTGATGGAAAGTGCATGTCGTGTGTAAAGAATTTCTGCTGAGAATGGTTTGGTCTGAGGGGTCATGGCGATGTTTGAGGACAATGATCACGCTTAATTTTGCCCTAGAATATGTGTGTTGACATTAGTCTGAGCAGCACTGGGGGGGGGGACAAGACACAACTTGGGACTGCAATCTGCATCCCGTTGTGCAACCCTGTTGTACGATGACATTAAAATAACCTTGTAACCCTCATGGACAAAAAATTAGAAGAAAACTAAATCTCCAACGAAGAAGGACAGCAGGTGAGATCTCACCATTAGCCAAATGTGTGAACAACTCTTTATGACGGCTTGGAGTCAAGAGGAGGGAGCAGATAACACCTCCCCCTCTCCGTCTCATCACAGATGACATCAGTCTTTAACTGGCACGTGAAAGAGATCCAGATGTTGTTTTCTAGTTTATCTAAAAAGTGTGTTCCCTCGGTGCGGTTTTACTCATCTTCCGTCCCTGCGGAGTTAAATGTGCGTCAGCAAGTTGCTCAGCGCCGGCTGGGCCCGGCTATCTCTTCATCGGCTCCTGGTCCTCTTCCTCCATTAAATAAATAAATAAATAAAAGAATGCACTGAGGCGCAGTTACGCATTGTTATTTAGATATTTTCTTTGAGCTCACGAGTTTCGGTGTCCATGGAAATTCTAAAATGTAGTTTTAGAAGCTTCTCCATCAGCATGAAACACCCTGTATGCATTTAAGATGAACAACGGAGCACTCATCTATTCATTATTTGCTCTGTGCCACATTCCCTTTGCAAAGCTGAGTCAGCTGGAGCGAGCTTTCTTTTGACTCGGAGGTTTCTGCGTCTGGTTCGGCCAGCCTGAGTGAGCGGACGAGGATGTGGGCCACCCTTCCTCCCGTGGGGGTCCTCCGCGTCCCTCGACTGAACTCGAACCTATAGTGTGCATAAAATATCCACATGCCTGCGTCTTCTCCGCAGCCTGGGGGGAACGCAATAATGCCTCGGCTAATCCGATTACATTAACAATCCCAAAGGGGAAATCGCTGCACATCTGCAACGGACCGATAATTATGTTGCCTCAGATGTTTGTTTCTTTATGTCTTTGGAAGGCCATCAGTGTTTCGTTTTTTTTTTTTATTGCTAATGTTGAAATCGCTTCATTTTCAGTCTCTCTTATCCATTAAATCTTATATCTGAGGCGATCTACTGAACACAGAATGGCAAAATGCTTAATTGCTGTATTATGCAACGATTGCACTTGTTTACTCGGGCGACGTGAAAGGATATGGCAGCACTGGCTGCACCATTGCAACGTATTTGGGGCAGTTTAGCAGACGAACAGCGGTGCGCAGTAAGTTATCGCGAGGGTGGAGCTCACACTGTCCTGGGAAGGCCTGGAAAAAAAAAAAGCCAATAAGACGACCACATATTGTCAAAAATACCGTTTCAAGTTTAAGAAGAAACGTGTTTGCTTGATTGCATAACATTTCAAATTCCTTTTGATAGTTTGATGGTGGCACAGGAAGTGGAAGAAGTTGATCTTGTCAGTATAAAACAACTTTTGAGGAGGGGAGATGAAATATGAGCAAAGGAGCATGTGACTGAGTTAATGAGTGATACAGAAACTAAACTATATGAGATCACTTACGCACTTGCTACTGTATGTTACAAACCACCATTTAAATAAGACTTAATACTTAAGCTTCTTCTGTCCTCTTGCAGGTTGGGATTCTCTATTTCCAGCCCAGTGTTTTCCGCTGCATCCTGCTGCGATGGGTTCGACTGCTGGGCTTCGCTACCGTCTACGGGACACTGACTCTTAAGTTGTACAGGTAACACACACATCTACACAAAACCATTTGTCCAACGTCATTATCCATCCGAGGAAATCGGATTACATTGACCTCTTTAAGTGCAATTACGCTGTGTCTTACGCGTTAGCTCCTTGTAAAAGTAGGAGCCTCGTGAAGTGTGGAGGGCAGCATGTTCCTCTGCTAATTCATCACCAGACTACACCGCTGCACATGTTTAGGGGCGAATTCACTGCCTCATTATGTGGAAGAGGGAAATGCCAAGTAAAAGTAATTAAGACAACGCGGGGTGCTTTGGCCCCAAATGATCCCCCATACATAACGTAGTATTGAATGATGGCTGGCAAGAAACAAACTGGGAGACAAATGTGTGAGGTCAAGGAAGCGAAAGGACAGCTGGAGGGATACAGTGAGGGAGGGGCTTTATCCAGCATTGAATAATCTATAATGAGACGGGGGGGGGGGGGGTCTGCTGCATTTAAAGTAATGCACTTAAAATAGTTCATCTGAGGGTTTTTCTGTCAGGTGAACCTGTCGAAAAGGCCCAATGAAGATCCTGATGAAGGGGATGTGGCTAATGCGAGCGGGAGTCGAGTAAACCCTCAGAGATGCAATTTAACATATTGCACAGATCAATTTTTGATGGGGGGCTCATTAGCAGTGGACACTTCATCAATGTGCGTGAAGGGCACAGCCTAAGAATAGCGATGGCTGTTTGAGTTTAATTCCTGTTACACGGCCTTTGTGTTTGTGTCTGTGGAGTTAAAGCTGCATACTGTCGTGTAGAAACGCTCAGAATAACTGCGGTGAATGATGATGCATTTCAGAGCTGGACAAACATCAAACCTGAAGGAGAAATAATACATCCTTAAGTACTTCAGCTCATTGCTATATGACATTAATCGAGTATTTCTGAGTTTACTCCTCCGTTGTAAATCACTGGTTAAAATCTGTTAAGATATTTGCATTTTTAACATTTTAAAATGTGACATTTTCTTCCAAACTAAACCACAGTTTGGGTAATTTGTCTGACAAAATCAATCATAAGAACTTGTCTGATCTGGTCGCCCTATTGGCCGAACATCATTCAAGGTGACAATTTTCTGATGTGCCTCACTCATATTAAGCTTTTTTAGGGCAAAGAAAAACGACTTGTTTATGTTGGAGCTTCATTTGTCTTGGCTCGGAGGAATGGCTTGTCACCAAAATACATCACATCAATCATCAAAGCAGAGCGTCGGTATTTATGACGGTAATTAAAATCATACCGTCTGGATTTCAAAGAAACCAGCGTAGACTGTTGCGAGGAAACCGGATGCAAACAAAGTGGCAGTACCTGCTCCTTTACTTCTGAGACACAAATCACAAGAGGTCCATGTCATATTTATGGGTTTGGACAAATAAAAAAAAGGAATAGTCCCAAAGTTTTTGAGAGTCAAGGGTAACAACCTGCTGTAGAGAGAGCATTTTAGATTATAGGCAAGGCAAGTTTATTTACATTGCACATTTCAGCAAAAAGGCAATTCAAAGAGCTTTAAATAAAACATCAAAAGACAAAAAAGAGGACTGCAAAAGAAACACATTCATGTAAATACAATTTAAAAGCTGCCATTTAAGAGCCAAGAAAATAAAAACAAGCTAAAATAGATTAAGACAGTTATGTAAAAGAGTGCATTATATAATAAAATGCAGCAGCAAACATTAGGATAATAGATAGTTTGGTAAAGTAACATCAGTAGGTCATAATGCATCTAGCTCTTGTCTTTTGCTGTCATCTGTTATATCTGCACATATAAGGGTTGCTAAAGGGCATTCTGGGAAATGTAGGAACTCGATTAGAGACGTAGGCCCCAGGAGAGTTCAGGTGAGGGGGATGAAAGGTGAACGTTGTCCCTTCTTTGTGTGGTCTTTACAGTTGGAATTATTCCTGCCATAATCTACAATGATGATTTTTTTTTTGTGATGGTCTCAAAGTGAACTTCTCGTCTCCGCCCCCCCCCCGCCCCCCGCAGGGTGCTGAAGGTGTTCCTGTCCCGTACCGCCCAGAGGATCCCCTACATGACCAGCTGGCGAGTGCTGCGTCTGCTGGGCATCATCCTGCTCATCGTCTGCTGGTTCCTGGTGGCCTGGACATCTGCCGTCTGTCAGAACCCGGACAGGAAGTTGGCGCTCATCGACGTGGGCTACACGCCCGACGGGCTGCAGTTCAGCATGTGCCTGCTGGATCGCTGGGACTACATGATGGCTGTCGGTAAGCCCTCTGCCTTGACTTACACACACTGAACTCTGCGTGCGAGTGGGTTATCTGAGGTTACTCGTGGCATTAAATCAAGAAGTAATTAGTTTGACATGAAAAGCATTTTGAGAGAGACAAGAAAAGAGAAGATGGATGAGTGAAACAGTTTGCCCCCATCTACATTTGGCGATGATCTCGCACTTCCCAAAAGTAGACGTTAATCCCCTCCACCGGGTGCTACACTTTTTTGGATATTTTCCTGTGCTGTGTGAGGAGAGGGCAGATGAGAAATCAAAGATGCTCGGAGGAAAGCAGCAACTCGCAGTGAGGAAATCCGCATGCTGTTTTTACGTCTGCTGACTCGGGCTTAAACGAGAGAACCGAGGTCCTTTTGTACTTCTGGGAAAACAGATGGACCCCCAGCAGAGCCGTCCTGCTGCGATACTGTATACCGAAGGCACATTTTCATTCTGTTCATTAGGAGGTAGAAATCGGTCGGTAATTGGGTAGTGCAAGTCAGCGCTGACGTCACTTCATGCAGCTCATAAATTACAAAAAAACACCAAGACGCAATAAATCTTTCTGATTTAGAAATCCGCACCTGCAAACACTCGCAGTGAGAGGTGTAATTGTAATACATTTGACATTTTTTTGCTTCACATGACATTAAAATAAGCTAGTTTCAAACCAGTATTGATCTATTATTTAGCACACTTTATTAAGTATGCACAAGAAAACCGCAGCTTCAGTGTTGCAATGATGTGTTGATTTAATCTAAAATATTATTTTCCATTTAATTACATTTGTCTCATGTTCTTGTAGACCCTCCAGCATTTCTATGGTTACTGTGTAAAAAAACGTCCTTTTAAAGTCATTATGTCGGATTTTTCCCTAATATTTAAGGCACCTTTTAAAAAGGGTTTATAAATTGACATTGTTAGTAGTTAAAATGTTGTTTAGAATTTTAATGTTAATGTCATGAATGAAGCTTTGATCTATTCGGTCCAGCCAAACTAAGAAACGGATCTCTATTGGAAATTGAAAGCTGTGGATTTTTTCATTCATTTTAGATATTTTGATCTTCACATGCCCTCACACAACCATGACAAATACCTCTTCTGTGAGTGGCCAATTGCATCAAATGCTCACAGTTGCTCCTGTTGTGAGGAATACATGCGATTCACTCCCTACAGTTAAAGCAAAGGACACAATATATATATGTGAAAATAAGGGCAGCATGTTTATTGCTTGGCTGCCTAGGAGACATTACACGGAGTTGCCATGGAGGTGCACAGGGACTCACTTATTGTCCAGAGAATACAACCACAGCTGTTACAAATGAGGGCATTCTCCCGTGTTGTTGCACTGCGTACAAATGTTCACTGTGTTCACCGCCTCTCTCTCTTTCTCGCGTCGCAGCTGAGTTCCTCTTCCTGCTGTGGGCGGTGTACCTGTGCTACGCGGTGAGGACGGTGCCGTCGGCGTTCCACGAGCCGCGCTACATGGCCATCGCTGTTCACAACGAACTGGTCCTGACGGCGATATTCTACGTCATCAGGTGAGAACTCCTCCTCACACTCATCTGGATGGCTTAGTGGGTGTATGTATGACTTAAAATGACAAAATTGTATGCAGAGGCATGAATATTTGAGATAGATATCAATGGAAACCCTGAGAGGTAGGTGAGAATGTTTTTTTTTTCTAATCTTCTTAAGTTGCTTAAAAAATATTTTTCATCTCTAAAAACAGGTGGGGGAAAAACATTTTGACAGGTCAATTTTATTTTATTTTATTTTAATGTTTGTTGGTGTAATATTAATTTTGACTACAAGAGACTGAAGTTCACCGCTACCCCATGTTCTAAATAGGATTAAAAGCAATCATGTTTTCTTCTAGGTGAGTTTTTAATTCCTTGCACGCTAAACACAAAGTACATATTTTGTGTGTTAGCAAGTTATATTAAATCAAACTGCACCTGTTTCACAGATGAAAAAGAAGTAAGTAACTGAAAAGATTATCCTGTCAAAACATGTTTTTAGCACAGTGGCCTCTCGGGGCTTCCGTAGTATCTGAAAACCTCAGCAAAAAAATATTATGTGAATTGTTCCTTTAAACTTAGACGTCAGGCTCCATTTTAATAGTCCTGCTGCAGTAACCCCCACCCATCTGGAGATCCACGGAAGATAAAACAAACATAATTACCACCAAAAGCATCTTCTTTATCATCCAGATGCTGTCACGTTCCCAATGCACTCCATATTTAATATCTTAGACTTTGATTGCCCTCCGCTGTTGTCATGTTGACGTTTCCGTCCTCCAGTAGCGTGTCTCATTTCCATCACATACAGGCTCAACCCTTCTGTTCATCTGTGTCTTTTTATTGTAGTCAAATCGTCCTTCTCCCTCAAGTGTACGTGTCAAATAGCTGCAGCGTGCACTTTATAAATGAGGCGATTTCAGCTGACACCGCCGCAGCCAGTCCTAGCTGGAGTCCCCCTAATTGAGAGCTCAGCTCCATCACATTATTTACTAATGAACCGTGTCAGAATGATTTATGTTGGGTTTTTTCAAGATGGAAAATAATAGCGTGAATTATTGGCAGCCATATTTCAGTTATAAATTAACATCCATTATACCAGAAAAAAAAGAGTTTTTCCCCTTTTTGATGGTATTTGAACATCTGGCTCTTTGTGATTACCGTGCCGACCCTTTAAATCTGCCTCGTCAGCCTTGTTGTGAGGCTTTTCTCTCTGCAGAAAACGGCCAAACGAGACGCTTAATAAATTGGAAAGTAGCCTGGTGTGGCTATTTATTTCTGCTGGCTGCCTCCAGATACCACAGCGCACACCGGCGCTTGTTAGAGGCATCTGGCGTCCATTTGTGTTCACTTACAGAACCCGCTGTTTGATCCCACAGTGACCAGTTAAGACTTCCCCCGTCTGCCGTGATGGTCATCGGGGTTTTTAGCTGGGTCCAGGTGTGAGTGTGACGCTAAGAGAAAGTGAAGGGGAGCGTCACATCTGGAGCTGGAGGCGTGAGTGATGGGGAAGTGTTTCAGTGAGACGCTGCAGGCTGAGAGGAGACAGCATGCCAGCGTTATTAAATCCTCATCTGCACTGAAACCCCTCGCAGAACATGAATGACGGAAGACTTCAAAGCTTTGGGACATTTCATGCGATGGACCTTTGCCTTCGTTCACATCTCCAAAGCTATTACCGCATAACCGTTCCTTAATTAGCCATTTGCCAACTTCAACAACGTAATGAGCCTGCGAGATGACATTTGCTTCGATAGAGGCTCTCTGGTGGTTGAATTAGCATCTGACGGGTCATACCTTCACATCTGTAGTGCGCACGAGGCCTCGCTGTGCTGGAAGCCTGTTAGTGCATTTCAAATAAAAAAGGCTGCAGCACTGCTATTGTTTCCGCCAGTGATTTTCTCATTTTCCAACACTGCTGTATTATTGTGTGATGTATAAATAGGCAGAATCTTGTGACCAGATCAAGGTCGCTCTTTGTGAATCCAATTGAAAGAATGAGGGAAAATATTGTGTCCTTGCCGGTCGAAAAGGATCATCCAAGAATTGACGCCTCGACAGACAGTGTATAAATCTACTTTGGCTGAAAACCCATTAAGTGTGCTGGTCGCTGTCTCTCCCGGCTCCATCTGGATCTAAGAGGTTTACTGCAGACGGAGCAACGTCTATGAATATCACAGCATAATTTAGTCATACTTCACTGCATTTACTGTACGTACATTTGGAGTTTGACAATCCGCTATCATAAAGATGTTTACGATGTGTTTATTAACAAAACTGTTGAACCGGGGGGGAAAAAAGATGTGAGCACATACTGAACTGTAGATGAACACGGTGAGGTTGATAAATGACTGCATTATTATTATTATTATTATTATACCAACTGTAGTATAACCAATAGGAAAGCTATCTGAAGCATCAATCTTTAACATTTCAGTCATGGTTGATTTAGAATTTGTATTTGATTTAAAACAAAGGAATTGTGCTTAAAACCTAAATGCACTGCAGGCCTCAGATTTGAAGTGCCAACACCCCAGAACCAGAAGTACAGACATCCAGGTGTTAATCCTGAAAATATATAAATATTGCAATACTTTCATCGGTAGGCCATAGGCTCAATCACCATTGTGTTACCTCCTTCGACGATAGACAGAGACACTTACTTAAAATCTTTGCTGTCATTACTTCAACATGAGGTAAACATCTGGGTATCCCTGCTCTTGTATTCCTACAATATATTTCTCTCTCTTTCCTGTTTCTCAAGTCCTGCATATCTTTCCTCTTTGTTTCCTCTGTACGTCCTGACAGGTTCACTCTCGCTCCAGAGCTCCATCCAGACTGGATGCTGCTGCTGTTCTTCACCCACACCCACTTAACTGTCACAGTAACACTGGGTCTACTACTCATCCCGAAGGTAAACACCCACAACAAACAGCAACAAAAGTCTGGCTTTTCTTTGTTAACAAAGCCCTACAAATTTAACAAATGCTAAATTAAATAAATATTGTATATATTGCTTATTCTCAACAAATCCCATGAAAAGACCAAATCACACAATGTAAGTAATGTCTATGTTTAATTTCTCTGTGCCGGAGAACTCCATTGCTGTCCAGAAACTATTAAAAACACATTAATGAGTTACATCTTTTCTTTGGGTGACACATGTATTCATGTGCAGCTGAAAATAGTCCCTAACAAATACACTATTTACTCCTGTTTGAGTGGCGTTCGTTAAAAGCTTCAGCGCACAGCTGCTGTAGGAAATAACTTTTTGTATGCCTCCTCACCAGTTCCTGTTTGCTGGCGCCCACATGAGAGACGACATAGTCTCCGAGGCCTACGAGGACGAGCTGGACATGGGTCGCTCCGGGTCGTATCTCAACAGCAGCATCACGTCGGCGTGGAGCGAACACAGTCTGGATCCCGAGGACATTCGGGTGAGCGGCGTTTCCTTTTGACCTTTCACTCTCCATTGCATAACCTGGTGACATCTTTTGAATCCTCTAAAAATACTGAGCCATGGCAGTTTTTTATTGCAGACACCAGAGGAAACGGGCCATCTCAGTTCTATTAATGGCTGTGGCGTAAGGTCTTGCAACAGTCTTTGGGAAAAACGTACCAACGTGAGCAGAGATTTCCGTTTGTCTGTTAGAGCTGAAGAAGTCTCTCAACCAAAGGATTTACCAGAAGTTATTCGCTGTACCAGATGTGCAGAGAGACAGAAATACGAGAAATTTAAAGACCTGAGCTTCGAGGCTGTTTCAGACCTAACATTAAAATGCTCTCCGTTTCCTTATTTGATGCTGTCCAAGACTGTCCTGTCTTTTTGTTTTTCAGCACGCATGTGATATTCCGTCGTACATCATTTAACAACCGTTTGTAGTCACGTGTCATGGATTTGTACTGCATGTTCTCTGTGCAGTAGAATGTCTGCTTTTTTCTGTGTTTTGATTAGAAAAGCCCTTTTTTAAGGTGCATAAATGTTATTATTTCCTCTGAACAGACCACTGATCACTTTGCTTCTTTCTTCCATCTTGCTTCTCTCATGAATACGTAGGAGGAGCTGAAGAAACTCTACTCCCAGCTGGAGATTTACAAGAGGAAGAAAATGCTGGCAAACAACCCTCACCTCCAGAAGAAGCGGAGCTCCAAGAAAGGGTTGGGTCGCTCTCTGATGAGGCGCATAACTGAGATTCCCGAGTCGGTGCACCGGCAGTGCAGCCGCGAAGACAAGGAGGCCGGCGAACACGGGAGCAACCGCAACAGCATCTGCATGTTGAAGAAGAACCCCTTCGATCCGACTCACCAGTCAAAGCCGGCGAAGGAGGAGACGCTCAAGAACAAGGTCTTCTCCCTCAAGAAGTCCCACAGCAGCTATGACCATGTCCGGGACCAGAGTGAAGACTCCAACAGCTCAGCAACGGACAAGATGGAGGTGACCCCAGCTGAGGGCTCCCTCCTCGATACGCTTATGGCCAAGCAGCTGGTCAAGAAGCAGTCCAGTGAGATTATGAGTGTCCCCAGTGAGTCCACGGAATCAGTTCCTTTGGTCTGCAAGTCAGCCAGCGCCCATAACCTCAGCGCAGACAAGAAAGCAGTTCACCCTCGAGCCTCCATGCTGCAGAAGTCCCTTAGTGTCATTGCCAGTGCCAAAGAGAAGACTTTGGGCTTGACAGGAAAGACCCAGAGCACGGAGGACAGCAATAAGAAGAGTCAGCCAAAGAGCAAAGACACGAGGGTCAACGCGGAGCCGGAAAACGAGTGCCAGCCCAAGATGATTATCAGCCAGTCGGTTGAGTACAAACAGACCACGGCAATGGGCCGTCTCATGAAACAGCCGGTGAGCAGCAGCCAGCCTTCAATCTGCTCCGATCCCGTTAAGGGAAAAGACCTCTACGATCTCTCTGAGGTGTGTCCCTGGGAAGTGGAGGATCTCCCGACTCCGTCCGAAAACAAGGTCCAAAAGCATGTTTCCATCGCGCCGAAGGAAAGCACGACGGTTCACGGTGGTAGCAGCGCCAAGGGAGGCAAATCTCAGAAGCAGAAAGCTTCCGATCAATCTCCGTCGAGTGGCAGGCTTTCAAAGGAAAGTCAGAGGACGACCGCCGTCCGGGTGGATGTATGTCCGTGGGAAGATGGAGGGGAAAGTCAGGGCAGCCAGGAGGAAGGCTCCAAGCAAAACACATACAGTCAGGCTAGCAAACCCGCTAAGACCCAGCAACCTCATTCTACAACAGAAAGCTCCAAAACACATCGAGTAGAGGTCTGTCCGTGGGACTTAGAAGAGCCCCAAAAGACAACAGAGTTGGCCCGTTCACCGGATGTGACGACACAAAGAAAAGGCCCCTCTCCTGTGGATGGGAAAGGGAGAAGTATCCTTTCAGATCCGTCCAAAACAGGAGGCTCACTCCAGCCGCCGTCTTCAAAAGCTGACGTGTGCCCCTGGGACCACGACAGCGCCGCCCTATCTCCGAGTTCAGAGAGGACACCGAGTCCCTCTCGGACGTCCCAAACCAAGGAATCCCCGTCAAAAAAGAAGGATACCTCTTCCCCGAGAACAGTTGAGAAAGAGAAATCAAAAGATGCTGATGATGAGAAAAGTAGAACAAAAGCTAAAGACAAGAGTAAATCTTCAGAGAAACACGCGAGCCAACAGAAAATGGCTGAGGTGTGCCCGTGGGATGTGGAGAGTCAATCGGAAGTGCCGGTGGTGGAAAAAAGGAAAAGCGCAATCGTCGGAGCAGCCAAAGCAAAGCCGGTTGACGTCTGTCCGTGGGATTTTGAGGATACGTCAGATAAAAAAGGTACAGACAAAAGTGGTTCTGTGGTGGAACAGAGCAATCTGAATCCTAAAGGCGGAGCTGCAAGCGCCGTAAAAAAGGCCGACGTTTGTCCCTGGGACTTTGAGGATAGCGCATCGAGCAAGAAGGCATGACACTCGAACCTTAATGAACCACTGAAGTTATAGTTATTGATGTATACTTTTTTTTCCACTTTGAAATCGTTAAATATTACCTTTTACTAATAGTGCGGTGACTTGGAAGAAAAGTTGATCAAGTTCCACAAGTTGCCTTCCTTTCCGAGGTTTTGTTCCTGTTTTACCTATTTTGAAAATAAGTAAAATGTACACAAAAAAAAAAAAGTCATGACGAGCATTCCAGATTATTACAGGAAAATCCTGAAGATAAATCTTTAGACTAATTATGCAACTTTTGATTCAGCCTTTTCACTTCATGAGCAATGTCAAAAATCTGCATTTGTCATGTTCTGTATTCAGTCAACAATTCATACGCGTTTCTTGTTTTTGTGCATTAACCATCACTTATTGGACTTAAGATATGACACCACGATTGGATTCAGAGGGAAAAAGAAGTAGGAAATTAAAGTTGTACAAAACAGCAAAAGTGAAAGCTAAAGATTAAGGGAACATCTGAAGAAGAGGGATGTTGATCTTAAGGCGGTAACATTAATTTATTAGTTTGTGTCTAACTCTTGGCACGAAGGGAAGGACTCAGTGAGGAAATCAGTCTATAGCACTTTAGCCAACACCATAAATTAAGACCAGGCTCTCTTCTTCTTGAGCATTTCGTCCTCTTATTTCCAACTTCATGGATGACACCACACAGGACATCACACACTGACCAAATGTTCTTTTTGTTTAGACCTATTTAATTGTAGTTCTCTGCAGATTTAAAAATGCTTCCGAGTCTGCAGAGATGTACTGTATGTGCCTAACTAACTAGCATTGTCTTGTATCAGTCTGAAGGGAAGCGCGTGGCTTCTCCTTCGGCCCTTTGTGATGGTGAATTATATAAACAGCATGCACAGCCAGGTGTCGAGAGGAGTTTCACCCTAACGGTTTGTCAACTAAAGCATTTAATGTCTTGATGAATATATAACTCTTTTTTTTAATACCAGAGGCACTCCTTTCTCTTGCTTTCATATTTCCAAAAGCTCATTTAGGGTGGTGACGATTATATGAGAGCAGCATCAACATGAATGTGTGTCAAGATGTCTCATATGTACACTGTAAAAAGTAGGAATAGAAAACAGGAGCAGCTTTGTTCATGAATCCAGCATGGGTCTTTGTGTTGGCTTGCACCAAGTGTGTGTGTGGACAACAATATATCAAGAATCTAAAGTGAAAATGTAATTCTGGAGTCTCGTACAGGATCAAGTCCTGGCAGCGCTTTCTGTCCTCTCACTCGCTCCGTCTCAAACACCAAAACTAACCTTTAACTGAAGAAAAGAAAGCAGCTGACAGAAGCTGCTGCTTAAAAGGATAACATTGGTTTATCGTAACTTGTGTTTGATTTGTATAACATTGTACTTGCTGAGACCTGGAACTCCACTAGAACAAAGTCTAATGGCACGAGCCAAAAAAACGGCAAACAGCAGAATAACATTATTATTAAATTTAACTAGAATAAGAATTAGAACTAGTTGAGGATTGTGGATTGGCCTTTTAGATGCACTCATTTTATATTTTAATGTAAAATAAATCAGGCTGTTCTCATTCACTGTTTGTAGTTTTACCCACGAAAAAGTTGCCGTTGCAATCAATTTGTTTGTAACCCACGCAATCGTGAGCCAGGACCGCGATGTGGTTTGAAGAGCGATAGGGAGATGGTCAAAACAAAGGACTTTCACCCAGGAGACCGCTGTTTCTGTCCCGTGTGAGGAACATACGTCCTTAAGTAAGTAGTCTTTTTAACCCACATCACGATCTTTTCATAAACCTAATCAAGTAGTTGTGTTGCCTAAACACTGCCGGGTTTGTCCAGGATGTTGCAGAAAATATGCAGAAAAAACACACGAAAGATAAAAATATTATACGTAAGATATTAGGGTTTAGATAATAACTGTTATCTAGTTATCGACCTGTGTGATCATGTCAGTCGTGTTTCCTGTCAGACTTTGTTGTAGCGATGTCGACTTGTTTCCAGATCTCAGCAAATCACTTTGGTGATTTAAACAAAATTAAAACCCACGTTTTTATATTGCGAAACTATCCTTTAATATTTTTAAATAATAATATTCCTACTAGCACTACACTGCCATCAGTTTTTTCTTCCTGTTTCTGTATTGAAAGTATTCACGAGTAGCGGAACGCATGTTGTTCCCAGTTTAACGCACTAAAGCCCCGTTGATTTATTGAGACGATCATTTTAGAATTAGCCTTAGCAATGTGGTCATCAATTAATAACCCGACCGAACCTTTTAAAGGGTTTTGATTTGTTCAGTGTTTTGTATCAAAATGTCTAAACATTCATCATGAACTATCTAAGTGTGGGAGAAAAGAAAATCTCCCACTTTTATTTAAAACAACTGCAGTCGTGAGGAAAACTGTATCGATTTAGCATCTACGGTACTTTATTGTATTTTGTGAGAATTACTGAATGTTGTCACTGATTGTAATTATCTATGATTGCTGTCAAATTCCTCAATATCCAAGATCGGTAGGAGTCTTTACTAACTGTGGTCAAATTATTTAAAAAAGTCCTATTTAATCACAGTTCTTCAATTTCTAATTTTTATTGGCATAAAACCGAAAACAATCCAGTGACAGATACTTGTAACCTTTTTGTTTAACTCTACAGCTAGCCTCCATAAACGTGATTTAAACCCTGCGTCTTGTATCTCCGACAAATCACACCTCCGCCGCTGACCTGTCGGGATCTCGTCTGAAATATCTCAGACGTTGGAGCGTTTCGCCTCGCGGCGCGTGATTTGTCGTCGCCTCCTGCTTCACGAGCTCCTTTAGGAGGCGGCGTCCGGGAAGAGCCGTCGAACGTGCATGGATTGATTGTAAGGAATTGATGGATCTGTGTGGTCTTTATGAACCACGTGTTAGGCGTCATCCATCATGTGCACCGTGGTAGCGATGCAGGAGCCAACAACAACGACATTTCAAAAGCCCCTTTCCCCCTCTTTCTCTATATAGTCACTGCCGCATTGATTTTTTTTACTGCCCTGGAATATGCTGTCTTATTTTATTTATTTTTGTCCTTGTCTGCAAGCTATTGTAAATGAGGAGATGTGTTTAATTCATGGTGATTATTTTGAAAATCTACACGACCTTAGATCGAGCTCATGCAGGTTTCACTCTGGTGAAATATAAACAAACTTAATTTATTTGTATATTTTTACACACAGGGCCCGGATCACAGTTAGCTGGAGCACAAATAGAACACGATTATATAATAATAATAATAGTAACACTAATGCAATATCTCACCGTCACACTATGGAATACATATTTTCCGACAGTTAGCTCGCCGTAGCGTCCCTCGGTTCAGTCAGTCCACAGCCGTCTGTGTGCTAACTCGTGTGAACATAACCGGTGTCTGTTTTCCTCGGAGATCATCATCGTGCTTTAGTCGTATCATCGATGAATCGGTGACCGTTTGAACCTCAAACAGAGAGCGTTTGTTCCCGAACCGTCCCGACATAGACGACACATAGTGTCCTGTAGCTTCTTCGTCCACCGATCGGATCTTTGCGTTCGCGGTGCGTTCTGTCGGCTAGCCGCCTTTTTTTTTTTCATTTGAAGTTCTCTTCTCTCGTGACCAAACCAAACACAACTATTGCTACTACTATTCAACGCTGTAACGTCGTAAATCTTGCTCTTGTGGCTTCTGCATGAATTCAAGAAAAAAAAATGGTAATAATAATAATAATAGGACCGATGTTTCACTGCCCTTGATAGAACAAAAAAAGAAAAAAATTGATCTTTTATGGACTGTTACAAGTTGTATAGTGAGTGATACTGTCTCTAACCCACTGTATTATGTGCTTGTTATGACTATTGCTCTATGACAAGCTTATAGCATCAATATATGGGAATATTTGGTAGATTTATATTGTGTTATATTGTGATAGCATGTACATAAAAGATACCTCCTCTGCAATAAATATTTATATGAAAATGAAGTGCGAGCTCAGTGTGTTTCTGAACGTTTTGCTGCAGTCCGAGATTATTTTTAACCGCTTCTCTAATCCCACGGGAACTTGACTCAAGACACTCCCATGATGCATTTGTGCTCAGCAATCATCCCTGTCTCAGGTCTGTGTGCTTCTTCCTCATGCGGAGAAACCCCGGCCTTTTAAAAGCCCCGTGCACCATGACCACTCCGGGATGTGCGCGTCTTGGCGACCGCTCTGAAATGCTTTCATGGCTTGATGAGGTCTTTTGGACGGAGATCAATGGAGGCTCTGCAGGAAGCGAGAGATACAAGATGCTATCAAACGCTGACTCCAGACCCCTGCAGAAAAACCCAGCGCTGCTATTTTCAGATCCCAAAATAATTATTGGCCAAATTGAAATAATTTATTCCCTGAGCCAAAAAGGGGGAAATCATTTCTTGCTCTATAAATACTTTTTCCATCCCTATAAATTCTGCATAATGACGCATAATGCATGAAGCTCTTTCACAAGTGCTTATGTCTCTATGAATATATCGGAGGGATGCGACCAAATGGCATTGCAAAAGAGTATTGTGTAAAACATGTTAGCATTGATTCCTGTTTGCAGGAGCACTTTCGGAGCCTTTTCTTATAAATAGAAGATCAATACAGCCTGCTGCAAATAGAGAGACGTCAGAGAAGAAGACGGTTAACTGTGAGAAATAACTTGATGCTGACGTACGGTAACTATTGATGTTCTGTTTGATATTCATAACAGTGAGATGGCAGTCTGTCCATAAAGAAACATTTAAGGCAGCTATAGATATTTATATAATAATAGATCCATGGATCATGAGACAATGAGCCTCTGGGTACAGACACATTTCTCTCTTAGTAGTTGTTTTGGTGATTTTGTACTTAATCTTGTCTGTGGTTGTTTTGCCCTAGCTGATTTGTGTCTCTTTGTATTCATTTTGCATCTTTTTATAGTTGATCTGTGTCTCTATGGTTGTTTTTTCACCTTTTCATAGACATTATTAGTCTCGCTGTTTCTCTTTGCAGCTGTGTTGCATCTCTTTGTAGTTGCTTTTCGTCTCTTTTTATTCATTTTACATCTTTATGTCGTTGATCTGTGTCTCTTTGTGGGTTTTTTTGCCTCTTTTCACAGTCATTATTGGTCTCTTTGTGTCTCTTTGCAGCTCTTTTGTATCTCTGTGTAGTTGTTTTGGTCTCTTTGTATGATTTTGAGTGTCTCCCTGGTTGGTACATGTCTCTTTGGGGCCTCTTTGTAGCTGAAGTCCTGAAATGTTGGGCCCCTGAATCCTGTGCCCGGTACGCCCGTTCAATAATCCATCCATGACAGTATCAAATGTGAAAGGTGTCGCTCATAAACCTATAAAGAGAATTATCTCCTGAATCTGCAGCAGTAAAAACTCTCTGCTCACCACAGTATCAGCACCAAACAGCAGACACAGTTAGAGACCGGCTGGTGGACATAGTGGAGCATTCAGCAGCTAAAGAGACAAATATTTCCCTCAGTATTTTTAAAATGAAATGGTTTTCTCAGTAACATAAAATGAAAGTAAGCAACATTCAAAGTTAAGTTAAAAATATATTTCCTAATTAGGCTTTTTGTGGATTAACCACATGTGGGACCACGCTGCTACTTTGCTGCTCGAAGATGAATTGATCCAACATGTGCTGGAGATAAAAAATGTCCATTAGGCATAGTTTTAAATCGGTGATCGGTGCATGAATCAAAGCCTTTTGAGACAGGAGGAGGAGGAGGAGGAGGAGGAGGAAGAGAAGGAAGATGAGGAGGAGGACAGACAGGAGATGAGAGGAAGCTGATCAGTTTGGCACCAGTGAGCATCGCTCCGTCGCTGACTCATCGTATCTTTCAGATGAAGGGACGGTCAGGAGGGTGGTGGTGGTGGTGGGATGTTGAGGACATGGCATGTGTCATACTGGACTCATGACTCACAAATGAGGGTGGTGTGTGTGTGTGTGGGGGAGGGGGGGAGGGGGGTGCACCTAGTGGGAGACATGTGGAAACCCACACAACATAACTACAAGTATAGAAGATTTTTCTTTTTCTTGTATTGCACCAAACAACTCCGAGGACTTCAATGCCCAGAAATCATGGTTTGTTTTGCACCAAAGTTTTAATCAGGACTTTAGGTGAACTAGTCCTTTATTACATCCCAGAATTGTTTTAACTTCTCCCCTCCTGTGATGCGTGATGCACTGTAGCACCTCGTCTTGTAACGTTTGACCTCAGCCTCACTCTGCTGCATCGTTAGTGGAGCCCCTGGTGATGTGAGCATCCGTGACTCACAGACAGCCTCCGTCACGCCACCACCTACCACCTCCACCACTGGCAGATAATTCACACATTAACACAGGTACGTGTTTACACTCACAGTTCAGTTACTTACGCATGAGCAGGTTCTGTCGATGAGCAATTCTTTGCCCCCCCCCCCCGTTGCTAAAATGTCCGTGTTTGACTGCTGCACAGACGAACATCTGGAAACACAGCTCATGAAAACCTTGAAGCTGGCGTCACTCTGCTGCCTTATCATGTAGGTGGATCAGCTGATCTATGGAGGACTGATGTCATGTGAAAACCTCCATAAAAAAGACTTATTTCTTATATTCAATAATGAAAAGCCATAAAGGATCAGTGTCTTCTGAATGTGATATTCTCAACAGTAAAGGTTTTCATTTGGATTGGGGGCGAAATACTCAACAGAGAGAAAATGTGAAATAATTGATGTACCGGTGATTTTTTGACCTTTCTGTAAATTGTATTTCCCAGTATGAAAGTCCAAATGTCGTTTCAAACCCTTCTCCACGATACCAGGAGCACAGTTTCATATTGTGATAAATTGCATCCAAACATGTGGCAATCAGTCCACAGAATACCCACCGTGTGTATGTTTTTACTTCTTAATCTCCTCCCAGGTTGCTAAAAATCCCAATACTCCCATTAAAGAACACATGAGCTGCACTAGTCGGGTTCCCACTGAGGGGAAACAGCATCATGTCACAGAATATGGTGTAACACTGGTAAATACATAATGATGAATTTATTCACGGCAAATAAAAAAGAAAAGCAATCTGAAGATGTCACTTTGTGTAAAAACTGTAAGAACTACAGGGATGAAAAGTCTCAAAAATAGGAAGTTACCAGTTTTCTTTTTACCTTTACTACTACTTACTGGAGCTGCCCTTACAAAGTACTGTTGCATCCAGTATCCATTCAATTGAGACAAACTACTTCCTCAAAACATGGCACCTTGAACTTCTCTCGCAAAGGATTGTGGGTCAGAATAGCCAGAAAAGCATGCTACTGCAAGATGTAACCGGATACAGTTGGACATCCTGGTATTTTTTGGCATACTGCATGTGACATACTATGACTTTTGGACGCACTAAATATTATGGTATTATAGGTGTTGGACACACTGTAAATTGAGAATTATGAAAACAGTTGCAGCCCAATACAAATACTAATAATTGAACTACTGCGACCCATTTCTTTTTACCGAAACAGACCTTTTGTAATTCTGAAATAACACGAGTCTCCATTTCCTACAAACGTGATTGATTGCACAAATAGATGATAAACTCAAAAGGCTAATAGTGTAATTTATCAGCCTAGTGGACAGGATGAGGTCAGCTGTCCTCTCTGATATTGAATGACCATCTTCGGTTAATGTGCAGTATTTCTGGAGATGAACTCTGTGAATATTGGCAATCGATGTTATTAGTGTGACTGAAAGTGGGGAAGTCATTAGTCGCTGGGCTCCTCCTCTACAAACTCATTAGATATTTATGAGCCAAGTTATATCTGAACTGCTTATAAGAGTCACATGATACCAGAAGAATACCAGTTTTACAGTCTTTATCTGTGATTACACTTATTTGTCAAATACAGTAACGTAAACGTTCCCGATGTGTAAACGCTGGTGTTCCCTTGTTGGACTAAAACGTAGAGCCTTTCCCCCAAACATGGCTGGGTTTGAATTTCACTGGCAACCCTTTCATGGTACGAATATCATGGTATTACACTATTATTATTATTAGTTGCAATGACCCTTAAAACAATAAGAACAGAATTATAATAATAAACATATTCCTGCCGGTTTATAACACCAGCATGTTTAATTAACTACTAAATGAAAAATAAGTGATCAAGTGACTTTGATTGACATAAAACATTCATCACATTTTGACTTATTTTTCATTAATGTTAACATAAACACTCATTTAACCACCAACTTTTTTTTTCTACCAACTTTAATAAAGGCAGGATAACTTTACAAAAATGTACAAATGTAAAAAAGAAAATTTAAAAAAAGAACTGAAACTTTAAACTTAATTTAAATTCAAATAAACAAATTCATTTATAATTTGAACATTTCCAAATGTAAATCATTGTCCATAATATTCTTGAAATAACTTTTTTATTGGACAAAATGATCAAACTGATGACAAACAACGAAACTTAACCTGAACTCAAACTTTTCCAGAACAGCTGTCAGTCACAGATGCTGTCGCGCTCTGATTGGTCGAGAGACACAGAGCAGGAATCTGATTGGTGGATTTCACTTCCTGAAAAGGTTTCTAACAACATTTTAAGTTCTGAATCGTGTCCAGGTGGTCTGGGACAGTCTGGATCATCTGGATCAGGCTGGATCGGTTTCTGGGTGGTCTGGTTGGAGCTGGATCAGTTTCTGGATGCGGTCCAGGATGATCTGGTTGGAGCTGCAGCAGTCTTCGGGTCCGTACGGGGCCGTGATGGTCAGGACCCCCGCCACCTTCAGCTCGTCCCCCTCCTCCTCCACGGGGAACCGGTTCTTTTCCAGCCACCTCCGGACGCCCCCTCTCCTCCTCCTCAGCTCCGCCGGGTCCAGGGTGCGGGTCTCCGGTGGGAGGAAGGAGGTCTGGAGACGCTCCGTGGTCTCCTCGTCTGCCTCCTGCAGGACCTCCACCTCCTCCACGGCGTGACCCATCACCACCTGCACCGACGCCCTGCCCTCCTCCTCCCCGAAGTTCACCAGGACCAGACTGGCGGAGACCGGGTCCACGGTGAGCAGCCAGCCGCGGCGCTCCTCATCTTTTCCCGCCTTCACTTTCACTTGTTTGTTGACGTAACGCATCCACTGTAGCGGACCTAACAGAGGCCAGCCGCACTGCATCACGGTCCACCTGTCAGCTATGAAGTATGAGAATTACAACGATCACCGTTCTCTTTAATCATCCATGTACCGTGCTCTCGGAATACTGCACGACCTTTAAAACCATCCGGAGGAAACACGAATCCGGAATAAAGGTTCCGCTTCAGCTCAGCTGCCCCCTGAAATATATAACTGTGTTTAAAACATCACAAAACTTCACAAATAAATGAAACTATTGATAAAAGTACCAGCAGCAGAAGAGGAAAAATGATAAAAAATGGTATCATAATGTCAAAAGGTAAGATAAAGATACAAATAAAGCGGAAGTTAAAAACACAACATTAAAGTAAATGTAAATTTTTTTATATAATCCCACAAACAGAAAAACTATACATTAATTTAATGTAACTTTTGTTAAATAGATTCATTGGAAAACATTTTTTCCAGCGATTTACAAACAGGGGGAGGTGACGCGCGGCTCTGCCCCGCCCTCTAGCGGCGGGAGAACCTTACGTCATGACGTCCTGAGCTGTTGACGTAAATCGTCATCAATTCTGCTGATTTTTAAATCTTTACAAACTCAAATCTGCCTCATTTTTGTTTTTCCAGTCCAGCTTTTCCACTTGAAAACATCACATCAACGGTAAATATGTCACACTACCAGTTAAATACAACATGTCGTGTTTTTGGCTCATTTAGCCCTAAAATCTAAATCTGCTTGTAAATGTCATGTTTATTTTCGGGGGTTGTCACTCATGTGCTGCGTGAAAACACAAAAATAAGCCCAAAGATGGGCTCAAAATGCATGCAAGTGTTCGTAAAGTTTGCATTAATTAACCAATTAAATGTACTGTGTTGACCTGTAACTATCTATCTCAGGAAAACCATGGACTGTAATAGGAAGTCATCACATTGTCCTCAGTGCCCAGCTGCATCAGCAATGGTTTGTATACTATTGCATCTGCATTCATATACAATAGGATATACTGGGAAGAACAAAATAAATCAAATATACACTCTGAAATATTTGCCTTTTTCCCCACAAATGTTTACTACATTGTTGCCTGACTTTGATTCCAGTTTAAAGTATGTGATGTGATGAGAATCTATGTCAGGGACCTGTTAATAAACAAACATTAATGATATTTATTAGATAAAATGAATCAACATTAAAAGGCCCATAGCTCATCTTTCTTTTAAATTCATATTAACTAAATTAACTTGTTACGGATTGACACTAGCCCGCAAATTCTGCATTTAATAGCTGCAGCTGCAAAAATCCCATTGTAAATCAATTACATTTATTGTGAATTATATAATCCATGTGATCTCCACAGGGCAGGAGGACGGTGACCAGTGAGGAGTCCATCGACGACAAGGTTGAGCTGACGATGGGGGTAAAAACATCCAAACCCAAAGTGTCACGAAAGCTTTCTTCTGGTTTCTGTGAGGACCGTGAAGCCAGCGTGTGAGTGTGTCGCACAGTGACAAAAGTTATCCAGCACTAAAGATGCACTTGAATATAGATTATTTCAGGGCTCATCACAGTGATGATGAACATGAGGGTGATTACCCTGCACTGTTTTTTTTGCAAACGCAGAGGCGTCACAGGAGCACAAAGGCACGTCCACTCATCTAATAATCCAATTTGTTTTGACTTTTAGCAGCAGAAGTGGAGTTTCTGATTCACCACCACCACCGCCGCCGCTCTGTCTTTCACCAGCGACTGCTGCAGCACAAACACAGACGCCAAGCACAAAGCCCAAGGCCGGCGCGCTGGTGAGTCACAGCCACACCGACGTGTGTGAATGAAGGCTAAGTGAACGTTCATTCAGAAAGAAAGAAAAAAAGCAAGCTTTCATTTGACGTCATCGGTCTTAATCACCCAATTACAGCAATTTCCAGAAGGTAGCTGTGCTTTATCTTTCCTGTTTCTGCCTCCAGGTAGCATACAGGCAGCTGACTGATGGGAGCGAGGCGGCCTCTCTCAGGGACCCATGTGAGATCATTCGCACACTGTTACTCATTCACTCACAATCATCTGTGCTGGAAATGTATGATTCACCCTCTGCGTGTGTGTGCGCGCGATGGTGCATTCACGATGTTTCACAACACTCAAATGAAAAGATTCCTCGAGGACGAACAAGATGAAAATGAAACTTTATTGCATGTGAGAGGCCTCGGAAGGCGGTAAAACCGGTGGGATGTGGGCGAGCAAATGTGGACACGACATGAAGAAGAAGTTGTTTTTACCAGTTTGGTTTAAAAAGAACTCGACGGGTCCGGACCTGAACCAGTGGTGGTTCTGGGTACCTGAGGTGAAAACATGAAACCAGAACAGTGGACGATGTTACGGCAGCAAATTAAAGCCCATTGTTTGTAATTAAATGTAATGTCAAATCGTCCACATATTAATGGCCAAATAGTGTACCGTGTAAAAGGTAGTTTCCTCTACAGCCGTGGCTTCACATGACATATAAAATGAGAGAGAACAAGGTTCATTTAGTAGCGTCTTCTGGTGCTTTTGGTCATATCACATGATCTTCATCAGCAGATGGAGTTTGCCCGATTGTTGTGAAATTGTAGACGTCCAAATTTAAATTCTAGATTTCTAAATTTCTATTTTTCTAAGGAAGATCTTGAGATAATTTTCCCAACTATTGTCAAGAATGAACTTTCAAACTCAACGTGTGAATTCATTTGAGCCGACATTACATGTAACGGATGCAATTGCTTCAATTAAGGACTAGAAATATGCAGAATGATGAAGAATACAATCCCAGTGTGGATAAAACGGTGAGAACGTAATGACTACACCGTCAGTATTCTGCAGGATGTATGACAAAGAATTATTCTTTTCTGTTTTATTTTGCAATACAGAGAACAGAGATGGGATTAAATCCACAGTACAGAAGCAGCTCATGAGGCTGAGGCTCCTTGTTGTTGTAATGACTTTCCTTTATGACAGTACAACCCTGCCACACACACACACACACACACCCACTCATGCAGTCGCAGCCGGAGAGTGAACATGAGTCAGCCTGATAGTACAACTTATTATGAGTGGGCTTCACTACAGTGGGAGCTCAATGGATGACTCACAGAGAGGCTTTGTGGAGGAGACCGTCTGGGTTGCCGAATAGATTTATTGATTTGTGTTACGTGAGTCTCCGCTTGCTACGGGCCGAGCCATTAAGGGCTGGAATTTGAAACATATTACACCAAAAAGGAATTTAGGTTAAAATCAAAGGGCTTGAATTTCACAATATACCAAATAAAGAGAAAGAATCATGAAATAAAATGAAATATTGGCAATTCATGGTTCACATATGACACTGTATTTACACTGGATACTATTATGACTGTAGCTAACACTTATTTTCATTATTAGATGCATCTTTAGGTCTATAACGTGTCGGAGAGCCCAAAGTGACGACTTCAAATTGCTTGTTTTGTCCAACCAACAGTCAAAAAAAAAACAAAATATTAAATTCACAAGGAAAATAGGCATCAAATTCTCACATTTGATGAAAATATGAACTTTGTTCACCTGGTGATTGTCAAAATTGTTATCATTTCATCTTATGTCTCAGCTTTGACATTCTCAAACATACAAGGGTATATACTATGTCAATATATATATCTATATATAACACCTAATATTTTATTTTAATTTAACTGTCCTGTTTCTCTCTCCTCAGCTCCTCTGCCGTTACTGACACTCAAAGGGAGTGTGAGTTTGTCGAGCTCTGACCCCAGGAGGAGCTTTTCACTCCACACGTCCATCACCGTATGTTTTACAGCAGATGCACCAAACTGCTGCCGTGTTTCTTTTTTTTTAGTGGCTTAAAGGGTTAAAAGGTTGTCGTTAACAAATCCCACAAAAAGCCAAAACCACAACGTGTTCGTCCGTCTCTCAATACTTTCCCCAACCAGTCGCTCAACCCCAAACACATCGGTTCCTACTGAAGACGGATAAAACCGATAAATAGTTTCCAATTTTTCCCAAACAGTTGGGCACTGTAGTTTTTTTGAAAATATTCCTCAAACAGGAGTACATTGTGCAGAGGATTAGTGCAACAATGTGGCTAATTGATGTGTTTTTAATCATTTTTGGAGGTACTATATATGAGAATATACAGGCATAGTAGGATCAATTCATTGTTGGTTTTGTCTTTTCATTGGATTTGTTGATGATATTAAAAAGGTGTATTTAAACTGTAGTTAGTAAATATGACCACTAGGTGGAGGTGGTGATCCATATTCAGGTTGTGCTGAGAGTCTGTTTCTTCCAGGGAGAAGCTCCACAGCATGAAGGCCAAAGGTTGAAGAGGAAGCGTACCATCACCAGAGAGGTCATACTTTATCTTCTGCCCTCTGCATAATAACTATATAAATATATTTGATGCAAGACGTTGTAACAGAAAGTTTATGTTTTTCTTTAGGGAAACAAAAGTCAGTATAACAGAGACCTTGATCAGCAGGTAGAGGAGAGGAAAGAACAGATGGAAAGGGAGAGAAGTAGAAATGCTGTTGATGAGCAAAAGGTGAGTTGCATAATAAGAAGAATGTAATAAAGTATGAATTAGGACCCTGTACTTTAATGATAGAGTGATTGTAGATTACTTATATGTTTATTAAAGGTGTCATAAATCTCCTATCATCTACAGCACAATGACACCGAGCAGCACACTATCTGGGGGATGCCGGGAAGCGGCGCCCCAAACTACTACCTGGGCACAGCGAAGCGGACCAGGAGCCTCCACGCCGCCGGGATCCTACCACAGGAGCAGGTGAACAAAGCACCGTCTTATCAGCCGAGCATTGTTCCATGCAACAATAGCCCAGTGTACTGAGAAGGTCTCCTGATCGGCTTTGACAGAAACGAAACGGAGAGAGAGTCTGCAGCCAAAGCTTTTCCGTACAAATGAGGATTGTGTGTCATGCAGAGTACTGCAGTATTGACAGCAAGAAAGTTAGGAGTAAAAAAAACAACCTTGAGCCTCCTGCAGAGCTTTGCCAGCCCAAAAATGTTTTTACAAGTAAAACTCCATTCTGACCTCCTTTCCACACGTTGCAGTCGTTTTGCAGCGGCTGAAACTCAAACCTGTCTGTGGCTCTTCACAGTAGGAGCTGGTCAGACTCCAAACAAGTTGTGTTTGAGGTCTAAACTTGAGTCGGGGGTCCTGGGCCTGCTTCACATTACAGCCTGTCTCTGTCACGGCTGCCGCTTCTGAATGCTGTCTTTGTTTCCAGATCCATGATAAAGGCTTCAGCGGGACCCCCTTCCACCGCCAGTGAAACGAAGACCATAACATCCCCAAACTGAGCCCGCTGAGAGCAGCCAGGCAAATAGTACTCTCTGACTTTTGTCTTTAGTTTTGCAGACCGTCGAGGGTATTTGGTCTGTTACAAGCAGCAAATTCTGATGGTGGCAAAAGAGACACAGCCTGTCAATAAACTTAGAGTATGAACAACTGGAGAACACTAAACATGCGAGTCTTCTCTTTACAACTGCATGTGTTGCTGCATGAACAGGTGTCTGCAACAGCAACATTTCCCACTTTGCATATCAAGAATGGACTCGTGTGTTTATGTAATTTAGGGCACGTCATGGTTTCATAAAGGGCCACGCAGTGATTAAGTTAAGTATTGTACTTTTATAAAGCCAAACTCGAAGCAGCAGAAGAGGCTGAAATATCCTGACTTTTTAGTCTCTGGTATCGATACTACAGCTCCCATAATGCACCTCAGCAGTCAAGTTCAAGCAAGTCTTAAAGGAATCATCTGACATTTTGGGAAATATACTATTTGCTTTCTTCTCGAGAGTTAAGGCCTTTGCAAACCAAGTCCGAATTTCTTCGCCTGAAACTCTTAAACTTTCATCCGTCATTAAAGTTTTCGAGTAGTTTGACCAATCAGAGCCACTGTAAAGGCAAATGTTACCATCCAAAAATGGTATATGATAAGGTGATGCACTTCGCTCATTTGTTCGCAAAACAAAGGATGAGCGAAAGATTAGACAGTAGTGTAGATTGTGCTCTAGGCAGCTAAACGATAGCTTCTTGCTAACGTTGTTCATTCCTTGGCGTTCATTTGGGACTATAGCGCTCTCCGCTCAAACCACGTAAAGATTAAAAGGCACATTCAAAAAATAAGGAATTGCCTTTTTAGATGAGATGAATAATACCCATTTCACATTTGCAGATGTAGCTGGAGCCAGCACCAGGTTAGCTTAGCTTAGCATAAAGACTGGAAACAGCCCACCTAAACCAAGATACCAGCTGCATATCTAATCCTAACCCTAATCTACAGCCATGAGAGTGCTTTGCTAGAAAGTTTGCGATCACATCGTCCTACACCGATATAGAAATGTTGCCTTCCTGCTGATTTGAATCCTTCTGAAATATGTTGTTACTGTGAGTCACGTCTTGGCATTAGATACCACTCGAAACATCTACTAACTTACATACTTTGTCCAAAAAAGTTTCCCCGATTGATCTCCAGGTAATTTCCAGATAATGACAGAGTGAAGGGAGATGACTCATCCTCGTCTAATTGCACGTCTTTGTTAGCGTGACGTTAGCGAGCTCCTAATTTGAACAGTTTACCCAGACACACAGTGTGCATGTATTTAGTTCTCATAGGCTAAAGGGGCCTCGGCGTGGAGGGCAGCAGCTCTCCTCCTCAGTGGGTGGGTAATTATGATGTAGGGACAGTTATAAGGGACAGTGAAATACCAATGCTTAGAGCGTAGGCTGGTAATTATACTGTAGAACACAAGGTTTGTACATGTGCAAATGTTGTACACTAAAAGCAGAGAAACTGTTCAACAAGTTAGAACTTCCTCTGTGTGAATTAAGGTTGTTTAATTTGATGAAAGAAGAGTTTGTTTGTTTCCTCGTCTGTGTTGTGGAGGATCTGGAGTGTGTGACTTAATTCACTGAATTACAAACATGGAAACTTGGCTTGAACAGCAGGAGAAATGAGAGCAGGAGCAGTTACCCGAAGGTCTACGCTTTGCTTACACATCTGTGCATCATATCCAGTGGTATAAAATATATTTATTCTGAAATGGAACATTCTGCATGATGAGTACTTTCATTGTCGGTACTTTTAAGTATATTTTGATGCTTAAACCTTCTGCAGTTGGGCTCATCAATAAAGCCCGGGACCCCCCACTGACTGGGACACATTTTATCACAGTTACACACCCTGGCACAACTCCTCTCCATTAATATAAACATGACACTTTAATAACATACTTGTGTTAACATACACATATGTGTAACGTACTTGGCAATAAACCGCTTCTGATTCTGATTAAGTAAGCTTTTGAATGCAGGACTTTTATAATAACTATTTATAGAGCACCTTTTATAAACACTTTACAAAGTGCTTTGACGGACAAAGCAGCAAAAGCAAGACAATACGTATAAAAACGGTACAATAGACGAAACAATAAAACCAATTAATATGATGAAAATAAGCTAAGAAATAAAATAAAATAATTTAGTAAAATAAAATATAGCAGTTTAACAGAGTATTTCTACACTGAGGTACTATTACATGTATTACTGGTACTTTATTCCCCCCACCACTGCCTCTGCCATGGTGTACAGTAGGTCTGCACAGGTGCATCATGGGATACCACACTTGGTCCTGGATGTAAACAGTTAACTAGCGGTCCGTGGTGACGTCAGACGCTGCTTTCTTTCTGCTCCGGGCCGAAGAGACAAGTGTCCCAAACTACTCCACGACTCTTTACCGACCGATCACCAGCTGCTGCCGCGGAAAAAACAACCTGAAAATGGGCAACTGTCAAGTAGGTACCGCCGTCTGCAACGGTGCGCTCCAAACGCACTGATTTTATGGAGATATATGTATTTATATATGGAAAATATTTTAACAATCAGCTGTTTTTGGGCTTCTGCTGCAAGTGTGAGCGATAGGTTCGAGTTGACGTTATATTTCGGGGGTTCATTTCCGATATAAATGTATTTAATACTTATTGTAGCCTTGCGTTACGTCATGGATCGGCCTCTGTTCTCCGTCAATCCCTGCGCACGTCGTATAAATATATATATATATGTATTTATTTCAGCTGGCATTGAGAGTAGATGGTGTCAGATTCATAATATTTTGGTGTTTCTTTGAATGTAAGAGTATGACACCGTGTGACAGACAACCGTGTCTGGGTTTACGCAGAGGAAATAGCCACTCCCCTGCGGAATGCATCGCAGCTCCGTTAGGTGTGTGTGTGTGTGTGTGTGTGTGTGTGTGTGTGTGTTGATGAATGAATGAAAGGGTCCATAAGTGCAAAGTGGGGGGAGGGTGTCGTTTTGGGTGCCTCTGTGCTCATTTGTTTTATTAATAATAATAATTGGGAACTTTAATTACACCAATCAGTAAAAATAAGCTTTATTTTAATCCATAATTGTATAAAGTTAGTAATTTAAAAGTGCTTTTACACTTCAAATAACATCCAACTCAAAATGCAGGTATTCCAACATGAAATAAAATTATTACATAATAATAATAAATAATATTAATAATAAAAAATATAATAATAATAAAATTATATAACTTAATAGTTAATACAATAATAATAATAATAACAAATATTAATAAAAAATATATTTCCTAATATGTAATAATATTATTTAAAAAATACAAAATATAAGAAATAATAATAAACAATGTAAAAGTTAATTTACTATATATTCTTCTTGTTATGGGACAGACAAGTGGCATTAAACTATTCTACTCGGGATGATGTAGTCTTTCCCAGACCCCTGTTGGCCCCTGGACCGCACTTTTCACGGGGGCCCCCAAGTTTGTTTAAAGACTTCTGCCCCTGAATTCCTCCACCCAAGCATTGTGTCATCGTCCTCCCCTCCCCCATCAGCCAGCTGCTGCATAGCTATCATGAACCCCTCTGAACTATTTTAATTAAACAAACGATCATACAACCAGATTATTAGCTTCATCTACATAACAATCCTCTGTTATTCTCTCAGCCCACAATCGTGCACTACGAGGATTTTGACGTCGTAGCTGACATCAAGGCCATCCGCAAAGCCTGCAAAGGGTTCGGTGAGTTAACTTGAATTCTAGTAATAATAAACTTTTGTGAGTATTGTTGCATTGTTTTATCATGCATCTGTTTTTGTGTTGTCTTCTCTACAGGAACTGATGAGCAGGCCATCATTGACATCCTGGCAAACCGAAGCGCAGCTCAGCGTCAGGACATTAAAAATGCCTATTTTGAAAAGTATGATGATGTGAGTGTCACTCAGCAATACACTGAATACTGTATATTTTTCACCACAACAACCATTTGAACTATTATTCTGTTTCCTGCCCTTTTTAATCACCCATCCCAATGTAATTCGGTCTCTCTGTGACAGGAGTTGGTGGATGTGTTGAAGAAGGAGCTGTCAGGGAACTTTGAGAACGGCATCCTCGCCATGCTGGACCCGCCCCTGATCTTCGCTGTGAAGGAGCTGAGGAAGGCCATGAAGGGAGCGGGCACCGATGAAGACGTCCTGGTGGAGATCCTCTGCACCGCCACCAACGATGTCAGTTTAAAAGCATCCAATAATTTAAGAGTTTATACATCACCAGTCTGTGTGCCATTGAGTTCAGATACTTTTGTTTTTGATGTAAGAAATACTTTCAATTTATGTATTCATTGTATATAATCGTTTCCCACAGGACATCCACATGTTCAAGGAATGCTACTTTCAAGGTAAGCCATTCGCAAAATTAACTTAATTGTGTCCATCAGATGCTGTGCAGTAGTTAAACCTCTCACCCACTATGTTACTAAATGTCACTATTTCCCTTCCTTGTATTATGAACCCTGGAGGAAATGGCTAATTGTGACTCACTTGGATTCATAAAATACTTTACTATTGTGTCCCTTTAGCTGCGTAATGTACAGTCACACTTTGTTTAGTCAAGACCCATCCTGCTGCAACTTCCTGTTCACAATACCAGATAGCTGATTATATTTGTTTATTTTAAGAGTGATTTTGAACACAGCTTTAGTCTCTTCTTTTGTGAATCCAGTTTTCTTGTAACTGTACCAATCCATGTTTACAGTACCTTTGGTTTAGCTAACTCTTCTTTTATGGAATCTTGTCCTTTTCAGATTTTTTGCTTTTAAAGATTTCAAAAGCAAAAGCAATTTGTTTCACCCACACACATAATGAGGGCAGGCGAACAATTACATTTGGCAGAAAAACATTCTCATTCATGTGTAAATACTAGGTCAAGGATTCTTTCTAGACTCAAAATATTTTGTGATAAATGCAGGAATCTATTATTGAAAAGGCTAAGATACTAACTGGTGGTGTCATTAAGGTTTTTTAAGAAGGAAATCGGGTCAAAATAGGTTAATTTCTAACTTACGGCTGGTTAAGGGAAAGTGGGTTTACCCAAAACTTCATTATAAATGAAAAACAGACTGGACATGACCAACTTGTATCTGGTACAAGAGTACTGTAGGGGTGGACTTCCCCTTTAAATACTGAGACGTACAATAAACAGTGTGACGAGTCATTTCATTTGACCTCTTTTCTGTTTACATTTCAGTGCATGAGCGTGATCTTGAAGCAGATATCGAGGGAGACACAAGCGGGGATGTAAGAAACCTGCTCATGGCTCTATTGGAGGTAAGTGGCCTTTAGTTTCTACTCCACTCGCGTAACTGAAATCCTCCCGTCTGCTCTGGGCTGGGACTGAAATCGAGCTCACTCTCCCTTTGCCCAATCATTCCCTATGAACACACGCACACACACACTTACTGGCCACAGTCCAAACACCCTCTCAGTCGGACTCAGCACACAGCAAAAAGTCATCTATCTCTTCGTCCTCCAGGGCAACAGAGATGAGAGTTACGAGGTGGACGAGGAGCTGGCGGAGCAAGATGCTACCTGCCTCTTTGAGGTACTGTTTCAGTATTAAATTCATCATATCCTCAGATTCATTAATGCTGAACCATATTAATAGGTGCTGTTTCTGATGCAGGCTGGTGAGGGTAGTTTTGGAACAGACGAGTCCACTTTCAACTACGTCCTGGCCTCCAGAAACTACCTGCAGCTCCAGGCCACCTTCAAGATATACGAGCAGGTAGGTTTTGGGTGTCACGCCGTCCACAGATAGCTGCAGAGATATTACATGACCTGACGAGCGTGGGAATCGATCAGGGTCGGTGTCTTTATATCACGCTTGAGAAGTGTGTCGTGCAGACAGACTCTCATGGGGCTTTAAAATATCCTGAACGTCTTCAATCATAGGATTAGGAGGGAAGTGTTGACGTGGGGAAATTAAACGTTATACTTAAAGGCATTGCCGGTGCTTTGATTCAACCAGTCATTTTCTCTCCGTAGCTCTCTGGAACTGAAATCCTGGACGCCATCGAGAATGAGACTTCTGGGACACTGAAGAAATGCTACGTAGCTCTTGGTTAGTATGAAATACAAAGTGTGTGATCTGAATTTATTTGGACCACCTTCCCAAATAAATGAGGAAAAAACACAACATCAACTGGGCTGTGAATATATGTTATGCCACTTTAACATATATTTACGCAGTACCAGTAAACAGCAGTGGTATTAAATGGACGCCTTTCTTTCCTCCCCTCAGTGAGAGTTGCTAAGAACCCTCAGCTCTACTTTGCCAGACGGCTGAACGACGCCATGAAAGGAGCGGGCACCGAAGAGGACACCCTGATTCGCATCATTGTGTGTCGCTCTGAGGTAACTGCAGACATGACATCACAGCCTGGACCTCATTCTTAACTACCACATTAAGTTATTTTATCAATATTTGATTTATTGACTACTGGGTTACTGGGAGAAATCAGGTTCTACCGACAAATCCTTCTCATTGTACCTTTAATATGTTTACATTTTTAAGTATAAGTCAAATATTTAGCTGTGGAAACCGACTGTAAACGCAGTGATTATTTCTTCTTCTTGTGAACAGTACGATTTGGAGACCATCAAAGACTTGTACCTGGAGAAATACGACGTGTCTCTGAAGGAGGCCCTGAAGGACGAGTGCAGCGGCGACTTTAAACGCCTCCTACTGGCTATCTGCCACTGAAGGTCTGAGAGTGAAACAGGACGGTATGGAGGACAGAATCTGACTAAAACAGAAATAAATTGATAAATGACTCGAAAAATACATGAATATGTCATTAAATGTACAAAAATGTATCAAAAATAGATGTAGGCATTAATAAATTGATAAAACGTGACAAATAGATTTTTCTTATTTATTTATTTACTCTATATGATGCATATATATATATATATAATGAATAAATACATTTATAAATAATATTTTTTAAATAAATAAAAAATAGAAGAGTAGATATAAAGGGGAATTAATACAAAGGTTATTAAATAAAGAAGCAAATTAAAACAGAAATATTGATTTATCACATTTTATCAATCAATTAATGCCTATCTTTATTTTTGATATTATACATTTAAAGACATTCTAAGTTATTTACCGAGTCGTGTATATTTATTTTTGGATTTTGGCAGGTTTTGGACGTGGACAACAGAGGCAGAGACAGCAGAGTCTACTGAGGGCGCTGCTGTTTTCTGTCTAACAAACTAATTACTACTCTCTCCATGTGACATAATGTAGGGAGCAGGAGGGTGGAAGTAATGGAACGATTAACCTGGCTCGTGTTTTGTCTGAGTTACTGTTAGTGTGGGTGGCTCTCTTTTTAAACTTTTTCCACAGACGATAATTACGAATTTCCGCATTTAACCGAAATCAAACCTCTTTCTGTGTCTGTCAATTACTGCCCATTTCTGAGTCAATTTTGAGCTCCAGATCTAAACACATTTACCAGCATTTACACAGTTTTAGTCACCGTTAACAAGCACCAAGACTTCTACATTTCCAGGAGCCATCTGTAGTCACACTGACGCCATTACACCGAGTGTTTGTACACTCTGGTGAAGCTATTGCTCCAGTATGTTTCTCTGCTGCTTCATGTATTAAAGTAATGAGTGTTACACTATCACCATCATATAAGTATTAATCTGTTTGTTTTTTTCTATATCTTTCACCCTCCATGCCCCAAACTCAGTGACTGTTATGTTTCACTGCTGTTACAACTAATGCAATCAGTCCATGTGGCTTGAAGTTTGTGCTTCTAAATGAAGAAATGTGAACGTTTGAAATGAAGGAGTCCTAGTTGGCGTCGAGAAGGACATGTTATGCGAGTGGATGTTATGAATTGTCTGGGAGAACGAGAAAAACTTGACAAATCCAAAATACAACTCACCTCGTTATACATATATTTTGTTTTGTACTTTACGACTAACACAGTAGAGTGTTTTAATATATATTATTTAGTGTACTGTTTAGGCCAGAGGGTATATGAGAAGAAACCTGTAAGAAACATTTAGCATCTAGACAGTGTGATGTCAGTTGTGTGTTTCTATAAGGCAGCTGAGATTTGTTTAAAGTACCAATATTGTGTACTGATGTACATGAGATAGTTGCAACATGGGCATCAGTTGGACTAGTGTTTGTCTCTCTATAGCCAAAGAATTTTAGTCTAACTGCAAATAAAGTTCCCTATAACATCATTATGTCTGGTTTTATTTGATCTTTGACTGTCTGTGATACTCTGAGGAAGTAATGCACATAAAAAACAACTTATCATCAGTATACATAGAGTTGTAATTGACAAAAAGGACATTTAAACAACCACCGATGACTGTAGAAGGGAAAGATCTCGCCGACAGGCTAGAAGGGGGCGTGTCCTTCCATGGACCGTGTCAGCGCTGCTTTGCTGCCTTCCTGTACAGTCGGAAAAATACATGTTTAAAATAAAAGTGGGAAAGAATAAGGGGAAACCTGATATTTTACAGTATAATTTAACTCGTATCATACTAACATTACACATATATTCATCTGTGTATGTAGCGTGAGGAGGGGGCTACAACTGAATTTCATTGTGCCATCATGTATTGTATTAAAAACAAATTACGATTTTTAGCTGTGTCCCTGAACGCATCTTAATGTTGGCTCGGAGCTCTCTGGCCCCGCCCCTCCCTCAGACATGCACGCTGTACTGTAGTCTCGCAATTCCTCCACACGTCTCTGTTTATGTTATATTTTAGAAAAACGGAGCATTGTGCAGGAAGTGAGACTTGAGCTCAACGCGACACTGACGCAGGAACAACCTCCGACACCGGTTTTACCCGCTGGCCTCTCCTGAAGGTACGTTGTCCCGTGTGTTGCTCCTTTCCCCTTGTTTAGCAGGTAATTATAGTCATTAGCATCCATCTTGGTAGAAGCTAATTAAACCACTGCAAGGAGAAATGGTTGTCCCTTTAGCCTGCTAAACATTAGCCTGCACGTTATCTTTATATGCTGTGGGGTTTATAACGCATGACATGTTTAAATGTAAGGATGTAATACCTTAATATTCATGCAACATCTTAATATTCCTGCAGTAAATCAATAGATTTAAAGATAAAAGGCATGCAGACTTTGCCATTGTATTATCGCACTTAATTAATCGTTTTTACCTTATGTGCTAACAATGAAAATGTTAAATTCCTCCATAGTTCACCTGATTGTGTCAGGTGTGGAGGCCGGATTAATCACTGCAGCATGGTGTGTTTACGTGCTGCAGCTTGCACATGTTAAACAATAGTAGAGTCCGTCACCATCTCTATGCGTGAACAAGTAGATACACTATTTTACTTTAGTCTGTTCTGCTGTTTGCAATATTGCATCCAGGTATCGAGCACCTGAACGCACCACCTCTTGTTTCTATACTCTGCAGCCAGTAACCATATAAGGTAAACAAGTACAATAGGGGTAAAAGTGCACATGCATAACTCTGTGTCAGCAATTAATGTTGCTTATTATTAGGAAATCATAAAGTAATTCAGAAGATAAGGGTGGGTATAATAATAAATGCTGTTGCATTATGGGAAATGAAGGATCCAGAGTATTTGGAGCCTAAGGGACTAAATGTTAGGATATATTGGCATCTGTTGCTTTGATTTTGACCCAACCATCGATAGAAAGTAATGTTGACAAGTCACAATCAGGTTTAATACCCACTTTCTCACTTTATTACTTTATACATTTTTACACCTATATATGCATAAACATGTTTATTCTCCCCTGACTGGCAACTGGTACCCACAAATAAATATAATTAACTCTTCAAAGTGTTTCTAATTACAGGGTGCACGTCTCCACATGCTGCAACTTCTGATACAGAAGCAGCTGTTTGGTTTATGTGAATTATCCTGTGAGGATTGCTTCAAGAGATATTTGTATTTTACAGTGTAGGAGACGCACAAAGAGAAATGTATTATCTCAGGATAAACCCATTGAGATGTATCTTCTCGTTTTCTAGAGGGTCCCAAACAAACACTCACCAAACAAATGGAAAACACAACAATGCAATAAACAATATCAAACAACACAGTAACAATGACTAAACAAACAACCTGCAAATGTTCAAACAAACTAAATAATAGGACAAAAGAGTGCAACCATAGACGTAATCAAAATAAAAAGAATGATGTATAAATATATGAACAGTAATAGCATGACTATAACATGGACAATTTGTTTTAAGATGAGAAAATAAATTTTAAATTTTAAAATAATGTTGAAAGAACATTAAGAAATTAAAATAAAATTCTGAAGCCTGGTTCTAAATTAAATTCATAAAAACTTTGGTTCCCTGCTCATATTTAATGAATGACTGACTAATGCATGATTCATCCCGTTCTAATGAATGCACTTCTGCTTCATAAGTCATGAACTCATGTGGCTCAGGATTAATAAATGATTCAGTTTTGTCTTTCGTTTATTAAGTTATTCCGTTCAAAAGGTGAAAGCTTTGAAAGCTGCAGAAATAAAAGGAGTGTTAGTCCGTCATTAAGGAACCGTTCACCACTTTAACCGGAGGGTCACACCGGACTATGTCATGGAAACACAGCTAATGACGATTATAACATTCAACAGATGTGTTTATTTAAATGCAGGAGGACATGAACATGCTGAATATGAATTATGTTATAAAACCTCTCAGTCCCTGCATTAATTAATGTATTCTTGTGTTCATATACGTGCATTAGTCGCTGTTAATTCATATGCATTTCTCATAAAGTCTTAAACTAGAGCCTTTATAATCAAAAGCATTGCTATTTTACATTTTTATGAATGTAATTTTTGCACACAAGTATATAAAAAATCTATATCTTTTAATGGAATTCTCAGAAGATAAAAGATATCAGCTTTCATTGTTTGTCTCTACATTGCAGCCATAACACTTTAAAAACCTTACTTAACAACAACACACGTTTGTATCACTGAGTCAGGAAAACAGAGCTACATAACTTGTGAGGGTCACAAACTTTTAAAATAATGGAGGACTTATCAAGTAGTTATGACTTCCGTATCTCACTATTTGGACTTTCTATCTCATACTTATGAGGAAAGTATCTCTAAATGAGTCCCTGTGTCCGTTTAGGAGTCGATCTGAAATGCAGCTGGCTTTGTGGTGTTGCACTGTCTTCTGTAACCCGTCACATTCTGTTCCCTGTAAAAGAGTTTCTCCTGTGTTGTAACTGTTACTTTATACTTTGTCATAATCTTAAATTTGACAGGTAGGCCTTTTAGCAGAAATGGTGAATTATGATTTCTGTTAACCAAGAACTGTGACCCACGATACTCACACACACTAAGTTATTCTCCTCAGTCGAGATACTACGGCACCGCCATGTTTTGTAACAGCTGTCCAAACAAAGCATGAATATATGTATGATAATACATGATATCTTGGACCAGTGGATCTGAAAAACAAACCTCTCCAGCAGCAGAACAACATCTTGTCTTAAAGTATCGACTATATATTCATCTCTTGATGCTCCATAGCACGATGAATAATCACACTGCCTCTATTATTCTAATATCCAGTCACAGCAGTTCACGTAACAAGAGGCATTCAATCATAACGCAGTAATTCAAGAGTTAAATATATTCCTACATAGGCATGACTCATGCATTAAAGCTCGATGAGTCATGTTTTAGTTCTACAGCTCTATAATTTTGATATCGCATCTTATAATTACAAGATCCGTATTTCATAAAAGAGATCTTTATCTCTTAATTATAAGATTCAGATCTCATAATTACGAGATGTGTATCTATAAATGTCTTCCTATGAGATGTTTGGCGTTAAGTAAGTTTTGCTTTCTGAATCATTTTCATTTGTTTTTACATAATTGATTTGTTGTTTTCATGTACAGTAGTTATTTCCTAATATATAGTGTCAAAGTATATTTTTATGGGTATTATTTTCACAGTATTCTTTCCTACTATATGTAGTATTCAAAATATGCTGGCCAGTAAAAGACCAGTAATTTCTTTGTCAGAACAATTAAGTTGTTTAGGTTTTAGTGTTGATCTAGCAGCTTTTATTAGACTGCTTTACACAAGTTTAGTATCTTATAATATAAGTATTTTTATCTAAAGGGGACATTGTCAATGCCTTGCTCTCGGATATAAAATCTGATTGTAACTCCCCTCTGGTCCTCTCTCAGGCGTGGAGCGATGGCGTCCGTGTGGCAGCAGGAGCCCTCGGGTTATTCCCCCTGCGTGGAGATCGACTCCAGCTCCGTGAGGTGCAAAGACAGACTCACGTCTCCGGTCTGGCTGAAGCAGGAACAAGACGACCTGCGCATCATCAAGTGGGAGAACTTTCAATCTGGAGCCTCAGCCGACGCCGTTCAGGACAACACGCCCAGCAGCGCCATGTCGGGTGAGAGCGCACATACATTTATAGGGTCGTGTCGGTCTTTAAAGGGACAGTTCGGGTGTTTTGAAGTGAGGTTGTATGAGGTACTTATCCAGAGTCAATGTATTGAGTGATTTCAGAATAGTTTTACACACACGGTTCAACATTGTCCTGAAACATATCCTGCATGTTTTGTGATGATTGGACAGTTTCTGATATACAGTCTGATGTGTGTTGTGTCATTTTGTGCATTTTAGCGCCCCCTAGTAGTCGATTTGATTACAACTCTCAGGGTATGTTTCAGGTACTCTTGTGGACACATCCTGCACGATTTGTAATGATTGACACAACATTTGTTGACTTTGGTCAAGTTGTGTGCTGAGCCACTTCCCTTTGAAGCTCATTGGTCAATATCTTAAAAACTACATAAGATATCAACAAGCTTTTGATCAAGCTTGGTCCAATAATAATCAAACCTACGGTGACTCTCGTTGGCTTGCACCCTCACTAACTGACGAGAGCATAGATAACGGCTTTAGTTCCCAGTCTCACAGCACGGTCAACCAACAGAAATATTCTAAATAACACTTAAACCAACATAATATTTTTTAGCCAGGTCTTTTATTTTAAGGAGTCTAAAATGCTGCTGCCCCCGTCCACAGCAGTACATTGCTTTGCTTCCATGCTGGTGCTCCTGTCTGCTTCTCCAAACTGCTGACAGTCATCTACTGTAAGTAATATACTGATTAGATAAGTACTTCATACAACACTTCAAAACATCTGGACTATCCCTTTAAGCCCGTTTAAGATAACTGTGTTCCCTGTTTTCCCCAGTGTTCACAGTCTGGATTCAAACACACCAGTCTCTTGACAAACCAAAAAAAGTTTAATCTTTATTTGAGTTACAAGATCAGCGACACTTTCTGTTTTATGCCATAAAGCATTTACATTACTTCCCCTTTTGGCACATAATGTAAAATCTTGTGTTGTGGCTTTAAAGACCAAATTATATATTTGTTATGATTATACTCATGTCTCATATAATTATTTCATGTTTTAATACTTTGTACGGTTCCTTTTTATTACCCAACAGCCCCACTACAAACGTAATTTACACCAGTGAAGTAAAGTGAAGGAGTTATTTTTACATAATGAGACCATAAGCTGTGTGTTGTAATGCTGTGTTTCCTCCAGCTGCCTCACATGTAGACAGCCTGCCCCCGCGGGTGCTGCTGACCATCACCAAGCTGCAGTGCATGCTGGAGAGCAAACAGGAGCGCATCGCCGCTCTGGAGAGACAGGTGGAGGACCTGATGCAGGACCGCAAGTTCCTGAGAAGCCAGATTGAAAACCTCACGTGCAACCGAGCCATGCCCACCTTTGCGTCGCCCAGTCCGCTCACTGAAGGTCCGTGTCCGACGTGCAGGCGTGTTTGACTCACAATATCTAACTGGATGCTCTTATTTATGTCGATTCTTGTTGACCACACGCAGCTCCAAAACCCAGCAAAGCGCAGCACTCGGAGAACAGATCCCGGAAGAGAGAAAGAGCTTCTTCTTGTTCCTCCGACAGCAGCGACAACGGCTCCGAAGCGTCGGGATCATCGGAGGTTTCAGTGGCCTCGAGTGAACACAGACGGAAGAAACACCACAAGGACAAGAAGAGATCAAAGAAAGGGAAGGACTACAGCAGGAAGAGAGGCGAGTAGACTTTATCGTCTAAAGCTAGTACATATTTGAATGTGTTAGAGTGCAGAATTAACAGCAGGGTTTAGGAGTCTGCTAGTATATCAGTGTTATTAAAAATACTTCCAGGACAACATATCATCCAACAAAAGTGTTTGTTGTGAGCGGCCTACCTACAGCCGTCAGTGTTGTGTGATGTTAGATATACGTAGATTACCTCCCTCTTTAAAACGTGTAAGAAATACAGATCTAAATATGTTATACTTGTTAGAGCATGTCCTTCAGTTTAGAAATGGTGTGACATTAGAATAGGCGAGAGAGGGATAGGAGAGAATAAATGATTTCACATACAATTGTGATGGAAGAAGAAGTCAGTTTGTAGGTAACACAGTGTTGAAGGGTAGCTTCTGTATTTTTCAACCTCAGCCCTATTCTCCCATATATTTGTGTCAAAGTGACAAATGGGGACAACAATTTTTGAAATTGGTCCGGTATTGAGGGAGAACGCTGCTAAACGCAGCTGCAAGGTGAGCGGAAAGTAAAGAAAAAGGTTTTATTTCTCTGTAGAGAATAGGGAGTTCCTCTCCATAATGTTGTCAGACACTTGTAGTAATAATCTGAGCCTGTCAATGGCCAGTGGAGTTCTCCCTCAATACCCGACCATTTTCAAAAATTGTTGTCACCAATGGTCACATAAACACAAAAACGTGGGAAAGTGGAGTCCAGGTGAGCAAAATACGATAAAGTTTTTCTCACTTTTGCACATGCTGATCAAGACTCTGTTTGCAATGACTAAATATTCTTCATCCCTTCTGTAATAACCGTGTAATAACATGCCTTGTCACGTTCCTTCCACCCAGCCACGGGTGTCCAGTACGTCATCCACCGCTACAAACAAGTCCTGTCAGCCTTCATCAAGAAGAAAAGCATGAGCGAAGCCTTCCGCCACCTGGGAATCGACCGGAACACCATCGCCAACACGGCCTCCATCGCCGAGCTCCATCTGGCCGGCAAAGACATGGTCCCCCTGGTGGGCTTGTTTCGCCAAGGAGAAGAGACTCTGGTGAGCTACGCGCAGAGGTGCACCTTGGTCATCGACAGCGACGTCGACCTGTCCCGGAAAATAGACCATATGAAAGCTAACGGCGAGCTGCTGCCCATCTCAGGGAAAAGGCCCAGGGTGCTGCATTCTCACCTGCAGCAGCTGGGGGGCGCTGCAGAGAGCATTTTAATAGGTTGACGATCATTTCACTGCATGGAGGAGGGGTGGAACATAATGTCTTCACACAAAAATATGTTTTGTTTTGTTTTTACACCAACTTGAACTGCTGGATTTAAATGTTTTATGTGACATTTCTGCATTTCTTTAAAAAGTGAATGCCTCAAAGGGGAACAAAAATGTTAATTATTTCCAGTTTATGCATCTCAGTATCCACATATCCACATTCAGGATGTATATTTTGTACTTGATAGCCAGAAGAGATGATTAATAGCTGCTGTCACCAACATGTTCTTATTATTTAACAGCAGAGGAGCATGTAGTGTTAGAAACACCCACAAGATGGCACTCATATATTATATTATGTTTACAGATCACTCCTCTTGTCATTTTACTCCAAAATGGTGGATAGTCAATTTCCATTTCCCAGCACCTTGCTCTATGTTGGAAGTGTAACTTTCCGTTCATAGAAAATGGTTTTCCAGACACTTTCCTGTGATTCATGAAGCTGTAATTGAAGCGAGCGTTAATGTTTCTGAACTGCCGACAAATGAAAACACTGTTGAGTGAGTCGTGTTGCTTCTCTGTTCATCAGGTGTTTTCACGTGATGTTACCGTTCGTGACCTTTTATGGAATATGAAACCTTTCAGAGAGAGGGGTCACAGGTCAAAGGAGTCCGACAGTGAAACATCTGCATCGCATCAACACCCAAAACGTGTCGTTTCTGTCTTCTGTGAGCCGACGTGTGATTGACAAAATGCGATGCAGCACAAGTGTTTATGAAATGATTCTGTCTCTTGACCAGAGGAGCGGGCCGCAAACCAGTTGAGTAGACGGATGGAAAAGCAAACCGAGACATCCTCGGGCGACGGTAAGTGTCAGTGCAAAGTGTTGCCGCTGTTTGCTTTTCACGCGGAGTGACAAATTACTTGTGCAAAGCCATTAACGGGGGCTGCACCCAGGCTGTTTATCTTTGCATGGGACTCTGTCACTGTCACTCCCATTCACACGCCGGCTATCTGCTTATCTTTCACTCTCACACCCCCCCCAGCCCTCTTCTGTCATGAACTCATTCAGTCATTTCTCATTACCTATCGCTCCTCCATCTCATCTTCATCCTTGCTTTTCTTTTCTGTCTCCTCTGTTTCACCCAAAACAACAACAAGCTGGTGTAGTTTGGGATAGTGCGGAAACATTTCACAGCATTAGAGGCGACGTGGAGTTCAGCCTCTCGGCCTGTTGGCAGCCAGAGGGGACAGGTGCATGCTGGTCTGTCGGCAGCGTGAGGTAGAGAAAGAGGTGGGTGTGTTTCTCTCACTTCTTCCCTCCTGAGGCGGGCAGACGTCAGCTCTGCTCTCCTCGTCACCAGCTCCAGATGTGACAGCAGGTTTTCTGCAAATGGGGGAAAAAAGGACGCTGAGAGTAAAGTACAGGATGGGATCAAGGTATATCACTGCTTCATTTTTGTACACTGGTGGTCAGCATATACCCCTAAAAATAGGAAAGCCTCCACCTGCTAACACTGCAGAGTGGCAGCTGTGAATTTGTTGTTAATGACTCGGCGTGATGGAGCTGAGGATGGAGATAGGATGTGGGCCTAATCGAGCCTGAAGCCTTCCCTCCTCCTCCCCCGGCCTTTTTGACTCACACTGGTGTGTGGAGCCAGCTGGGACTCCATTTTGTGTCTTTCCTGGTTGCAGGTGCCTCGTCACTGTGGAGGCTCAAGTGCCCGATGGGTGCAAAATCAACCCCTCCTCCTCCTCCTCGTCTAGCTTTGATCCTGACCTTGACAAAAAGAGCATCTGGACGTTCTCACACAGAGTGGCTTGTAATAACCACCAATCACCCTCTTAATGATGCAAGTAAAATGTGTTTGACCTGGTGGGTTCAAATGTTTTGTTGTTATTCTGTCAGTGGGCCAGACCTGCTGCGTAATAAACACCTCAGACACATTATGTAAAGGATCACGAGGCGAAGAGCTCAGACTTCAATTGATTTTATGCTTTCTGGGGAAAATAGTTCTCAGCTTGAAAACCACTGAGTTTAATGTCACTTTTTAGATTACTGCTGGATATTGAGTAACCAGTTGTGTTGGCATCTCCTCCGGCTTATTGTTTGTCGAGCAGAATTGTTTTTTGGGGGGAAATATTCTTATTTGCTTTCTTGCCGAGGATTAGATGAGAAGATTGATAACTCATGTATATGAAGCTACAGCGGGGAGTTGTTTAGCTTAGTTTAGCTTATCACAAGGACTGGAAGCAACAGGGAAACGGCAAACCTGGCAGGGTGCAGTTACTACGTCACTTTAATTTGACAAAGAATTTAAAAAATATTTAGAATCAGCTTTATTAAGATTTTACTCTGTTTTTTAAATCCCTGTACAATGTATCTACACAGAAATATAAATAACAGCTGTAGGGACAAGGACAACAAAGCAATAACAAATAGGTATAAATATAAATATTGTATATGTACAAAAAGCACCAATAATCAATAATGAAATGAGAAAAAAATCGCATGTTCTGTAAGTTGTAAATAATGCAAAGAAATAAATACTGAAAGGATATACATGGACTGGATGATTACGTAAAACCACAACTTGTCCTTTTTACACATTGGATTTTATACAAACTAAATGTAACATGATATTTATTGAGCCTTTGGTGTGTTTTCTGAAACTAGCCATTTCTCCTTGTTTCCACTCTTTGTGCTGAGCTATGCTGGAGCCAAAGTACTATTAGCTTAGCTTAGCATCAACACTGTATACAAGGGGAAAAACTAGCCCGGCTCTGTCGGGGGGAGACTACCTGTTTCCCCCCTTTTCTAGTTCTTGTGCTCAGCTAATTGGCTTCATATTTACTAACACCAGAGTGGTCTTCTCATCCAACTCTTGGCAAGACAGTGAATTCTGAACTATTTATTTTAAACTGCTGCCATCTCAGGCAGAACCCTTAATTCCACTATAAACCAAATTATTTTTCATAATTTCCTTTGCTTTATATCTTTAGCAAGTCTGCAGGGTGCGTCTGGTGTTTTTGAACAGTAGTGACAGGAATCAAGCTTTAGACTCAGTGATACATCCTCATAGCTAAAGGACTTGACAACATACCAGTGGTCATCAGAGTTACTCATTTGGAAGCACACACTTTTAGTGTTAAGCCAGAGACGCTCAAGCTGATTTCAATTCTCCAAAATGAACGGACAGTTGATGTGACTGCGTGTCTCTTCACCTTTCCTCCGCCCTTGGTCTTCCTGCTAATGAAATCTTAAAATAACCTGCTGGGAAAAAGAAGTGGGTCAGACCACCAGCGCGACGCCAATCCAAAAACATCAAGTAGTGCATTATGGGTATTTCCCCCTGTGGTATAATTGAGGTGGGGGCCGGAGCCTGCGTACTGGTGGGTGACTGTTCTTGTCCTCTTTCTGCAGAGAGGGGACGTCAACGACAGTTTTTGTCAACCAAAATCATAGTTTATCATGTTCTTGTTCCCCACACTATATATTGTCTAATGCACGAGACCACGGGGTTGTTTCTGTGTAGCACACACACACCCCCCCCCCCCCGAGCTGCTAGTGGTGAGAGGCACTAGAGGACAGTGTTGTATCCAGTTCACTCTCGTCATGTTCTATTGTTTGTGGCCGGACGCATCATGCACACACCCGTCCGTGCGCAGCTGATAAGATTCGGTCTGATGGGTTAACAGTAACAAGCTCCCACTACAGTGTAGCGTGACTCTTTAAACATGCATGTTAAGACATGGATAGGACAACATGGATGCAAACCTTCTCAGACACAATGTTTGCCCTGCTGTTTTTTGTAAACCCTTCAAGCTGTCCACACAAGCCAGTGAAATGATCATTAATGACACTCCTCTTGGCAATTATAAAATAGAGATGATGCTGATCTGGATCCCTCTACAATGACAGCCTTTCTGCCAGCGCAGCTCCATCAACACGTCTTGAGGTATTGCTGGTGCGCTCTCCATCTGGCTGCCACTGATAAGAACTTACTGGGGGCTGCTGGATAATAGTCTCGCAAGCTTAAAGCCAGGAGGGCGGGGTCGGGGCATAATGTATTCTGGGGGAATTCAGCAAACAGGACCCTATAAACCAAACCTCTTCTCCCCCTTTTGAGCAAAAACAGCCCGCTATTTCGATAGAGCCAGTGGGGGTGGAGGGGTGGGGGCATCATGTCACCATAGTCGTATGATTCGCCACAAGCGTGATTTTTTTTATTCCTGGAGAAACACGATGGCTGCACTCAGTCACAACATCAGTGAGCAAGTGCTGTTCCGTTAACAGTGCAGTGATCAACCGTGAGCCAACGCTGAGCTTCTGCACTCAAGTGGATCTATTCCTCCGTGCAGCAGCAGCATGGTCTCGTCTCTTTGCACTGTTTGGAAATATGTAAAGCTGGTACAACCTCTATTTTCAGGGTCAGAGGCACTGACTGTTTTTTTTTTTTTTTTTGGTGTGTACCCCCCCAGGTGTCCTCAGACTGACAGCGGTGCCTCATGGGAGATGTAAGAGCTAAAAATGATACATGATTGTACACCGTGGGCTCCGAAAGGTTGCGTGTATACATTTTGTGGTAGTATTATGTGTAGTCGGGTCATTTTATGAATCTGTTTTCGGACACAACCTCCAAAGATAGAAGGCAACCTGTGAAAACATGAAAAATCGTGTGGTTTTTTTTTTCTCTCTCTCCTCCCCAGAAACCAGCAAACTCATGTGACAGCGACGTCAACCACCGACAAAGAAGAGATGATGGGATGTGACGTAGAAGAATACGCAAGATGACAGCATTAAGGAACCCAACCCCACCCTCAAATCCTGTTGGGTATCCGCTCAGTGACGCAGGACAAATCTTTGGCACACAAAAAAAAGAAAAATCCTTTTGAAGGGGACTGGATTCAGGCAGACACACAACTCACGGTGTGAAAGACTCACAATGTACTCTCTCTCTCTCTCTCTCTCTCTCTCTCTCTCTCTCTCTCTCTCTCTCTCTCTAGCCGAGGTAATGACAGGAAAAAAGTGAAAGTAAAGGAAATAAAGCGAGTGTGGTAGAGTGAAATGACTCGACCGCCGATCAGAGCTGTCATATTATCTGGAAACACAGACAGATGGGAGGTTTGGCCGTAGGGGAAATGCTTTCCCTATCTGCCGTAGTGATGAAATCCGAGCTTGGAGAGATGTGCTTTGGAAAATGATTTCACGCCACACACACACACACACACACACACACTGTCTCTGAAGATCTGAGGTCTGGGCTGGTTGTACTTTCATTTAGGAAAGGAGGGATTCTGCCAGATTAGGGGGAGCTGGGCTTCTCTGTGTATTCTCTTCTACTTGACCTCTATTATGATAACAGATGTTAATTACACACTGCTGGGTTTCCCAATGAATCTGCCAGTTCTCACACATCCCTGCTCTTTCACAGAATCACAGAACACGCATTGAGGTTGTTTTTTTTTTAGCAAAATACTGTGTGCACTCTGTTGTGTTACGGCAGTTTTTATTGTGGTGTGACCACATAAATATTTTTGGTAAGTGCTGTTGATGAACCCTTGAAAACAACAAACTTTTACGAGGACTTCCAGGGATGAAAGGATGAACACACACAGACATTATGCACTCATAACATCTGGGCAGAGGAACGAGTGCTGAAGAGCCTCAGAGGCCATGTGCATCAGCAAGTTATACAACTCCTCTCCACTGGGGAAAGAGGACAAACTCTCTGATGATGAGTCACTGTTGGGACGACTCGGCATCGTGTCAGGTGCCCCGCTGGTTGTATGTGGGATGGCAGAGGAGTGGGCGGGGAAAGGTCAGAAGCACTTTGTTGTTGATGTTGTGTTTAATGCACTGTGCAAGAGGATTTAAACACAATAGGTAGCCTGGCTCTTTGGATGGAAACATTGCAATGGATGCAATCTCATTGTCGGTCCACTACTTTGGTCCAGATACATCCTAATGACTTGTAGTGATCCCCTTAATTTTTCTCTTGCACCACATTGAGCTTGACATTTGTGGTTTTGAGTAAAAAAGGTCTCGACAATTATTGCATAGAGTTCCTTGAAATATGCCACATATTTGCATTCAATTGGGACGTACTACTCTCTCATAACATCAGCACCTTGAACTCTTGCTCTTGATATATCTGCTGCTCAAAGGATTGTGTATTTGAACGCACACTGTCACTCTCACTGGTAGACTTGAATAGAACAGAGGCATCGTTAGTGTTATTAACACCTGTGCTTTTCCTACTATGACGAGTCAGAATGTCCACTGTGAAAAAGGCCTTTCGTCATAACTTTGGTGAACGCTTCATTTCTTATCCAGCACCATCATCAGGTAAAAAAATGATTTTGTTTTATGACTAAATACCTGTAAAACTAATGACATTCATCTCAGCTTCAGCTGGACTTTGTGTTTAATGCTGATTAGCAAAGATGTTGAACCTGGTAAACAGTATACCTTTGATACATCAGCATGTTAGCATGTAGCTCAAAGCACCGCTGTGGCTAACACTCTGTCAGGTTTATACATTCAAAAACGAATTTGAAATTGCTTCAATACAAACACAGTAGTTACTGTAATGTGTAATCTTATACATTTGTAGAAAACACAAATAGTTGATCACAAATTGAATGTCACTGGAAAGGTGACATTAACGTCTGCAGAGCTGCAGAGGGTGCTAGTGTGAACAGACGTCTCAAAGAAAGCCCTGTGTTAAGATTATGAACGTCTAAATGTGAATTCAAATTGTGTTGCTATAAATACATCATTACGTACATCAAAGACATCGTCATTCAGCCGACTTACGTCACACAACCTGCACCGAATGCATTAACGTCACACGCAAACCAAGGCTCGTGGGCTACTGCTATGCTCCCACACTGAGATTAGCTGTGTCAAGCTCATGTTCCTCACTGTTGCATCAAATTGAATGAATTTATGCAAACATTTATTTATTTCACCTCGAGGCATTTTTGCCTTCACGCTGCTTAAAAAAAAATCAGCAAACAACGTGACGTGCTTTCGACTGCATTGTCCTCTGCACACATTAAGAAAAAAGGAAGATGGATGAGAACGCTTTCATGTAACTCCTCCACTAAAGCCTCCCAAAATGCTCACATAAACATTGTAATGATCAAGGTTGTGAGGTCAAAAATAAATTCAAAATGGAGCGTCATGCATGTATATAGCTGTGCCAATGATATAATGATCCTTCTATTAACTGCGCAATCCCAATACTCATTTAAGTGGCTCATGATGTGCTCTACCCTACAGCTGGGAAAGTCACGGCCCAGTGGATCGCCACAATGGCAGCCAGTCATTGACGACAGCCACGGGCCTGTCAGGCATTCACACCACGTACCTACGGCCACAATAGCCTCATCAGTAGCCTTATTCAATCAGTCCTCACAGACGGGAGTCGACTCGGGTGTTGCAGACCCAGCCAGCCGTCCACTGATCTGCATCACAGAGGCATCAACAATCGCAGCGTCCCTCCTTAAATCTCCTTGAAGTGATCTCTGATTTCGGCCTGATTGTATCCGACACTGTGCCATTATGACCATTTGATTAGTGCAGGGGAAGGAAGGGCGCCGTGGCCTAGTGTTGTCTTCTTTGTGTGAATTGTTTAAGCAGCATTGTTAGAAACGAAAGCGGACGGGGGAAAGGCGTCTGAGTCGAGGGTTGAGTGGCAAAATTCATGGGAAATACATGATATTTACGTGAGGAAAATAAAACATAAATGCAACCTCAGTGAAGTCATTCAGGCTAGAAGTAACCTTGTAATGGCGGTGCAGGACAGAGCAGGGTCCAGTCGGTGGGGCGATTCGAGGCTGATATCGATTCCCACATGTGCACACACACACACACACACACGTACACACACGCACACACACAGAGGGAGCGACTGTGTTAATCAATTCCCTTATCAATCAATCAATCAACCTTCATGAACTGCTGCTTGTCCTTCACCACTGCAGCAAAACCGCTGTCAAAAGCGTTCAGATGACATGCAAATATTCTCCATCCCCTTTGTAAAGCGACCCAACTTGGGCTGAAGGACCGCTGATGCAGTTTTTATTCCAACGACATTCTTGTGAATGTGAAGAAAAATGGATTCTTGAATTTGTCTTTGCAGCGTTTCGCACACGGGCATCGATCACACTGTAAATGTCTCTTCACTGTGTAACACAATTATACCACCCAAGTTCATGCTTTCGTGTAGAATGTTGATTTCTTCTGTCTGAAGCCAAGAAGACTCACTTCCTGAGTTTATGTCACAATGCAGAGATGCTCGTAATAACAATGCAGGCAGAGTTCAGTGAGTGGGCTACAAGAGACTTGTCATTCCAGAGCCACTTAATTTTCAACAACATAATTGTCCTCGACCACTTACACTGTTCTGAATCCGAACACATTTCATAAATGGTTTGTCGGCGGAGTCGGTCTGAAAACATGTCTCACAACAGCTACTTTAATTTCAGGTAAGACACTTTGTTCAGTCAATCTTTCTAAAGCTAATTATATATCTAAGTGTCTGGCTTTAGTTGTTGTGTTTAATGTCTTCAAGTAGATTTGGATGTTCATCTGAGGGATTATTATTCAAACAAAAGCCGTGCAGCTCTGAGAGAGGAACGGAAATCAGCTTTTGTGCACCCAGTGAGATTGCATAAGTATGTGTTTGCGTGTGTTTGAGAGACCAAACGATTTGTTTGTATCATAATCATCAGTGAACATATTTTATTGTGAGGAAATAGATAACATTTTCCAGCTTAATTTGGTTTATTCTGTCAAAACACGCATAAAATGAGAAGACTAAAATAAGCACATCAAAGCAGAAGGACGTGCAGTTCTGTACAGTATGTGCAAAGGATTATTGGATCGTGCAGCCATCTTGTGTGTTTCATAAGATGATATCTCACGGTTGCAGTGTCAGTCAGAGAGGATGATTCGTCTCGGTGTTGAGACTAGCGGCTGATCAGCGGGTGAGAAGCTCGCAGTGCAGCAGAGCACTATGTAGGTTACCTGTCAGGAAATTAAGCCTATTCACTGCTTATGTAACACGTCACACATTTGGCACGTGGGTTCTCATCCAATATTTCACAAGTGGCAAGAGAGGCAGACTTTTTGAAAGACAAGTAGACTCATCGGGAAGTTCTTGCACAACCCTGACATTAAACCTTTGCTGCAGTGTTACTGTTGCATGACATTTTCAATTATAATACATAACACTTTTACCTGCTGTTGTGCAATAAAGTCAGAAGGGTGTATCCTCTGTGCACTAGGAATGTTTATTCACCAAATGTCATGCCAATCTATACAATAGTTGTAGTAGATATATCACTAAAAAAAACCTCACAAATGTTAACCTCATGATGGCGCTGGAGAAAAAGATCAATGTCTTAAGTATGCATCCTCTTGTGACCATGACTATCTGACTAACATGTCAAGGCAATCAATCCAATAGTGGTGGAGCAACCAACTGGCCAGCATTACCATCCATAAAACCACTAATAAGAGAAGATATGTGCAATTAGCAAAGCATGGCAAAAAAGACCAACACCTACAGAAGCTACAGTTAAAAAACAAAACAAATCACAATCTTGTGAGAAACACTGAACTAATGGCTGCATACCATGAAATATGTCAAAAAGAGGATTTAAAATCAATCTTTTTGAAAATGATCATTTGTTTTTTTGTATTTTTCTGTTCTGAAACTGGTCAAATAGCGGGGCAGGGGGCGGGGAGGTGAGTCCAGTCTGCACACTGAGCTGGACCTTTGCCCACTCTAATCATACAGCTATTATGACCATCAGTGCACCCCCATCCTTGGTCTTGGTTCAGCCTCCAGGAGCCATTTGTAAAGCAGCGGAGCAGGAAATGAGGTTGGTTTACGGCCGTCGCCCAAGCCTGGAGGACGTGCTCCTGGGAGCCATGCGGGGATCCACCCAGACGGAGAGTGGGGGTTGGGGGGTCATTGGTAGGAGGCGGAGGTGAAACAGACCGGTGATATGCAGTGTGTTTGAACTGGACAGAGACATCACTGGCCCCGAGATTTATTATCGGCTACCAGGGGCCCTAAAGCCGACTGATTGATGAGGCTCTACGGCACGGACAAAGCACTGAACCTATTGCAGTTCCTCTTTTGAACAATGAAAAATTTCATCCTCTTTTTTTGTAGGGTGGCTTCCTCTACTTCTTCTTATTTCCTCTTCTTCTTTTCAGTGAAAATAAAAACAAGTCAGTCTTTTTTCTCTCTATCCTCTATGACTCCTGCTATTATGATTGACCTTTCTTGTCATGATTGATCTTTTTAGGTCTTGTTAATTATGAGAAACATCTCATTACAGTTGAGATAGCAGTTTCACTATATGTCAACAACAACCTTCTAATGTATCTGAAGATGTTTGAGCCAGACAAAGATTGAATAAATAAACAAATACAATAAAATAACCGCCTGTTGGCCTTGCAGTCACAGTCCAGGTGCCATCAATATTTCAGCTATAGAGGCCTCCAAAAGAGTTCAAACTGCTGTGCTTTCTTGCAAGTCGGAGTCATGTTCCAGACATGAGCTTGAAAGGTGACTTCAACAGACTGACCAACTGGACCGAGGTGGGATTGGATATCAGTAGAAGGGACTGGACTTTTTTTGCCCTCTTGAATCCCAACAAAGCATAAAGTGTCATTCAGTTCGACATATCCGAGCAGATCCGAGCATATCTGATAATAATAACTGCACATTGGTGATGTTAAACTGGAGTTTTATTGTAGTTAATGACAGACAAAATTTGCTATTCTAAAGGATAACATCAAGTACCTTTAGCTTTGTTATTACTAGGTTTATATGGCTAGATGTGGAATTAAATTGATTGAGTTGGTGAAACAATGAGGTGAATACACCAATCTAATATGCTTTGTTGGATAACGAGATATTTCTCTCGCTCTCTGATAGTTACATGCTTCTGAGTGTTTAGGGTAAAACAATCACTGTGCCATCTGTTACTCTGTAGGATGAATTAACAGCTTCACTGGTTGAGCAATTACTTTCTGACAGTTTGAGCAGAATCAATAATTTGATGAGAAAGTCATAGCTGCATGAAATCTCACTTTTCCACAACACGGAGAGGTTGTCAAAGGATGTGATGGGGCACATTTTTAACATTATAATAGGTATTATTAATGTAAACAAAATATTTCCATACGCCATAACTCTGATCAACACTTACAATTAGTCATACACAAAAACGACAACTTACTTCCATTATTATATTTTTACAGTGAAATGCACCGTTAAGCCATCAATTCTGCAGCTTTAGCTTCATGTTAGTAATTAGCTTATAGTGGTTATGAATCTAAGTTTCTAGGAAGCCAAACTATCAGTAGAAGTACATTTTATCCAATTACACATTTTGATAATATCATCCTTCATTTATTAATGTTTAGCATAACACACCCTCACTTTTAATGAGTAAACACGCCAGTTGTCATCGCTGTTAAAATAGCAGTTTAGCTAGTGCGGAAATACTGCTAACAGCTGTTGTGTGGCTAAACAGGTGTGGTCATAGTGGTTAGCTTGCCAATAGCTTCCGTGTTAGCAAGCTAAACGGGTGTAGAAATAGCGTCCGTTACGTTAGCGATATTTTCCAGGTCTGAATTAATTTTTTTGTGGACATAGACAATATATTTATGGTAGCCCATTTCTGCCAGCAAAATTAAAAATAACTACAAAAAAATAAAATTAAGATAAAAAACAAGAAACTGCTTCTTGATGAAAATCCTTTCAAGGGTGCGTTTGCTTAGTACAATCCCATGGTTTGCATGTTTTTTTTTTTACAAATATCTCAAAATTAGTGGCACTAATATATGATTTATTAATATTGTTATTGTTTTTTAAAAAAAAAGCTCAATCCCAGAACCTGAATTGAGTTGAGACAAGTTTTAGATACCACCAGACAGTCCTTAAGCTGAACTCTCAGTCCAGCTCTGGCTCAGCCCCACAGCGGCCCTCTTGTAATGGGACACTGCCAAACGACGCTGAGAGCCAGAGCTCTCCAGTGCTGTCATGGCCTGTTGCACCTGACTCGCTCCTCGCTGCACGCTGCAGGCTGCAGGCTGCAGGCTCCTGTTGTTAGCTTCTACAGGCTAATTTATGACACTATCAGGCTCATCGGCTGCAACTGGACGTCCTCGTGCTAAAACTAATTACTTAATTTAATTACTTGAGCCTATCAACTGTTTGGCATGCTCTGCAATATTGTGTTACTCATTCTTGATGTGTAATACCTAGCAGAGGAGGTTTTGGGGGCACACAGGAACTAGAACTCAAGCATGTAAATGCAGGCAGAGTAAGTATGACGATGACTTTTGCCTTTTCATGTCACTAGATATGCCACTAATGCCAGAAACTTGTATATACATATTTGTTTGTTGAGTGCATGTTTTTACTGGCTTCTCTGCTTCATTTGGATTCCTTATTTGCAAACTTTGGGAGTGGCTCAGCACATTGCAGCTGTGTTCACCTGTGCACAGGTGTGTGTGCCTGTGTGCATGTCTAAATCTATTCTTTACTAGCACCATCCATGTGTCTCTGTGTGCTTTTTTCCTCTCACCATCATCCATCAAAGGTCAGTGAATATGAATATTATATGTATTAATCATCATATTTTCAGTCTGTACAGAGCGGTTTGTCTTATGTTCAGTGTAAGTTATATTAATAGTTGCTGAGCAGTAGTACGACTCTTTGCCTGGTAAGATCTGTGGTTTTTATCTGATACATGTCAGTGTTTCTAAATTTCCTCGCCCTGAATCCTGAACCATTCCCTCTCTCGTGATGAGTGATGTAGAAATACTTTAATTACAGCAAGAACTGAACAAAAGACATGTCTTTTACTTAGCTTCAGGATCTTTATCTTCCATTAGCAGCCACTTGCATCTCGCCGTGCACTCTTTTAAGTGAAAGTATTTTTCACTTTGCTCCAGCGAGTCTGACTAACTTGGCTTGTATACCTGCAGTCTTGTGCCAAGGTCCACCCGAAACTTTAACCCACTTGTCAGCGTCACAGATTAGTCCCCGTCGGTGTCCCCTTAGGCCAAAAGGGATCTTCTGTTTCCTTAGAGAGCGTCGTGGCCAAACCTCCACCTACACATCTCTCAGATCAGAGACTACACTTTGGACTTTTTTTAATTTAGTTTATCTTTGGTTTTCAATGCAAACAATGTGATTTTGACTATATTTTCTTGCAAAACAACAGTATATACATGCGACTGTGCTTAACCACATCCCTAAACAACTAACTAAAAGTGACAAGCAGCCAGTGCTCCAGAGCGGACAAAGGTTAGGTCACCGTCTCCTCTCAGGGGTCATTTCCTCGCTGGTCGGAGGTGTCCAGTGTGAGTCCTTCGGTTTCGCCCTCCTGTCTCGTGTGTCACATATAGAGGCAGCGATGTATTATTGAAGACGTCTGCAGGTTACTTAGGCGCTGTACATTAGGACGAACACAAGTGTAATTACCTACACGTGGATGCTCATGAACGGGAGGCTAATTGCTCTTCATGGAAAATGACTGATAATATCTATCTACATGTATGTGTGCCAGTTTTATGTTGCTCTGCAGGGATTTATTCACAGTAACCCGATCAAACAGATTCATATCGTGGTAATCAGAACTAACTGCTGGAAAGTGAATCCAACAGGCGATCTCCCTTGAACATAAATAAAGTGAGCACCGATAATAAATGGAGCGGCCCTCTGCAGCGCTGTGTGCTTAGGCCCTCTAACCAGCTTTCCTTTGTGTATGAATGGGCGTCTATATGGGGAAAGGCTCACGCTGCAACAGTGGCTAATTCCTGCTAATCCCATCGTATCTGCTACCACTTAGAGATGGCTTCCAATGGCAACACCGGAGCAGGGGGGGGGGGGGTTATTGCTAGTGAGATTAGCTCGCGTTAGCTCCTCCTCTGTGGTTTACACACAGTCAAGGCCGGGCTCGGACCACCACTGCTTCCAATGCTAACCTTTTGCACAGAAATGGATTAACTGTTTTTCCAAAATGTTTCAAGTCCTTTTTAGAGAACAATGTAAGTTTGTTTCCGTTTGCTCCGCTTTTGTTCCGGCTTTAGTTTTCTGTGGATTCAGTTTTTAATGATGAACCGTGAGGGGAGCAAAGGGCATCTTTACCTTGAAGGGTTTATGAACAGTGGACAGATTTAGCAGAACTTTCCTTTACATGATAACTTTGTGACTAACTTTCATTTGCATGTTTCCATGCAAAGATGCAATCCTGCCTTTTCCTCTTACTGCATTTATTAACCTTGTGTTAATAGCACCGTGTTGTGATTTTATGTTGTGTTGTGAAACAATTGTATGTAAAGTGATTTACAATCTTTAAAACACGACTTCTCATGGTTTAATTGACAAACTATTAAATAAGAGAAAGCTAATGATTCCTAAATACTATGATGCATCAGTATCCCAATAATAAAACCCCTTGAAGTAGGCCAACGAGAAATTAGCATCGTACTAGTTTCCTTTGACAAAAAGCCACTTGTCTTTTTTAAGACATGTGAAAATACACGCGAGACGTATTTTATGTGGTAGAAAAAAAAATGTAAATTGTCTTAACCACAGACCTTATTTCAGACATCTAACCAAAAAAACATTCAAAAAACCCGCTGACTACAAGACAAGGGGACAGGAAGTGTAAACATGCTGAGTCATTTCAGTCTTTTTGGACTCATTCCTGCAGAACTTTATTCTAAAGTATCATTTACCTGCATCCAGCACCTAGTTACTGTGTGTTAAATGTTTTTACAGTCTTATAAATGACTCTATGCCCAGTCGTGTAAGGCACAGATTGAGTCCTTTCAGATAGAAAACAGGGTTGAAAGTTTAGTTATTAGAATACAGTGCGACATAACGCTCTCCGTCAGGGATTTATCACACTTTGAAGTGCATTGAGTGTTGTATTTAGAATCTAAAGAAAGGTAATAAGTGTGTGTTTGAGGAACAAAATCCCAACAAATATCACTGTTTCAGGAGTGGTAACCATTGGTTGGTAGTCAATAGTCTCTGTCTTCCTTTATGTACTTTGTAAATGGGCTTTAAGTCGAGCTTTTATGCATCAATAAGCACACCAGCCGGTGCACACTGCAGGTTCTCTGTCAGCTGCCACCTTCCTCTATCTAACCATGACTCGTGTGCTTTTTCTTTCACAGGAGATCTCTCCTGAAGATGTTTCCACAACCAGGGAAATCGATTGTCTTCGACAACTTTCCAGATCCCACCGACGCCTGGGACATCATCGAGACAATCGGGAAAGGGACCTATGGAAAGGTCTACAAGGTGCTCAACAAACTTGATGGAAGCAAAGCGGCCGTCAAGATACTGGACCCCATCCATGTAAGTTGACTTTCTCATCTCACGTGTTGATATTTTGGATAACGTCCTCCCTCCATGCCGTGCACGTGTTGTAGTCAGTGCTTGTCAAAGCAGCTGTAAGCTTGTGATGTGTTTATGCCTTTGGTGCCACAGGGCCGACAAGTTACTGTGTTGTGGCCCTTTGTCTGTCACATTTATAGCATCTGTATATTTAAAGATACAGACACCAGCACAGATTAGATCTGGGCCACAATCATTTCTCTTGCAGTTTGTTAACTTTATACAGTGACGAGGTTTACATTACGTGGCAAGAGGCACGACAATCAAGAAAGGTCACTATTATCAGATAAAAGATCAGTAATGGCTTTTATACTTATTATTACCACACTGCTCATCATTGATCTCATGTTATGGTGTCATTGTAACTCCTCCGTTTATTTGTGAAGGTACAGTGAACTTCATGACTTATTTAGCAGCTCTAACGAGCAGCCATTCTCTATTAGATTCAGCCTTCATGCTTATACACGTCTCATTATTGTGAATTTGTTACTTTCTCATTATTGAGAAATGATTATCCACAGACCACTAGCCTGTGAGCACCATCATTACCATTGTTTAATCAAGCGGAAAACCATATATCTTTTACACTAAATCATTTATTTTTCACTTTTCCCTCCCGCTTTGCTTTTTCTTGTGAAACACGGGAGCATTTCTTGTTGTCAGGGAAACAATTTGAGAAGGGAAAGTTGCTTTGGTTTCTTGTTAGCCTTAATCAGACAGTATGGCTGCAGCATTCAGTAATAAAGCATCCCATAATTGCCGTTATTATGATGTCCTGGATTTGCCCTTTTCACCCACATTAAACCAGAGTCAGTGATGTCAGTGAGACTTCATTAAGTCCTAAAGAGCAGCAACAGAGTGCTGAAGTCCTGATTAATGTCCCTGACTGGAGTTAGACGACAAGATATATTCTTCTGTTAACAACTGTTAAATGTGAAGCTGGATCAAAGAGATGGTTAGCTTAGCATTAAGACTATAATCAGGGAAAAAAGGCAATAAAATGCTTTAAGTTTTACACTTTTTGTACCCATTTTAAGCCAGGCAAGCAGTTTTCTCATCAAACTCTCACAACTAACTAACTTAACTAAACTAAACCAGTTTCTTTAATCCACAAAGCTGGTTTTCTTTTGATATCTTCTGGCCTAAAGCGTCACAGAATGGAAACACGGTACGTAAGCGTGCGAAGCATGTGAAGAAATGTGCCTTAACTGATCTTCGTCCTTGTTTTTCTAGGATATCGATGAGGAGATCGAAGCGGAGTACAACATCCTCAAAGCTCTTTCTGACCACACCAATGTCGTGAAATTCTACGGGATGTACTACAAGAAGGACGTGAAATGTGGAGACCAGTTGTGGCTGGTACTGGAGGTAGGAACACGCGTTGTGTTTGCATAGAGAAGCCACTATATGTTTTTTCCACAACCCGTATATTTCACTGAGACCTTAAATAGCAGTCACCTGCATACTGTGGCAGAACCGTGCAGACAATGAGCATATAAATGCAGATTAAAGGTCTGGCTGAACATCACACACTGCATGTCTCACCAGGTATATGCAGCGGCCACCAAATATGGCCGGGGATTACGTAACAGTTTTAGCCGCCGTGGGGAGTCTAGGAGTTTACTTATAGGCCACCTGGGGCGGATTTGATCGCAGGCCAACAACTCGGTTGTGTTCGGGGGCGGAGGTTGGCTCGTGTGACGCCGGCACCCTGCTGAGAGCAGCAGAGCAGGGATTTCTGTTTACAAGGACTGTCGCAGTGTATTAGTTGATGACACCTACTGCAGCGGGTCGGAGCACAGGCCCACATGTGTCCTGTAGCTTCTTTCTGTTGTTCTGCAGGCTGAAATGGAAAGGATGCAACACTTTTGAGATTGTTGGTGCTCGTATACTGTACGGAAGCTGCTTTATAAGTCGTATAAGTATTGGTGACTGAATACAAAATGACCCGGTTTTGAACAATGATACTATACAGCTGACTTTGTGACTGCTTTCTTGCACCTGCTGAACAGGAAAGGCTACATGCAGGTATGAATCTGTGTAGGGCTGCCCCCTGAAAGTTGATGAGTCGGATAATCCGAGCCGTTGTTTTTTTCTTTTTAAGAAAGAGGCTAACTCCATGATTGTGCTTCCGTAAACAATTTAATCATAAACACATTGGTTTTAAAAGTATGAATGGTTGTGACACGGCATAAATCGTTGATACCAATGGATTTTTGGATTTTTGGATAGTCTCAAATAACCGATTCTTCGCATTGAACGGCCAAACAATAGAAGAAATTCAGATCCGGTTACAGCCCATCATTTGTGAAAGTTCAAGGGGACCTTGCTGCTGCTTTCTTTACATCTGGAAAAAAAAATAAAGCCTCCAGCGCTGCATCCTTCATATTTCATTGCCTGCTGTACCTTTTTCAAATGTCAACTCCCAGACAAACATGTAATGGAGGTCAACATCAGAGGAGGAGAAGTGTTTGCGCGGTGGGGGGTGTGGGGTTTCTCTGCCTTTTGACTTTCTGACCGTGTACTTTGTGTTCCTGCTTTGACGGAGAGCAGCACAAACCTGCAGAGGTCCTGTAAACATGGTCAACAAACATGAGGAGGGTTGATGACAAACAAAATGATATACTTTTACTTTGTTACAACCATCCAAAGTGACTACATGCATAAAAGCTTCAGTGTCGAGCCGTGAGCGTCTACGATTCCAGTACACCCTGTAATAAAATAGCATTTATTTTAAAACTATTCTGACTGCACCTTAAAAAGAAATCTCTACCAACTGTGTGCCACTTTGTTCTGTTCCTTCTTCCTTTATCAGGTACGGCGCCGCTAGAACAGAGTGTCCATATTCCTGTAATCCAAGCTCACCCAGTGGATAGTTTTCAGCTCTCCAGCTTGTGTTTCTTTCCCTTTTCATCGTATCCTTCCTCCTGACCTTTGCAGAGGATCCCGCTATTACTTTCCTCACATATCCAGTACAATCTAAGATGCAAAATCTTTATTACAGGAAAACAAAGACCTTTATCTGATACACATAGCTATTATTTTTGCACTGAAGTGATAGTTAGTTATAGTTTTGTTCTGTCGGGACTCATATCTTTCGAGTAAAAAATACAAATCTGTCGTTGGGAGAGTTCGCTTAGCTTTGCTACTTTGTTTACTTCCTGTTTCCTCTGTGGTCTGCTCCATTTTCTAAATTTCCCTTGCAAAAATCTGCAGCCAGCAGTCCAAATCTGGTGGCTAATCCTGAGGCTGAAAATCACCGCCTGACAGTTTAGCAAGTGGCTGTGTGCCTGTGTGTGTGTGTGTGTGTGTGTGTGTGTGTGTGTGCGTTCTGAAGTAGATGCACATGGGGGTTTCAGCAGTGAAGAGACAGGAAAGCAGGCGGTGAGACGGTCATTCACCATGGTTACTGTCTTCTCCTTTCTGAACTGTAATTTTCCGTCCTTTAGCTCTGCTGAGAGGAGCCTTTCTCTGCACCGACAGCCGGCCGCTCATTATGAACAGAATACACACAAATTGCATCCTTTACTTTGTTAGCCTCTTCATTGGGGTCTGCGAGCTTTTGGCTTTGCCTCTGTAGTGCGGGTCCTTTGTGATAGCGGATGCGGGCAGAGACGAGCAAGCTTTCATGTACCACGACCTGTTTCTGCTCCCAGAGACTTCAAAGATGGAGCCACGATGGAGCGACTTTTATTCTCGAATTGGAAATAGAAACCTGATTTGGATGTGCATGTCATTTGGGAGCTGCAGCGTTTCACCCAAGGACCCCACGAAATGAAGGCCACTGATTAGTGCAACCTCTAAAAGCTCATCGTAAAGATGCAAAAAATAAAATAATGCTAAATTGAAATTGCATATTGAGTTGTTTACAGAGTTTAGCTGCTAGTTCTTTTGCTTCGTTGTTACTACCATTTGTAAATATTAATGCTAGTAGAAGCAGCAATTAGGTGCTAACATAACATTTAGACAAAAAGCTGCTGATCTCTGCTGTGAAACCTTGCATGTGTGAACATTTTAATGACTTTTGCAGAACATATATTTAATCTTTTTCAATATGTTATCACACCTGAAGCATCATCACAATGTTTAACACATCTTTTCCTAAATGTGTTGCTATTAAAAGACAGAAACACCTCGTTTGGAGCTGATGTGCACCTCCTCAGAAATCTATGCATCAGAGTCATAGAGACAGGCTGATGTTAACAGAGGGTTACATACAGGAAAACTGTCTGCGAATGGGCTCAGCCACTGGGAAATAGAAGAAGTAACTGGGCATGAAGGGCTTTTATCAGGACCAAAGCTGCATTGGCATCTTTAAGAGTTTCAGCTTCTCTGCAGAGATGGAAGCTCTTGTTAAACTGTCTCTGTAGCACTACATTAAACACGCCTTTATGGCAGCGTGGATGAAAAGAATCGTTGCTGAATAACAAGCCATACGACAGCACACTCAAGAGTTTGTCTAATGGCACTTACAGAGGAATGTAAGGGCAAATAGAAGCATTGTGATTTGGGAACTGGTCAAGACTGAGAAAAGGATGAATGAAAGCTTCTATGATGGAAGCTTAACCTTTCACAGGAGTGGGAGATGACTCAATCTATTGTGATAAAAGTCTTCCACAATAAGAATGATAAAGACCGGTTGCCACCTCGTCAGGGCGGTGCGACGCAGGTCTTTGTCTCCGGAGCTGACTGTTATCTGGGCCTCGTCCAGACCGGATTTTTGGCCATATGATGCAGTATTTGGTTTTATTTTGGTAACTTTTACCAAATTTTGGCTGCTTGATGTATTTGAATGAAGTTATTCTTGGCCGATATAACACTGGACCTGGGCCTGCATATCCATGAGTAGCTCAGCCAACAGGAGGAAATGGAAGAAAGCCAAGTATTCAAAGCTGATAGAGTCCAACCAAAATACATCTATTATCGTTCCTATTTCTTTCACTTAGATCTCCATCTAAAGCAGAGACATTGATTTATTTGTTACCCTTTTGTTCGTCCTCTCTCATTGGACCACATCGATTTATTTTGTCGGACACCTTCTAAAAGTCAAAAGTAGACCTCCGATGCTTTCGTTTACCCCCATTAGTCTCTGTCCTGACTCGTCCTGCCGTCGCACCCCAACCTCTACAGACATTAATTGACAATGAGGTTTAAAATGGTACTCAGTCTTTGCACTTTTCAATAAACGGTGCCAGAAAGTAGACACCTCGGCTATTGTGCTGGTGTAAACGATCGCCCCGCAGTCCCACTACGAGTGTTTCTCTCTGGAGACGATCCAGCGCGTAACACTCACAGAAGACACGCATGATTATTGAGTGCTGCAGATATGATGCAACTGCATACGTCCAATAATCAGGCAGCAGATAAGACACAATTTATATTTATATTTGCAAGGAAACGTACATCAGAGACGGTTGACTAAAAAGTCAGCACCTGTGTGTTTTAACGGCCGCTGTGGTTTCTCCCCGCTGAGTCAGGGGGCAGCCCTGTTTGTTTCATCTTTACATTTGTTTCATCCACTTCTTTTTACACGTCTTTGATCGTCTACTTTCATTTACATGACTAAACAAGCACCTGACCTCGTTTGTAATGGAGAATATCCCACTCAGTAGTCAATGAATTCAGTTTTTTTTTCTTTGAAAATTGAGAGTTATTGTGGAAACTCAGGAGACGTTCAAGATGAAGATGGAAGACATGGATCTGAACATTATTTAGAGAAATTACAGAAATTACAGGAAACAACCCTCACACACTACTTGTGATTAAATATCTGGACCCAGCGGAGGAAATCCGGTTCAATCTGTACAAGATTTAAATCAAACCAGCTCCGAAGTTTCATATATCAGTTTCACTCTGCAGAGGTTTGAGTCTTCACCACATCCCAAATAATTAATGTTCACGTTGAGCATCACTTTCTAGATGTGGCCTCCGTGGCTAAGGTGAGAGCGCTAACGTTTAGCTCTGCTAAATCCAGGGCACGGGGGCCTCTCATTAATATGGATCTGTCTGTCTGCCCGGTGTAATTTAATGATGACAGGTGATATGGCAGCGGTGATGTGGACTGACGTTGTCTGCGAGCCCCGGTGGTGTTCTCTGCTTAGCTGCGGTTTGTCTGCACGTCAGGTAGCAGAGAGAGGCAGGATTACGCTCCCCATGTGGCAGCTGAGATACCCGCCATCCATCCTGCAACAGTCCTCTGGGCTCCTGATGGACAGGTAGACTGATAGGCAGATAGAAAACGCACACTAGGCACGATGTTGAAAAACGTATGCCATTGCTTAGTCAAGGTCAAAGACTTGCTTCCCTTTCAGCATCTAATGTGTGAGGGGGGTGGGGTGGGGTCTATCGGTCTACGCTGGGCCCAAGTGCTCATATGGCTCCTGGGTTTGGGTTTCTGATGAAAGTTCCTGCAAAATGTTCTTCTTTGAAAGTCAAATCAGACTTACAGAAAGACACAGAATGACCATAAAGAGACGCAAAGCTACGACAGAGATGACAATAATAACCAGGAAGAGACACAAAGTAGTTGTTTGTTTCCAATGAGAGGATTTGCTGATATTAACTGTTTATTATCACTGTAAATGAAATGTGTAATATTTTTTTATGTTTAGCGAATTTGAGGATGTCATATTGGACTTTGAGAAATTGTGAGATGTTTCGCTATTTTCTGACAGTTTATAGACTAAACAATTATAAATCAACCAATTGAGACACTAATATGTATTCACATCTCTAAAATCAACTAAATGTAGTGTTTTGATCTTTAAAAAGGATTCACTGAAAGCGGAAGCAATGGTGTAGCTTTTGGTTAACGCAATTAGCCGCAGTACGTAGCAAAGAAACACTTTGACGAAATATGTGCACGAGCTTTCTGCCATTATGCAATGTTTTTGTCTGAATGTACTGCTCTGTTTCCATTTTAGTGAAATACATATTGCACTCTAAGCCCCATCTTTTCTCACACGTGCTGTTTAGTGCGATCGCTGCAGGGGACCGATTCCTATCCTAAACAAACACATGCTGCATGTCTGTTGCCTCAATAAGCTTTCAGTTTATAAGTGCGGGAAAATTAGTGTAATTATACAAGAGCGAGTGTTTACTACATAAAAAGATACGAAGGAAATTTCCTGTCTGACACAAAACCCTTTTTTCACGTGCGGTTAGGACTAAAGATGTGAGTTGAAATGCGAATTTAAAAAATGGAAAAAGAGGCATTTGTATGTTTAATATCTAGATTATATCTTTTTAACACGCAGAGGTCTGTGTTTACAAACAGTGTTCGTATGCAGAATCTATGCTTTCTCTTGGGGAGCAGCCCTCCAGCACTGATTGACGTCTTACAGCTTGTTTTTCCTTTCTTGCGTACCTCTGGCCTCTACCTCCAGCATCTCAAAGAAAGACCCAAATTAAGGGTTGTTATTGTTGCCAAGGGAACCTACGGGGTAATTTTCTGTAATTTTCCAAGAGGGATTGCTGTTGACGGTGGAGTCCGTATCCAGACGCAGTACACCATAAGAAGAATACAAAACACATGAAGTAAAACGTGGGTTTTCTTTGCCACGAGGACAAAGTGTTCATGCCGATTTTAATCTTGTTTCCAGTTATGAAATGCTCGATATACATGTTTCCATTGTCTGAAAGCACAAGAGGATGTACTCTATTGAAGATGATTTGTGCATGTTTTAATATTTACCCTGCTTAGTCAGCTGCACACACAAAATGTGCATTCTCCTCCTGGATTTCTTTTTCTCCACCTCCTGCTAAGCTGCCTCGGAAAGATAAGCCGCTGCAGATTGACAGAATTACCTCCAAGCATCTCTTTTCTCGCTGTGAAATCTCAGGATCGAAACTTTTTTTCATCCCCCGCCGTTTCTCCTGTGTGAAATTCTGAATGTCTCAGATGCCCCAGATTTTTTTTAGCACATTGTATAAGCTCATCTATAAGTGCTGACTCATGTCGGGTTTTTGCTCTTTTTGTGGGTTTTGTCTGTTGCAGCTCTGCAACGGTGGCTCTGTGACAGATCTGGCGAAAGGCATGCTGAAGAGAGGAGACCGAATGGATGAAGCCATTATTGGCTACATGTTGCATGAGGCCCTCATGGTGAGTCTGGCCTTTTCAATGTGCACGAGGGGAGACAATGATGTACTGTAGAGCTCTCAATAGAACGACCTCCCACTGAACACATTGTTTCGATGAAAAGATCTTAAAGCTGGATCATTTTGAAGGCAGGTGCTTGTCAGAAAAAGCTGTTAGCATCTGTTTTTTTTTCTTCTTCACAGGGCCTCCAGCACCTGCACATCAACAAGACCATCCACCGTGACGTCAAAGGCAATAACATCCTGTTGACGACGCACGGAGGCGTCAAACTCGTGGATTTCGGTACGCAGTGTGTCTGTTTTTATACGCATCCTCCTCTAATCAGTGAAAATCATGTCGTGGCTCTATTTAACAGAAGACGGTCAAAGCCATTACCTTCAGCCGCTTGCCAAATAAATTGTGCCACTAATTAGTTTCCTTGAGAGGTTGGGATGCGTTTACACAACCCGACAAGGTGGCAGACAGTTATGTTTTTCCATTACGACCCATCTTTTTACATTCCCCGGGAGACGGCGGCGGACATTGTTGCTCTTCACTCTTTGTTTGTTTCTTTTGCCCTGATTTGCTTTTGAGGTTTTTCTTAACCAAATGAGGCGCTCCGAGCAGCCCGGCTGTGTAGTTCTTGGATTGAAGGCTCAGGATAAGCAAAGTGATTCTGACTATTTCCAGGGGATGACTCACCCCTGCTGGAAAAACCAGCTGCCTGTTTTCATTACACATAAAATCCCCCACTCAACATGTGTGTAGGTTTGCATTCAGTCTGCTAATTGTGGACTTCTCTTAAAAGCCTTTTTCTAACCATGAAGCACAAAGTGCACATCTCTTATATAAGGAGGAGGAGGAGGAGAGGTATTAATGGAATCACTTAATATGTGAATGTGAAGTATAGCTAATACGGAGCAGGGCCGTCCGTCACCTTCGAAGCAGCTTCTTCCTCCTTACGAGGCCGTCGGAGATTCTCAACACCTGTTTATTTCTCCACTTTTGAAGAATTGAAGCCTTGAGGTCTTTAGGAATTAACAAGTTAGAGATGCAGTTCTAACTGTGCTTTCCAAAACGTTCCATAAATATTTCCTGATGTCTCCACCTGGTGATAAGTATGACTGCGTATTAGGGCCATTGCAGGTAAAAAAAAGAGAAATTACGGAGGCGAGGGAGGGAGGGAATATTCAGAGAGAGAGTCTAAATTTCCGAGATTAAAGAAGCTCATTTTCTGTGGGAAACTGTTTTTTTGATAAGGAACCACATCGCTTCACATTGCAAGGTTGGATCAAACTCAACACACCACAGACGCCGCTGTTTGCCTCGTAATATGTCTGCAGTGGATGACCAGATTAAATTATACTTTACAATCAGATTTGGCAACGAGGAAGTACTCGTGAATAACCCAATTATCATCCGGACTTTGAAGAGACATATTGCCGTGAATTGGGCCTGTTCAGTAGAAAACAAAATTTGACAGTATGCAGAAACTTTTATGTTATGTTGGTGGTTGTGGACAGGAGGGATCTGCACAACAGCAGTGTGTCCATGGACAGCCTCTTCACTTGAGCCGTCAAAAGAGTCCTTGAGCGAGACACTGAACCGGTAATGCATTTTAAGTCCCTCTTGATAGGAGTGGCACTTACATATCTGCTGGTCCAAGTCCAGTACCAGTCTTTATTAGGGTCAGATCATCTAGGAAAATGAAGATCCTGTCCCAGATATCTAATCAGCAATTACACAAAAAATATAAAATGTACCAAAGTATGAAATGTTACTCATTTAATATAATTATTGTCTTGTGTTGCTTGAGTTATATATAGTTTCTGAGCTCATACATTGTTTCTGCTTTTCAGATAAAGTATGTTTTACATACAGTTACATACATAACTGCACAAACATCACACAAATCTGAATAATTGAATATAAGATGTAACTAATGGTCACTGAGCCACAGGAAAGCACAGCAGTGATGTGAAGAAATAAGGGCTTAACCCGCACGTGACTAACGTAGCTCAAACGTAGCTCAAACGTAGCTCAAACGTAGCTTGTTACTTACAAGAAAATCTTGTAAAAAGTTGCAGAATGAGTACAAACTTTCACTGTCATCACAGTTTTAAGGACATCGTAGATATCCCACATATGTGACGTCGAGGCATCACAAACATCTAACCACTTCTGTTGTGTTATAGAGATATTGTTTTGCTTTATAGCATCTTATCGAGATGTTTTTTCTCTGGCTAAACGTGTAATTAATCTCTAAGATAGGAAGGGTACAGTATCAATGTTTGTGTGCCTGAGAAGATATTTATGACGTACAAACATTGCCAAGTTTCAACATGTTGTTTAGAGAGAAGCTCCTGCAAACCAGATAGGAAGTAATTACATTAAAGATTGTTGCATTATCACCAATAAGGACATTGCTGCATTCATTTTGACCACCTAAGAGTAGTTGCTGTGAAGCGATGAGAACATCGACTGCAAACCAAGTTTCTGCTTCCATGTTCTCATATTTATTATCAGCTCTTATCTTTCTGCTGGCTATTCAAAACAAATGCATGTCGGGATGGAGAGTAAAATAAGAGACATTCTCTTTGTGACAGTAAACAGTGGGGTTTATAATGAAAAATGAACTAAATAGTGAATGCTTAATAACTGTGGACATAGCACCAATAAGGATACGGGAGAAGTAGGAATAGACGTTACAATATGATGCCAAAAGCAGCATTAGCATCATCATGTGAGTATGATATGAGAAAGTTGAACCCTGCTTAGTGCTATGCTCTACCTTTGAAACAGAAAAGACTTCAGACCCACTCACACAACAAGTAAGAAGTGTCCTGATTCATGAACCACAACATTTTAGTACATTCATGATCCCCAGAGGATACTACTGACGTTGAAAATCCACTAATTCTTCCTCCAGCACAATGAGGTCGATATTTTTGTTGTTTAGACGAATCTATTGCATGGATTTCCTTGAAATTTGGCACAAATATTCATGGTGGCCAGAGGATGAACCATAATGATTTTGGTGATCCCCTGACCTTTTATTCAGCACCAGCAGGAAGTTCACATTTGTAGTTTTGAGTGAAATATCTTGAAGACTATTAGACATTTTGGTGAAGACATTTATGGACAACAGGATCAGAACTTGAATTTGTCCAATAATTTGGTTTACGTCCATATAGCTTAAAAACTAATGACATTAACATTCCTATCAGCCTAAGCTGCACTTTGTGTTCAGTTCTAATTAGCAACTGTTAGCATGCTATGCCATAAACTAAAATGGTGAACAACATGACAAACCTGTTAAACATTAGCTTGTTAGCATTGTCATTGTGAGCATGTGGATGTTAGCATTTAGCTCGAAGTAAGTTTGAGTTGAGGTGGCGTTTTGGTAGAAAATTGGAACATCAGGCATGAAACACATATGTGACTTGCATTTCAATGGAAAGATCAGAATTTCTCAGCTTTCTGTGACACCAAGTAAATGTCATGTCATCCATCTGAGACAAAGGTTGCAATGAACTGAGCTGATAAGACGTGGGACCCCTGTGCTGTTATCTCCCAATTAAGTCTTTGCAGACGTAATATTTTGGAAGTATGCAAAAGACAAATAGTGGAATCTCTCCCAGCCCGCGTACAGAGGAAGCACAAAAATGACGAACATCTTTTGATACTGCTTGTTTGCGAGCCTCAACATGGCTGACAGTTGACATTTCTATCAGATATCAGCTATGACGCCGTCAGAAAAGGAAAAGCAAAACAGGAGCAGCAGTTCAGAAATAGCCCGGCGTGTATAAAAACTTGCAGAGTGACGAAAACGTCGGCCTGCCTCCGTGCTGCACGACGGCACTGCGTCACGCTGGGATTAATGGATTTTCATGTGGAGGGGTGCACGCTACACTAAGCAGCTGAGGAGATAAAGCCCCCGCAGTGACTCATCACAGGCAGAGAAACAAAATGGCAAAGAGATCGACCCCCTCCCAAAAATAAAAAAGCATTGGAAGAAAGAGAGCCGCTGTTCGTTCATGCGTCTCTCATGAATATTGTAATTGACGGCGTTATCTCTGCGATGATTATTAAGTGTGGCCCACCAGGCTGCACTCCGGGCTAATGTAGTGGAAAGAGAGGGGCTGTGAGAGCTTTAATAGGGGTCTCTTTGTGTTTCTGTATCCTCACGTGCTCATATAACTTATGTGTATCGTAGCGGACGTGTGTGTCTGACTTTTGTTCTCACTAATGCGGGTTGAAGTGTTTCTGCGTAGTGGTTTTGTGGTTTGTTGACAGCATGTGAGCGTCCCTGTGTTTGTGCAGCCTCATGCATATACTGTATATCCCCTCCTGCACATGTTTCTAATCCCTTTACATGGTTTTGCCACAGATCTGTTTTCCGCTGCATTGCTCATCTCCACCCCTGGCTTTAACCCACCAGCAGCAACAGAGCAGCACTGTATTACTCTACTGTACCGACAGTAATGAAGCCGTCAGAAATGAGCTTTTACAGCTAACGTGCTGTTAGAAATACATTTCTGTTGTGTAAACCGTGCACACGTCTGCACATGTGTTCTGAACAGGCTTTGGTTGCATGTTCAGAAACAACCCCTTTATTTCCTCACAGGTTTCTGCTAAAACACATTCTGCAGAATATCAGAGTGAGGTTTTTTGCAGAAACTGCGATCCAGATTAGCGTAGAACAATACACGACGTGCTCCACAAGGCAAAGACATTGTTTCCGATGCAGCATGTCGAGCATCGGTAGATCACTGTTTGTTTGTCGGTAGCCGCTGTTGTCTCGAGGCTCTGCTTTTGTCCTGGTTGCTTGCTTCAGTTGAGAAAGCCCTGGGATACATTATAGTGTGGCGTAACACTGATTTGTCCAGACTGGACTGAACACACGATTGTGGGTCAGCATGTTCCTTGTCAGGCTTTGCAGTGCACAATAACGCACACGCATAAGGACACGCAGGCTCTCTGCAGTCTCATGTATGCTGAATTTATCTCTGACTTGATTGTTGCAACATGACTTTGTCCTATTTATATATATATATACGTATGTACGATAAAGCTAACTTGGCTAGATTCATAATATCTTGTTCTTAGAGACGGGGAAACGTCTCCAGCTGCCAAAGCCTGTTTACAGCTGAATTGTATTCAAATGTTGTTCCTGAAGTGCCCGGCAATATCGCCTGCAGTCACATAAGAAATTTGTAATTCAAAGCGATCTATCATTTTGAAGGCTCTCTGTGCATGTGCTTTGTTTTTCCCTCCTTGTCACTTTAGTGACAGCTCTATCAGTGGGATACGAGGGAGCTCTGAGAACCATTCTGGAACATATCAGTTGAGCAGCACCCCGCTGCTTACTGTTCACTGTTTCCCTCTTCACAGACCATCACTTTTACAAACCTGTCCGAAAAAAATCACATGTCAAGGAAGTTACAGAGAGAGTGCAAATTGTCTCAGTCCTCAGAGTCCTTTAGTGAGGCTAAAGTGTGCGTTCTCTTCCCTGCAGGTGTTTCAGCCCAGCTGACAAATACCCGTCTGAGGAGGAACACCTCAGTGGGAACTCCCTTCTGGATGGCTCCGGAGGTACAGTAAAAAGCCGGCCTGTGAACGCTCCCGCAGCCTCGTCTCTTTTCTACTACATTAGCCTGGAGCAGATCCCAGTGGGCCACAGTTAATAATCATCAGAGCGATAACACTGTCAAATACAATGTGCATGAAAAGAAAAATGGAATGGACGGCCTCCATCATTCGCTGCACTAGCAGTTCATATTCACAGACGTGATTACATCAGGAAATGAACCCCTCAGTGTCCCCAGTGTCCTTTACTTTTTATGGTAGCTATACCTTCCTCCTGTGTCGTGTAAAGGGTAATATAAAGTGGTCTTTCAGCTTGAGGTTCTTCATTCATCTGACTTCAGCAACACCTTGTAACAGTAACGATAGACGGCGTGTTTGGACAAAGTGTTGCAGATGGCTTTCATGTATATTTATTTGAACACGCAACACTTGAGGAAAACCTCGACACATATCCCATGACCACTCATCTTAATTTAACTTAACCTCAACGCGGATCAACATTAGATTAGATGAACCATTAGCGATCTCTGATAAGACATTAACATTACAGTCATTTAGCAGATGCTTTTATCCAAAGCGACTTACAATTCAGATTCTATCACATTTCTATACCATAAGCACAACTACGGGAGCAATTTTGTTATGTGTCTTGCTCAAGGACACATCAACATGCGACTAGCAGAGCCGGAGACGGGGATTGAACCGCCGCCCCTCTGATTGAAAGACGGCCCTGCTTTAGCCACAGTCGCCCACAGTCGCCACAGTCGACGGGTAAAGTTATACTCCTCTGGGTTTAAAATGTGCGGATGTTGTCCCCCGATTTGTCCTTCACAGTCCTTCACTTGTCAAATCAAAGTGAACGTTTTTACATGAGGTTTGCATGCCGTGCAAATTCTGCATCAGAATAAACGTGACGTGTTCAGTCAGGACTCAAAGATTTTAATCTCATTTGCGTAAAATGTTTGTCAGGTTGACTCTCAAGACTAGAACGTCTTTAGTCGAAAGGTTTATTGATGTAAGGAGTGAGATTTGTAAACAAGGATCGACGATAGAAAATTAGTTTGCTTTTACTCTGGGTCATACACAGTATTGCATTAAAAGAGTCTTACCTGCGTTCTCAAGAAGATCTGGTGGTGTAAGTTGTGGGGTAAGTTGTGTCACATCTGGACAATGTTGTACTTTTCGGATGAGCTATATTTTTATTGACTTTATTGACTGATGATTTAGGCTGTGTTACGAGTATATATTTGACTTTTTGGGGATATTTTGGTCATTTAATGTTCAATTTTCTTGCCAAAATATTCTGCTGATTTAACATTGATATTTTTCTTTTATGTTTGGTATGTAGAGGTATGACTGTCATTGTGTTTTCCATAAAGAAGTGTGTGTGTGTGTGTGTGTGTGTGTGTGTGCGTGTGTGCGTGGGTACACTTGTGTGTTTCAGGATGTGTTATGAGCGCTCTGGTAATGATTTGTCTGTGTACATAAGAACATGCCTATTGGGGGATTTGGAATACAAATTATATTGACTTCAGACAATTGACAATAATGGTGAACGTATGTTTGGGTGTGTGTGTGTGTGTGTGTGTGTGTGTGTACACATACCTCCCCCTCAAAGATGAAACCTATTGTTGATTGGGTACCATGTTGCCCTAAGGACATTGATGATTGACTGTGAGAGGGTGTGCTTATGTGTGTGTGTGTGTGTTTGTGTGTGAGCACTAAATTGCCCACAGCAGATGATGAGACTGCAGCTTTGTCTGAGCTCTTTTACACCGTTTATTGGGTTTCTTTGATGTTTTCATATGGATTTTGCTCTCTTACGTGTTTGTATGCGAGGGCTTACAAAATAAAAAAAGATTCCCTAACAATACGTGAATACTGACTCCCAAATAAGGAAGTAGGCCCAAACTGTACAACTTTTGTCCCGAAGGATTTTCTGTCTTTTGTTGTTTTCGGGATAAAGAGAGAGAGATTCTCTTAATACTGCTGAGTAGCTTATTAAATTCTGCATTTCTGTTAGAACATGTCGGTGCTTTTCTGACTTCGTCCTCTGCCCGTCTGTCTGCTGTAGGTAATAGCGTGTGAGCAGCAGCTGGACTCCACCTACGATGCTCGTTGTGATGTCTGGTCCCTCGGCATCACCGCCATAGAGCTGGGAGATGGAGACCCCCCCCTCTCCGAGCTCCACCCAATGAGAGCCCTTTTCAAAATACCCAGGTGAGCCTCCGTCACACCTACACAACACTCCATCATCATTATCAGGGGGCCGTGACTTAGACCCTGATTGAAAGGTCTCTTTAGGTGAATAAGTTAACTTATGTTTTACTGAATGACTCTTCTTTATGGCTAAAGATTAATGACCGAGGGTTTGTATCCTGTTGACATCTCACTCTGATGCGCATGACTGTGGTGACTCCCTAATTACAGCCGTTTGCTGCATGTCGTCACCTCTCTTTCTCTGCCTTTCTGTCTGTCCCTCTCACCACCCAGCAAAGCAGAACATGTCAGCTCCCTTATACTGCTGGATAGCTTTGATCTAAAACAAATAACACCATTTATTTGTCGATTTATATCTTGTGTTGACAATCTGAATCTGCAAAATGAATTAAAGTTTCCTCCAAAATGTACTGGAGTAGAAGTTTAAAGTAGCGTAAAAGTACATCTGCTGCTGCTGTTTTGTTAAAAAGCCTGAAAAAAGACAATGCTTTAAACTTGCACAACCTTTTTTTCAACAGCAGAGCTAAAGGAAGTTGACGTTTGCAGATTGTAAGAATGTAGAGACGGGGTATTGCTGCAATACTGCGATGTAGAAGAGCCACCTCCTGCTTCCCAACACAGTGATTTTCTTCTCTATACAGACTGTCAATATAAAGTACAGTCTTTTCATTTGTTTTTTCTCTGCGTGCAGAGGCTTATCCATAAACCACTATTCACATTCATCCTGTGTGTGGAGGCTGAGAGCACAGCCACACTTTTCATAATCTGTGTGTTTTGTGGACTGAAGGTGAAAAGTAATTGTTTATCTTATCCTGATTCCAGTGTGAGCGCTGCATAAGCACTTACAGACTATCATTCTACCGGCACAGCACTTTGTCCATCACTGCCCTGAAACGGTGTGCTCCTACACACACACACACACACACACACACACACATAGGACAGCTCCTGTGACATGGCTGTCCTGTGTGTTTGCTCTGGGGGTCGTGCTCCACAGGAGACATCACACAGCTTCCTCTGAATCTATGTGACTGCTGTAGCCAGAGCTTCAGGCTGTCTGTTCACACTCCTCACTTCCTCTCCTCTCTCTGCTCCGGGTTCACTCGTCAAGCACTCTCGGATAAAAAGCTACGCTGAGGGCATCGAACACACCTCGTCCTATTTAATTTAGGGTAAACACTACCAAATAGAAACAGAGGAGCATCAAGAGGACAACCCTCATATTCGATGGTTTCTACAAATGCCTGAATTCATCCCTTAGTGCAGCTGTTTACACTGTAGTTTATCATCATATTGTATTCAAAGGCTGGACACAATACAACACAATATACACCGGTAGTATTCCTGCAGCAACATTCAGTATTCCAGTATTTCTTTGTTTTAGTAGGCACCAGTAGTGGATGCAGCTTGTTATGCTCCCACCACTGAATATACAGAGTATATTATTAGGTTGAAAAGAAAACACTGCTCGACATTGAAACCTTTAAAAGAGCTGCATTTAACAATATTTAACAAAGGGTTTTGTCGTAAACATTTGGACATATAACATGTCCTACAGTACTATGTCCACATGTATCATAACACAGATAGTCTTTGCATTCGTTTGGATTCACCAACTAGACTTAAAGTCAAAAGTGGAAAGTTATTACAAGAGAAAAAAGTCAAAATAAAAAAAGGCTCTGACTTGTGAGAGAGATGGGGACGGATTGGGATGAAATTGTGTGTGTGTGCAGAAGTCAAATTCCTGCTCAAGGCGCCAGACTTTGGAGAAGGTTAAAGATTAAAAGTGCTCTTCTAATTATGCACACGTGCAAAGGTTTAAGCTTTTATCCTTCATTATGTGCAAAAGAGAAGATTTGAATTTGCCTCACATACTCTACAGAGATAATTCTTAGAGAGACACAGTGGGCAAATACAAAGTTAACTTCAGTAAGAGGTGTAGGCCTATAAAGAAGATGCATGTATTAAAATACATGCTCATATTTGTATCCAGGGAATGAAAAACTCTATTTATTTTATAGTAATTTAAGTGTGCCTCTTTGCCTCCAAACACTGTTTGTTTTCCTCCATAAGAAAAAACACAGAATTAGCAGAACTCCAAATTAATGTCTCATGCGTTTGCCGTCTACATTGGGTGTGTTGTGTGATAAACGGGAGATGCATGTCCTCTCATTAGACCAATTTATTGCTGTCGGAGCCAACGTGAAAGAGGCCCCGGTACATTAGCAGGCAACATTGTCTTCCCCACCGTTTGCCAAGAACCCTGTTGTAAAAAGGTGCTCAAAGCAGAACGTGGAATTACAGCAATTAGCTCCGTTGTTTGCCGGCTGTGAGGCTTGACCCCTTAACGATGTGTGTCTGTTTGATTGAGAGTTTTACAGGAGGAACCTAAAGCTTTTAACATCTGGCTATATATTTGATAGCAGGTGTTACTGACTATTGCTTTTTATGTCATAAAATCAGCTGTATCAATACCACCCAGCGGCACAGGTGGAGCGCCATTTGTTAGCGCCTCATGCCACCGCCGGAACGCCTCTGGATGTCCTCGATGATGAATAGTTAAGATTTCACTCCGTCGTTCCACTCGGTGCCTCGGCCTTTTGTTCTCCCGCCCGCCTGCGTAAATCCCATCTCATCTTATCTTTCCATTTATCTTTTCCATTTCCCTCCTTTAACAGAAATCCTCCGCCTACTCTCCACCAGCCGGAGCTCTGGTCCGACGACTTTAATGACTTCATCTGCAAGTGAGTGTGGATGCCATTGTGTTTGTTACGCCTCTGTGAATAGTAAATATTTACACTGGCGGTACAGAGCCAGGCACACTTTGAGTATAAATCCAAGAAATTCATTGCACTCCTCCTCCTCCTCTACGTTTTCTTCTTCCTCCCCTCAGATGTCTGATTAAGGACTTTGAGCTGAGACCAAATGTGCTAGACCTGCTCCAGCATGTGTTCATCAAAGACAGTGTTGGCAGAGAGAAAATACTGCAGAAACAACTGATTGAACTCATTGATCTCAACCAACAAATAGGAGTCATTGATAAAACAAGGTACTGTCTTAACTGTAGTTGTAAGTTTCCTTTCCAAAATCTCTCTGTGTATTTCTGACATATTTCTGTCTCACTTCTTCTATTTGTTTTGCAGTACGAGCAGAATACTCACACACCACGAAGTGTTCTGATAGATTTAGTTATAAAACCCAAGAAAAACTTACAGTCTGCAAGCCGCCCTGTCAGTGGGGTTTATATGGTCGGCTGCAGTTTAGCTTTTGCAGACAGTATAATCCAAATTACCCTCCTTGCTGGATGTTTTACAAGCCCTGTCACTCTCGCATAAACAACTGCTCGATCCTGCTCCAGCTTCACTCGAGGTGCAGGTCGCACGGTGTATGTCACATGGGTCAAAATGCCGGCCCAGTAAGTGTGTTTTTGCCCGTACGGTTATGCGATGTTAATCCTATTTCTGTCATTCAAGCCATCATGGAAAGACAAACAGAAGCAAAGAGAGTAATGACAGGTAACACATGCCTATATGACCTTTACGCCACAGTAGGAATAGTTGTAGTTGTAAACACATGTATTTGAAGTCAACTACATGGGCTGATTTTAGATTGGTTACATGCTGCCAACCTGTCATCGTAAACATTGTCGTCTTATGAGTCATGCTGTCACATTTTCTTTTTTTTTCTACCGTGTGGTCTTGTGTCGTCTTGTCATTTGATGCTGTAGTGAAACTGAGGTTGTGATATTTGCTGTAAACTGCAGCGGTTGATGAGCTCCAAACCTCACCAGCGTTCATCGCTAACTTTCAGATAAAGTTTAAGTAATTACAATGGAACATTTTCACCAAACGATGGCTGGTAATCAGATGTAATAAAACGTATTGTGACAAAATAGTAGACTGTGATAAGGTATTCTTAGAAACCACAGTCTTTGAAAACAAGATGCTGATTAGCAACCAAAGCATAAACCTTTTAGCTAGTATTTAAAATGACTTTTCCTAGTAAACAAGAAATATTTTATGGGAAGCTTTCCCACCTTTTCATGTGCATGTCCAATCAGTGTTGAAGGTGAATAGTCAATGGAAGCAATACTTTCCTCATTACTTGCTATATTGACCTAGAAAGCTAAGTTTGCAGCTTTGACGTTCAGAACTTCAGGCTGCTATTTCAGCTTGGATTTCCTAATTTCTTCAAAACAGACCGACCCTCTTCTTTACGCTTGTATTGCAAACTGCGAAAATGGGATGCCAAAAACAGAGTGCAGAGGATGTTATGGTAGATTTTAGAGGGATTTGGCTGAAAGAAGTATACGACTGTAGGAAATCAGCAGAGAGAGGTAGCTCGCTGCGGCTGCGTTAGCCGCGCAAGAAGATATGTGCTCATAATGCAGTGAATTTAGATTACTCAGAGTGTCATCTATACAATACATGCATTGCTCAGTGAAAGCTGGTTGTGGGTTCTGTGAGTTGTAGGCATGAACGCATCCACACTAAAAGAGGAGGCCACATGAAGACACAGACCGACACGGATGAGGTGGACGACCTCGCCACCCTAGAGGTTCTGGATGAGGTGAGAAAGTCGACAATGTCCGTTCATTTTTCAATAGAGTATTTATAGAGACACAATCCAAGGCCTTTCCCCCACTTTTAACTCAAACATCCAGCATGTTTTTACCCCCGATCCCCTCTGCTGTGAGTGAGAAAAACACAGCGCAATTTATCACGTCTGAGCGTTGCATTGACGTTTTGAATGAAACAATCAGTCTCAGTTGCCTGCGGATATTTCCACCCATCCCTCAAGACGAGGAGCTCTGCTGGTATGAAGGGAGGCAGTGCTGCCCTGCTGTTGTTGATGTACCTGTCCTGGCAGCGTGAATACAGGAGAATTAATCACCGTGTGACATGAAGATAATACATTGACGTAACAGGACTTGAGTCAGGACAAAAGCTAGAATATAGCTTGTTATCTACAATAACATGGTTCTGACAATGTGATGTTGTTTACTAAACATTTTAAACCTTTTCCTTTTTAAGAACACGGTCACAGAGCAGCTTCAGAGTCGCTATGGACAAGATCAAATCTACACATACGTGGGAGACATCCTCATCGCAGTCAATCCTTTCCATAAGATGGAGATATACACTCAGGTCTGTTTCCGTGCGTCTACTTAACAAACCCGTGCTCAATAACGCACTGAATGTAGCCCAGCATACCTCATTAGTCTCTCTGCAGCTCTTCAGTCTGCTGCATCCCTTCCAGCCTCACCTGCACACAAACACTGCCCCTGTTTCTCTGCCAAACCTCCCTCACTGTGTTAGCAAGGTTGTTTTCTTCCACGTGATATCTGCATTACGTTATCCTCTACATATGCATGTTTTAAATTCTCTACCCTCTCCTCTTCATAGTACACCAAGATGTACATAGGAGCCAAGCGTACCGCTAACCCACCACACATCTTCGCTGTGGCTGATATCGCCTACCAGTCCATGGTGTCATATAATACAGACCAGGTAATGTAGTAGTGCTCGGTTATTGTTTTATAGCATCCCGAGTGCTGAAAATGTGCTTTTAACTCAACTAGTTTTGATGAATCCAGTGTTGTCTTTGTAATAGTGGTCGATTAATATGAGTAGCATCTTTTAGGTTATTTCTTATTACAGATTTTATTTTTAGTGTCAGTTAGAGGTTGTAAACACATCTCTGTGACTTCCTGTGGACAGTGCGTTGTGATCAGTGGGGAAAGCGGAGCTGGGAAAACAGAGAGCGCTCATCTGTTGGTGCAGCAGCTGACGGTGCTTGGAAAGGTGAGTCATAAGAGTCCATGAATACATACATTTCATTAACGTTGCATTCGTGAAGTCCAACGTTCATGTGCTTCACGTGTGGTAAATAATGTGTATGAATGAGTCTCAAACCACCGGTGCATCTTTTACCCAAAAATAGACAGTTCTAGATCTGTGCAGCAAATGTAGGTCCTGAACCGGGAACCTGCTCATCTCCAACCCAATGGGCGCTAAATAGAAACGCACTTGAGGCAATTTGAACATCCTATGATCAGTTGATTTGAGGTTCCAGCTGATGCCAGTCATGATGAGCAACCCAGCTGAAAAGAAAAAGCCCCTCAATTCCCTCTTTTCACAGCCGAAAAATAAGCAGCGGCAGTGTCACTTTTGGTGGAAATAGCATGAATAGACAGACACATGGCAGAAAGGCATTTCTTGACAATAGGATTATACTTCCGCTGTATTCATTTCCCAGTCGCTTACCCGGAGTAATGTTTCACTCAGGCCAATAATGAGACGCTCCAGGAGAAGATCCTGCTGGTCAACAGTCTGGTGGAAGCGTTTGGAAACGCCTGCACCGTCATCAATGACAACTCAAGCCGCTTTGGCAAGTACCTGGAGATGAAGTTCACCTGCGGGGGAACGGTGGTCGGAGCGCAGATATCCGAGTACCTGCTGGAGAAATCCAGGGTCATCCACCAGGCAGTGTAAATATCACTTACTTCCCTTTTTTCTTTCTGTCTTTTTGGCTAATGTAAGCGACCTTACCGTTATAAATGTCATTTGACATTCATATAAATTCAAAGCGTGTCTCTGTGTGTTTTCTGAAAGGTACATTTCCAAGGAGGTTATTTTCCCGCCTGCTGCTGTTCACCGTGTGTAATAGACTCCATCTCCCTTCTGTACACCTCTACTTCTCCATTTTGAAAGCGTTGGCATTTGCCTTCAACCTGCACTTCAGTCGCGCCGATCTTTTCTCCTTATCGTGTGTCTGTGGAGTGGACCAGGGCAAGTGGAGGGGGGCTAGCTTATTTCCTGTTTGATCAAAGATTGCGGTCTTGCGAGTGTTCTTCGTTGAGCTTCAAAGACAGACTCGAGTATTTCATCAGAAAACAGACAACACGGTTCAGAGGGTTTGATTTGGCTGCAAGCATCGAGTGTCGCTACACTTTTGGGGGAAATAGCGAAGCTGAATTCATGCATGAATTGTATTACTGTTTACACTGTTTTAGCTTTTAGCATGTTTTATTTCCATTGTCTTATATATTGCAAAACAGGAGAGGCATTCATCAAAAGAGTAACGTGGCTCACACCACATGCCTTGAGCTTTTTAAGACCTGAATATATCCGAGCTACGTCTTTGTGTGTCTCCACAGCGGGGAGAGGAACTTCCACATCTTCTACTACATCTACGCTGGCCTGGCTGACAGGAAGAAACTAGCCCACTACAAGCTCTCCGACAGCAAAACGCCTAAGTAGGTTTGACGTTCCTCAGCCCTTCTCTTAAAACACTGTTATTTCCTTCTCACACTGCAAATTTCCTACTTTCCCCGCCGAGACCCACAGTCCTGATCTTTGCGTTTCCTTTTGGATCTGCAGGTATCTGTGGAACGAGCACGTTAAATTAGGGCCTGACATAGTGAGCAACACCTTCTACAAGGAGCAGTTTGATGCAGTGGAGCAGTGTTTCAAGGTCATCGGATTCACCCTGGAGGTAAAAACACTACTGCATTAATTACTGGCCATAACCTTGACCCTAAAATTCATACAGACACTCCTGTATTATATATGTAATGTATGAAAGTCAGTGTTTAACTAAAAGACAACACGGAAGCAAGCATACTAATCCAATACATGCCATTTAAAACTAGTGTATTAGTAGTTCCTTAGATCCACTTTACGGCTTGTGATGGAGCATGAAGCTGCAGGCACATGCAGGCAGTCAGCTGTTGGCATTGTGAAGGCTAATGAGGCCCAAAGAACTGATTGCCTCTGGGATCTGCACGTCAATAGTACTTATCCTGTAATCACTTGGCAGCACCGGAGGAACAACCTTCTCTCCTACAGAACGTCTCGTCTTGCATGAAATCGCAGAGTGTGTATGAAGATGATCTTTGAGGAAAGGTTATCTATTTTTGAAATTTCCACACAGAAGCTGGCCTTTAAGAGACTTCTTCTTGCATGTATCAGGACTAATGTATCGGTATTGGTTGAGCACACGGATGAATGAATATTTTTCTCTTTTAAAATCGTACTATTATTGACATATTTGGTGCTCAGTGGTCGCATTTTAACATCTCAAACCAATTAAGCTTTGTTAAAATGCACTTTTTTTTTGTTTTTGTCTATTTAGATGTTAGAAGCTAACACGCTCACGCTAGCTAACCAGCATGTCTATTTATGTGCAAAAGGACATTTGATTTTCCAATTTAAATATGTTAAACTACATATTACAGTGCTTGAATTGAAATAAAAACCAGTGGTAGTCCTATTAACCGTTAGCGTTCATAACACCCACGTGCAACAATTAGGAGCATTAATTGCGTCCAAAACTTTAGGATTAATTAAAAGGATTAATGTGCAGCAGTTATCGAAAAAGATACCCCTGATATCTACCCAATAACAGGTGCTAGCTGAATTTGAGATACGGGACTTGTGGACACCAACAATAACTTAATAAGTACAGTACAGTCTTTGTTTGATTACATATACCAGCACCTGAGGTTGTACCGGATGTTATTTGATATTAACGTAACATCATACTGTTTCAAAGCCTCGGTGTTTTCTACAGTAAATCACTGTCTGTCACTTCTGCAGGAGCTGGGCAGTGTTTACAGCACTCTAGCTGCCATCCTCAACTCCGGCGATATCGAGTTTTCTCCGGTTGCCTCGGAGCACCAGACGGACAAGAGCGACATCTCCAACAATTCTGTCCTGGAGAACGGTGAGAAGAAAGAGAGAGAGAGAGAGAGAGAGAGAGGCATGAAACCAAACCCGAGTCTGAATATCCTCTCCCACACCCCTCATCCTCACTCTTCGGCTCCTCTCCATTAAACTATTATAAGAAAATACATTATCCATCAGTGCAGACAGGCTTCAGAGGCATAATTACCAAACACACATCTGCATCGGTTAGATTTTTCAGGACACCGTTTCCCTTCAGTAATATATTTTCTAAATATAGACGTCTTTGCTGACTGGTAATTAACAGAGCTGAGTAGATGAAGTTTATTCATTTGATGTTCTTCGACATTTGCACACCCTGCATGATTTTCTTGCATTTATTTGACTTTCCTTATCTGATGTCCTCTCAGTGGCATCGCTGCTGTGTATCCGCTCAGACGAGCTCCAGGAAGCCCTGACCTCCCACTGCGTCGTGGCCCGCGGAGAGACGATCGTCAGGCCCAACACTGTGGAAAAGGCGACGGAGGTGCGGGACGCCATGGGCAAGGCTCTCTACGGCCGCCTCTTCAGCTGGATTGTCAACCGCATCAACGCGCTGCTGCGGCCCGACAGCCACCTAGGGTGAGATCAGGAGCCCGAAAATGTGATGTGGTGTTAGTAACGTGTTAGCATCAGATGAAACATTATAGCTGCTTTACATTCGCATGTTAGTACCGTTATTGTGAGCACGATTTAGATGCGTTTCAATAAAGTCACTTTTCATTCTTCTCTCCTCCAGAGAGGATGAAAAAGGCCTGAACATCGGCATCCTGGACATCTTCGGCTTCGAGAACTTCAAGAAGAACTCTTTCGAGCAGCTCTGCATCAACATCGCCAACGAGCAGATCCAGTTTTACTTCAACCAGCACATATTCGCTTGGGAACAGGTAAAGACTCCGATCAACTACCGCCATAAACGCTGTCTGAGTGCTCCATTCCCTCCTGGAAAGCACTCTGTGTGCATTCTTCACCTTGGCGCTGCCTCATTTCCATCTAAATAGTGATAACATGACATAATTTGTCACTCTGCGCTTTAAGAGAGACGGCAAGGGTAAAATATGCTGCTGTCTTTATTTACGGGAGAATGAGGTTGGCGATTCTCCCCTCTGTGCTCTCCCGTGGGTGTGTTCTTGCCTTTTGGGGGGGGGGGGGGAGAGAATGGTTTGCTAATGTTAAATGATTTGGTCTCACCCACGGAGAGGAGCCATAAATCATCCTCAACGAGGGTCAATTAGGAGTTGAAGACAGTTAGCGTTTGACAAAATCTCACTCTTGGGTATTGTTGGCACCAGGCCCAGAAATACATTTGTCCTATATACATACAGAGCATAGGGGGAGTGTAGTGGGCTATAGCATTAATAAGCTCCACCTTACTGGGGCAGATTTACCGGAATGTTTCCATCTCTCTTAACACATGCGGTTACATATTGATTTTACGTTGTTTGTTCCCATATTGTCCTTTTCCTCTTTGAATACAAGTCTCCAGTAATGTTGCTGAGTCACACTCGGAGCTCTGCGAGTCAGCCAGATGTGATCAGGTTAGCTGAATATAAAGTGGTGGAGGCCTGAGCTCAGTTTGCCCTACAGAACAGATTTATCTGGAGGGAAGGGGAGGAGTGAGTCACTATGTGTCACTATGTACAACGAGAGGTCAAAGAAAGGAATTCAACTTATCCGTGTCGTTTGTGTGCAGGATGAGTACCTGAACGAGGAGGTGGACGCTCGGATGATCGAGTACGAGGACAACCGGCCCCTCCTGGACCTGTTCTTGCAGAAGCCCATGGGGATGCTCTCACTCCTGGACGAGGAGAGTCGTTTCCCGCAGGCCACCGACCAGACCCTCGTAGGTGAGTGGTCGTCAGCTGGTTTTCAGGTGGATTCACTGGTTAAAACCTTTCATTTGTCCGGGAAATGTTGACGGAGAAGCAACAGTCTTTGTCTTATGATCTCTCCATTAGTTTTAATGTTTAGCACTTAAAGGATTTATTTGACATTGAGAGGTCTGTAATCACTTTTAGACAAGTTAATACGAGATATAATATACTTAACTTCAGAGATCTTAGTCTTACTGGTTTGGTGGGATGATTAACGTTTGTATTATTGGACATTTTTAGAGAAATTTGAAGATAACCTGAAGACCAAAAGCTTCTGGAGACCAAAGAGGGTTGATCTCAGCTTTGGTATCCACCACTACGCTGGAAAGGTAGCTGATATTTGACTCTAACAATGTGCGCACAGACGTTTTTTTTATCTTAACCTGAAGCTACTCGATGAGCGTTGGCCTTCACATAAGTATCCTCCCTCTCTACCGAACTCTAAAGGTGATCTACAGCGCTGCAGGCTTCTTGGCCAAGAACAGGGACATGCTACCGGCCGACATCGTGCTGCTGCTCAGGTCGTCGGAAAACGAGCTCACGCGCAAACTCGTCACCCATCCCCTCACCAAAACGGGTAAAGAGGAAAGAAGTTCTTCCCTGGAAAACAGTTTAGCAGCACTAAATACGGACTTACAGTGAAACAACAGGCTATTGTGGCCTGTTTTAGAAAAGGCTTTCCTCTCCTGACTGCCAGAGTTTTGTTGTAATACGCTTGGCCTTGGCAGCGAGAGTATCCTTTCGTTGGCAGAGCGGGCTGCCAGCTCTGTCATAATCGAGTCACAAAGCCAATAATCACATAATGGCTCTTTTTAAATGAGTCTTAAAGCTGTCGTATCGAGCGTTTCATTCCTAACAGTAACTACAGTGTTGAGTATGACAGGACACTGTCCTCATTAATTGATCCCATCTATTAAAAATGTGCGGCCGTGTTCCTGTGGATGAATCCTACATGTATGACTAACTCACTGACTCTCACCCTCTCTTTGTTTATGTCACAGGTAACCTTGCCCACACAAAGGGTAAAGGAGTAAACACAATGCGCACCCCGACACGCACCATCACCTTCGCCAAGGTACTTACAGCCCGTCTACATTATCTCCGTATTATCTTCTTCATCAGCGACTCTCCTCTGAAAAGTCGTTCCATCTATTTCTGTTTACCTTCTTACTCTCACTACCGGAGCCACAAACCGCTCTTGATTTAACATTCTGCCTTCGCTTGTCTTTTCCCTTCAACTGTAGTTACAGCTTCTTCTACTCTCACCTTTTTTTGTCTCCTTTTTCTCCACATCTCTGTCTCTGCATTTCTGTCGTAAAAGATGGGAGTGCTAACCTTATACAATTCTTTCTCGTTCAGCGAGGTAATCACCATATTTCCCTGTAGTTTGTGTTTGAGGTTATATTTTACCAGTGCAGACACTCTAGATCTCCTTTAAATGTACATATGGATACAAACTTAGTGGTTAGAGTCTATTAGACTCAGTGACGGCTAAATCCTGTGTAGATCATGCATCATTTTACAGTTTATGCAAAAAATAGGTATTTTCTACGGAGTTGTATTCGGGCCAGGCTCTTTTATTTAGAGTTTTGAGAATAAAGTTGAAATTTCAGTATATCAATTGATGCCCGTAGTTTCATTTATTCAGAAAAGTTTGACATTTTTACTCTTAAATGGTATTTTTACTTTATTCTAACCTCAAAATGCAAGAAAAAAGAAAAGCACCCTGGCTCTAATACTCTTCCCTAATGTTCACTGTATGTATAATGTATGTGTGTGTGTGTGTGTGTGTGTGTGTGTGTGTTATCGTGCTCATGCATGTGTGCAGCCTGTAGAATGCTGAATGCATAAACGCTTCCCCATCGTCATCAAGTCCTCTGAATGTAGAAGTTTGTGTGTTACGACCTTTCTCTCCAATCCATTGCTGCAGTAGATTGTCTGTTTATAGCTCCAGACCTCATGCTGAGAACTTAGTGAATCAAAGAGACACTACTGGTGAATAGGGTTAAAAAAATGATTATATATAAATAGATATCACCATGAAACTTGCACAGTGGATTACTTGCATAAAGGCAATTATCTTGTTTTTTGAAATGTTATGTTTAAATATGCAAATGAGACACTATCTAATGCTATCTTTTGGTGAATTTAGGAGAAATCTACAGACGCAAATAGAGAACCTAGTAAAATAAACACCTTAATGTGCATTTTCCATGTTGTCTTTCCACTTGTCTATAGACTATGAATAGCTCAAACATCTCAAAATTGACCAGTGCATGATAATCATGTTTTTGCCTGAGGTGTCTCGCCTTAAAACGATTCCTTAAGAAAGTATCAACACTTTTAATTTTGCATTCAAAGCATTCAATAATCAGTCCAATTGTTGCCAACCGGCAAATAAGACCTTTCCTTGAGTGAATTTGTTTAAACACGATTGTGCTGCCAAACGTAATGCTCGAGGTGATTTGCTCACCTAAAAGCAATTGACAGTAGCTACGTTAATGAACACTGTTTGATGAGTTCCTGAATCTATTTCCATTCATCTGCATATGTTAACGGAAAAAAAACTCATCAAAGGCGTCGCTCTTAAGAGGCACAATGAGCACTCGAAGCAGCGTCAGGCTGATGGCTTGCTATAAACTGGTTTCCCTCGAGGTTATACTGCTGAGAATTAGATGTGGAGCTTGTTAAAATGTTACGAAATATGTGCAGGTTAATATATTTGTATGTGTCATTTGTACGTATATTTAAATTCATGCATTCTGTGTTGTCTTTTTTTTAGGTCTGTAGAGAAACAGTTCTTCGTGAATGATTGTGATTGTTTGACCAGCTTTGTGTTTGTTTGTTCAGCCGGGTGAACCTGGAGACGCTCCTTACCACCCGAGAGAAACCACCAACATGAGAACACAGACGGTGGCCTCATACTTCAGAGTAGGTTTCTTTTCTCAGCTGCTGATATCAAATTTCAAATTTACGTTTACAGGTTCCCTTTTTTTGCAGATGTAAGTAAGTTATGGAATGTTATTGTCTTTTTACTGTTATATTGTCATTTTGTTGCTTGTTTAAAACTATTAAAAGTACTAATGTATAAGTATAAAGTTACATGAGATGGAAATACTCAAGTAAAGTAAAAGTACCTCAAATGTTCCAACACTGCACTCTTCTTGTACTCTTTAGTACTCTCTGATGGACCTGCTGTCCAAGATGGTGGCGGGGCAGCCTCACTTCGTCCGCTGCATCAAACCAAACAACGACCGCCAAGCCAACAAATTTGACCGGGAGAAGGTCCTGGTTCAGCTGCGATACACCGGCGTGCTGGAGACCGCCAAGATCAGACGGCAGGGCTACTCTCACCGCATCCTGTTCGCTAACTTCATGAAGAGGTCAGCAGGCTTCACGCTTCACAACAACACCAGAAGGAAGCAGATGTTGTTTGTATCAAGTGGAGATCGGTGTGTGATGTATCGGTGTTCCAGCTGATTACGGTGTTCCCGACTGTTGCAGGTATTACATCGTGGCTTTCCATGCTCACGAGGAGCCGCCGGTGACTCAAGAAACATGCGCCGCAATACTGGAGAAGGCCAAGCTGGAGAACTGGGCTATGGGGAAGACGAAGGTGAGTCACTGAAAGTGTTGTTTGCAAGCTGTCATCAGGTTAGTTATATATGACGTGCCATATTTTCATTTTAACCAGCGAAAGCAACGAATTAGAAGCTGCTTTCCTTAATGTTTTGTTCACTGAGCTTTGGTAATAAGAGCGTCAAAACTCGCAATTAACAGTAACAAGTCCCCTTTGTAGCCTATGGTATTATATGTTGTGTTGGACAGTTAGATGGAGCATGCCACAAGACCTGGGTTCAAGCCCCAAAAGTCTTTATTTAAGTGTCACTGAGCAATGCAAATGAGGCATTATCTAAAGGTAACTTTTGGTGAATTTAGGAGAAATCTACAGACGCAAATTGACAAAGTAGTAAAGAAACACTATGTGTCCCGACTCTCAGGTGTTCCTCAAGTACTACCACGTGGAACATCTGAACCTGATGGTGCAGCAGGCCACACAGAGGATCATTCTGCTCCAGGCTTACGTCCGAGGCTGGATGGGAGCCAAACGATACCGGCGGACATTAAAGGAGCGAGAACAGAGCGCTCTGGTGCTGCAGTCAGGTTAATAAACCGTACACTCTGTTATCTAATGTTTTTCATGCCAATTCATGCTTTAAATTCTCGATTCACACTCTCCAGCTTACAGAGGTCATAAAGTTCGGAAGAGGGCGGCTGATGACAAAAGCAAAGCAAAGTTTGAGGCCTTCGTCGTCCGGTTTCAGGCTGGTACGAACAAGCTGAGATGGAATCAGATATCCAACACAATCTAAAGTTGTTGTTGATTTACGTTTCTCATGTCGTCTTCTTCAGTTTGCAGGAGCTATCTTGCAAAAAAGAAATACAAGGAGTTGGTAGATGAGAAGAACAAAGCTGCAACCAAGATTCAGGCTCGCTACAGAGGCCACAAGGAAAGGAAAAGCTTCAAAAGGAAACGGTATGAAACAGGACATTTTTGACAATAAAGCACTGAAAGAAAAAATGTTCTTTGACAATGTTTTGTTTGTAGGGAAGAGAAAGAGAAAGCAGAGAAGGCCCTTAAAGAAACAGAGGAAGAGACTCCTGAACCGGAGAAGCTCACCGATGAAGAAAATTCCTCTCCTCCCGTCGACGGAGTGGCTAACGAGGAAGATGAAACTAAGGCGGCCGTGGTTCTGCAGAGCAACTTCAGGGGCTACAAAGAGAGGAAAAAGTTTAAGGAGAGACAAAAGACGATGGCTGGGGCCGAATTGGAGTTGCCACCGAATGCAGTGGTGGAGCAAGAAGGTGGGCGAGAGGAGGAAAAGCCAGCCGATAAACAAGAGGTGAATGACGACGAAGACGAAAGCACGTATGAAGCGGAGGAGAATGACGACAGTGATCACACACAGGTGGCAGAAGAGGACGAGCACACGGAAGTGGCAGATGAAGAGGAGATGGAGGCAGCAGATGCTGGGAAAGCAAAGCCGGCGGAGGACGAGAAGGAGGTGAATGGACAAGAACAAGCTGCGGGGGGAGAGGTTGTTAACGTAGAAGAAGAAACCAAGGCTGCCACTGTCCTCCAGAGTAACTTCAGAGGTCACAAAGAGAGGAAGAGGTTGCAGGACGAAGGCAAGATCCCAGCTAAGAAACAGAAAGCAGAAAGTCCCACTGGTGAAGAAGAAGACGTGCCCACGGCGAGCAGCGCTGCAGGTGAGGAAGAGCTGCCCGAAGTTCAAACACCAGCAGAGGAAGTCAGTAACGAGGCGACAGAAACAGAAGAAGAATCAACGAAAGTTCGAGATGCAGCAGATGTTTCTTCAAGTGACGTCAAGTCAGCAGACCAAGACGAGGCCAAAGCAGCTGTGGTGCTTCAGAGCAACTTCCGCGGCCACAAGGAGCGCAAACGACTCGAGGAGGAAGGAAAGATCCCGAAGAAGACTAAGAAGAAGGAGAAAGAAGCAACACCAGAACCTCCAAGTGAAGGAGAAAGGGTAACGCAGACAGAAGAATCGGTGCCAGAATCCCAGCCGGAGAACTCGGGGGGGCCGGACGAGGAAAAAGCCGCGACCGTCCTTCAGAGTAACTTCAGAGGCCACCGGGACCGGAAGAAACTGAAAGCAGAGAGAGAAACGCAAAAGAAAACAGAGGAAGAAGCTGCCGAGGAGGTCGAAGAGGAGGCCTTGGACGTTTTGGACGTGATTATAGAACATAAAGAGGAGACAGACACCGAAAGAGAGAGACTGGAGGAAGAGCAGGCTGCGGTGAAGATCCAGAGCAACTTCAGAGGCTACAAGGACAGAAAGAACCTCAAGGCCAACAAGAAAACAGCGCGGACAGAAGCTGCACGACTGGAGAGCTTCTCCAAACAGGTAATATCCTTTAACACGGTTTTATTTTTGCTCCCAATCACCTCCTTTTTCCCCCCCTTCAAATACTCTTTTTTCAAAATCTCTTCAACAGATCACAAAGACTTCTCAGGACTTCGTGGCCCTGCAGCATAAGTTGAATGAGATCATCCATGCCCATCAATCAAACCCCGAGAACAATGGCATGTTCGTGAGAGGAAAAGCAATCAATGGCTACGCTCCTCAGAATCACCAATCGAGTAAGATAATCGAGATCGGCTCTGAGAAAAACAGATTATAAAGCAATAAATATAATTCATAACGTTGGCGCCGATTGACCCGAGGTTAATGTGCATTCTTGGTTCTGTTTTTGTAGCCGTCAGATAATTAAAGAAAACAGGCTGCCTGTCTGGAGGACGACATTTATCTATTATTTTGCTCTGTCCATCCTTCACTAGTCTTCACCCCCTGCCTCACTGAAAATAACATAAATGATTATTCTCAAGCCTTGATTGTAAATGTCCAGGATTTGAGGCAGGAATTGCTGCTTTTTCCGTAGTTATTATTTCAAAGTTAAAGGACTGCGGTCTGTTTCCACACTTCTTTATGTAAAAAAAGACGCAGAGGTTTTATTACCGTCTTCTCACAGAACAAGTTGATGTTATCGCCGTTCTCTCTTCTCCCTCGGGATCCTCGATTAGATCCGGAAACCTGGGAAAGTCAAGTGCCGACACAGGAAGCGCTCCTCTCCCCGATGTGTCATCAAAAGTTAAATTTGATTTGCGCAGGTGATAGATGTAATTGCTTTCGTGGTGGTGAGCGGCGGGGAGACGGCAAAATTGAAAGTTCACCGTCTTAGCAAAACGGAGCTGGCAGCTAAAATGTCAGCGTCGCCGTGGGTTCAGGTGTCTTGAGAAGATAATGTAATAATTATGTAATAATATCAATCATTGGCTTTTGTTAGCTGTAATTGTGTGTGTTATGCCATTCATTTGATCTTCGGTGGCTTTTATAGTTTTATTACAAAATATAGAGTGTAGGCAGCTTTGTGTTTTGGCATTATTTGTAAAGAAAACTCATGAAGTCCAGTGTCTTTAGGAATTACGTTCATGTTGGACAGGTCTGCAGCTCACTGATTACGCCCAATTCCTTAATATTAAGCTTGATTTAGTTTCCTTAAAATTAACCGTACCTTACAGCCAGACCATGTAACTTTTAGCCATTCTGGTAAATGACGTGTGTGGATGTTAATGCATGAGAGTCTCTCTTTAAGGCTCTCATACAGCCGTTACTCGTAGCGCCCACCCTCCGGTTCCCTCCTGTTAAACACTGTTAGCTCTGTTGGCACTGTTAGCTGCTAGCCGCCTACTCAGCCGTCACCATGTTGAGAGCCGTTAGGAGGCAATTCCTCAATCATAGATATGCTCTGATTTTTCTAATACAGCACCTTTAAAACATGTAGCATAATTCACTGAGAGTTTGCAGAGTTTGTTTTACTTTCAACAGAGCCAGGCTAGCTGTTTCCCCCTGTATCCAGTGTTTATGCTAAGCTAAGCTTCCTGGCTGCTAGCTCTAGCTTCATATTAACCGAGCAGACATGAGAGTGATGTTGATCTTCTCATCTAACTCTGGGCCTGAAAGCAAATCTGCATGTTTCCTAAAATGTCCAACTATCTTTAAGTGGAATTCACTTACATGCAGTTGTGCTTAAAGATCTGCTTCTGTCTAATTTTATATTGTGTGTGTGTGTGTGTGTACAGTCCAGTGTTCATTTGATCGGGGCATGTTTGCCCTTTACAGCCTTTTCTCTAGCGCAGCACGATGCCCGAGGTAAAGCAGAATAAATTATCCGTGTTATTTCCAACGGCGACTGCAACTCCCTATTAGATTCTGCTCAGGTCATTTCCCTTCATCAACAGTCCTAAGCTGTAAATTTCATCGACACAATAAACCTCATCGGAATCATTTGTGGCACAAACGCACAATGACAGCAGAGCAACGCCGGTCACATTGTTCTTCGTGGGAAAGGTCGTCAAATGTCGAATCGCGTTTTTGTGAGCGAGCGTCTCCGACAATTACGGCAGGAATTAATAAGAGGCTGTGTGAAATCGGCTTAAGTTGTTTGAGCGACACACCATGACCTTTTCAGATGAAGTTGTTCAATGACATTACAAACTTTTCACCTCTTTCACCTGAGAGCTTCTGCACGTGATGGATTGCGTGGTTTCTTCTCGTATGAACAGTGATTGATAATGAGCAACAAGCAAAGGTCGTCGTAATATGTTAATAATTGCAATTACAATCACATGCCCGAGGAGGAATATTGTAACGGTCATGACAAATATGATAGATTGCAACTCACCCACTACAGTACGGAAAGTAGTGGCCACAAACAAGCCTCTCTCTCTCTCTCTCTCTCTCTCTCGTTATGTTCAGTACAATGCGAGGAATCACTGTAACATGGATCGTTATAAAGTTACAGGACACTTTGTTTGTGTCAAAGGTTGTTTCACATAATCTCTGTTGGAAAATTCAAACTGGCAGGCCTTAGGGTTAAACTGCAGTGTGTGTGGAGGGCAGTTCAATAAGCAGCCTGGTGCCACATCGCACTCAATAGTTTCTCCACAACCAGCCACGTTTGTTGTGATCCCACCGGCTCTGGAGCTGTTTGATCACGATGGTCAGACACAAAACTAATACTAACCCGAAGCTTTTGTCCCAACCTCCTCCAAATTCCATCACAATGTAAAAGAAAGACAACACCAGATAACTTAACATGTTGTTAAAAGTTACAATCTCGAAAATCTCTGTTTGCTTGCTTCTGAACGTCGAGATTTGTTCCATGTCTTTGGATCGTTTTTTGAAGTTTCATTGTTTGTAGTCATCATTCTTTTCTTAGTTCACACTGAGAGAAATCCATCACAGAAAAGATATAAAAACACCTTTCCCTCCTTAACGTGAACCTCAGCTGACCATAGTTCATGCAGGCCGATCATAGACTCTAAACTCTAAAGTTGTTGAAAAGCATTTTGGGAAATGTAGGAAATGAGAAAATGCAGCTAAACACTTTTGTAAATAATAAACTGAATATTGCAGATGTCTAAAAGTGTATTTGAGGTTTAGTTTTCATTTTAGTGTCAACACTGTGTGGTGTTTTTAACGGTGTTACTCTCCAGCTGACAAGAGACAGTCGAGGACCCCCCGCAGGACCCAGCAGCCAAAGACCCTCAACACACCAGAGGACTCCACCTATTACAACCTGATTCATGTGAGTCAGAAAGAGAAGAACCATTTCAGATACTTACTGTAACAAAGCTTTGCTGCCAGCTGACGTTGTGACTACTTCCCCAGCTATCGGCTGCCGCGATGCGGTATCGATCGGCAATTATTTCCCTTTGCTTCATATGTTTCAAGGAAAGAAACACCGGACTGTTACAACGATGTTCCGGAGTTTCTTTTGCACATTTGACAAATAATTTTCTTCAGCAGTTTGTTATTTTTATGCTTCTTATTCAATGTTATTCTTATGTAATTATGTTCAATGTTTCATGGTTTCAGCGAGCAATAGCTCCTCACAAAATAGCTGTTTTTGCAGCACTTAAGGTTTGTTAAATGCCGTCACTACTTTTTAGATGACCTAGTTATATACTCTATAATGCATCGAATCAATAACTTAATCAATGAATAATGGAGACATTCAACTTTTGCCATTTTTTATACACTATTGTTTCTTAACATGATTGACCAGATGATTATTTGTTTGATCACATGTATTGGAGCCAAATTCACTAAAGATCTTTAAGACAGTGAATTAATATTTTATTAGAAATGAATAACTGTAACAAAACGTCTTAAACAGTGGTTCCCAATATGGGTTCACAACCCTCCAAGGGGTCAGGTAGAAGAGCAGATGAGTCAAACGGGATATGCTGAAAACAAATGCAGTATCTGCATCACAAAGTCATGTTTTTCTTCAGCCACGCTAGCGGCGCTTTGAAGATGCACTTAGTTACAACAGTGCTTTGAGTTAAAATGCCAACACTATCAAGTCAAAATGTTGGGAACCACTGTTCTAAAACCACTTTCTTTTGCTTTTCCTGAACACTGAGATTAGGGGTGTTTGATTGACACGTAGTTTATCTGTGCTCTGTTTCTCTCCACCCAGCGGTCTGTCCAGGATGATAAACGCAAGCCCAGGAAGGAGGAGTAAGTGTGGCACTTCTTACTTCAACCTAATTTAACAACCTATCACTACTGTTTTTTAAAGGGGCCCGCTGCCCGCCTGCTCAGCACACGTCGGGAGTAATGACTGCAGCTCAACGCCAACGTAAGGACGGTGTCCGAGTCCAAACTTAATGATCTGCAGAACTACGCACATCCTCTGTGAAATTAATTAGCCTCGGGTACATTCGCTAAATATACTTACACTTTATGTCAGGCATCAGAAATATTATTGTGGAGGAAAGAGAAAGAAGCGACTAGAGAGCGCGTGAGGATGTGTGCGTTCATGTAAATGTGTGAGTCGTAAAGGCCACAAGGTGAGCGTACCGCCCAGAGTGAGGGGGTTAAGATAGAGCGATAGGGCTGTGCTGAACAAGAAGGGACCGCGGTACTTCATCACAGCAGTCTGAAGACACACACACACACACACACACACACAGCGCTGAACATCAAGGGTAATAATTTGTTAGCAGATAAATAAAGCCAGCGATGGACAGGAGCCGTTTACATGCATCATTAAGGATGAGAAGGTCAGCAGGAAAGATAGTGTCTCTGGCTGAAGCAGACAGCAGAGGAGGGTGGGAGACGGGAGAGCGTGGGTGGTAAGAGGACCGAAAACTGAAGAAGACAAAGGTGATGATAGTAAACGGGAGTAAAGGTGTACAAAGAGGGAAACTAGGGAGGCAGAGTTCATCAGAAACGGTGATAGAGAACCACAGATATTTAATTTTATTGCCAATAGCAAAGCAATGATCTATGACATTCCTGTTTTGTACCCTCTGTCTAAAGATTTGCCAAAATAGTTATTTTAGCTTTCCTATGATGCCGTTCCTGTGGAAAATTCCTCTGTACCAGGAAAATAGTGGTTTGTGTTTCCAATAGCAGCAAAAAGCAGTTTGTTGAACTTAAACAGAGAAAGAAACACAGGAAGTTAGCATGACTAGTGAACCGATGATGAACCAGCTGAAACAACAGTTAACAAATCTACAAAAGCTCAAATTCCTGACCTCGAACTAGAAGACGTAGAATGATACGATGCTCAAAGTCGGGATTCCTACTTGTAAGATCTAAACAAATCCATCTACCACGACTTCACAAAGAATTGTTCAGCGATTTGGCCGCCGACGTCTTGGATTACGGCCGTCGCCCTTTTTTTGCGACCAGTGAAAGGAAGTTACCATATTTGAACGGCTGAGGAGCGACCTGTCAATCACCGTGTAGCCCCGCCCTAAAGCATCCCCTGCTTTATGGTCTGTTTGACTCTAAATGGATGTGCGTCCACCGTTCCTCTAAAATGATATAAAGGTCAACTCGAGCCTCAAACTCATCACAACTTTAGAATGAGATCATCAAGAGTTTACTGGAAAAATGTGTGTGATGTCGCAGCGCTGCAGTCATGAAGACACTGATTTCCAATAAAGGTCATCACGTATGTTAACAATGTGTCTGTTCATATGGAGGTCAGCGACGCTGTGTGATGCTGTCTGATAACTTACGTACTGGCAGATACTATTCCAGCCTTCCCTCTATAATTAGATATCTTTTAGACAAAAGAAGTGTCTCAAATACATGATGCATAATGGATAGTTTAGCCTCTATCTTCTTAATGTAAGAATTGTTTTCTAAATGACCAAAACACACTTTTGGAGAAGTTAAGTCTACAAAGAACTAGAGAGCATGTGGCTCTCAAAAAGGAGCAATCAGTAAAAACAGGAAGATTAAACTTGAGGTTTCTGCAGATATCAACCCAACTCGAACCACATCTGTTCTGTTTTTGATGTTTAAGAAAAACATTTGTTCAGGGAACAAACCGGCTTTAAATAGACAACACCTACTGAGGCAAACTGCTGCAATCAATGCAAACAGATCACAGGTGAGAGAGACGTTAAAATGTCATGAATGAAAACTAAATATCTTGACAATGTCTAAATGAGAGACTTAAATAAACACTATTTCTAGTATGTATTCAAATTAAGTCTACAAGATCAGATGAGAAGAATTCAAACAAAGACACAAAAAAACAAACATTTTCCTTATTTAGAGAAGGAAATTAGTCCAGTTTATTCAACAGCACATCTGGAGTTTAACAATGATCGATACACAAAGGATCTTCACAAATGAATAAATGCCGAAAAAAGGAAGAAAGACTGGCGCAGCTATGTGCTCTGTTGTCTGATAATGAATCCACTCAGCTTCTTTTTAAAGATAAACAGTAACTTGTACCACTTATTCCCTTTGTCGTGTGTTTTAAGATGCTTTGCATTAATAGATTTGGTCTCTTTGAGAGAGGACACACCTGGGATCCATCAGGTCTTGATTGCAGTCAGCTGCCTACAGGAGGAGTCTATTTAAAGCCTCTGTGTTTGTTTCTCTGTAAGAAGTTGGCAGAGGCTGAAATGCATCAGCGGGTCTTTTTAGGTCTCCGAAGTCTCCGAAATGCACCAGTTACATTATTTTGTGTTTGTCGATGCACGTTAATGAATTGGCTCCTCAAGTTTCTTTTAAATAAATGCAAATACAAGTCTTCTGGGGCAGTTCAATTTCTTAGTGTGTCTGCATCGACCACTGCTGTAATGATTCCCGTGTTTTTGTACTCGCACATCTCATACAACAGATACGCTCTCAAGCCAAACTGCAGTTCACGCTTCATGTCGACTGTTTCATCTGAATAGCTGAACAGCCAGCCATCTTTCAGCCAGGAGACCGCTGTTCGATCCCCGTGTGAGACAAGAATCAATGTTGATTTATTTGTCGCTTAACTTGCATACTTCAGTAACGGCACCTCCGTGGTTATTTGAACCCAAATGACAATCTTTTCCTAAACCTAACTAAGTAGTTTTGTTGCCGAAACCCAACTGAGTATTCTCCTGTGAAAACACGATATCATACGAACTGTTGTTTGAGGATACGTTGACCCCAGTAGGGTTGGGCAATATGTTAAAAATATTCAACCAGCGATTGCAGATATATTTGCACTTGTGTGTCTGTGATTGACATCAAAGTCTGTCCTCCTGACATCCTTCTTTGTGCTCCAGTCCAGGGAAGCTGCTGGATGTGGATGACCACTACTACCAGACGCTGTCCTCCAGCAGGTCCGAGCCCTGCATCGCCACAGAGGACATGCCTGAGAGGAGGCCGACTGTAGAGAGGAGAGGGTCCACGGATGGCAGGCAGTCCACGGAGAAGACACCAGCTGCTGCCAGTAGACAGACCAGAGAGAGGGCCGTCACCGAACCGGAGCCTTCCAGACCCGTCTGTAACGACAGGTATGTCCTGGATACAGAGGGAAGAACCTCAAACATTGTGCATTACAGCCTCACACCTATCAGGATCAGGTCTTTCTTTCTTTACAGATCAGCTTATTTTACCCACAAAAACAGCCACACTTGCCTTCTACAGACCAGTTGGTCAAAGTGACAAATGCAAGAACATATTTAATCTGTTTTTGCGGTCCTGCGTGGCCACTGACTCAGACACATGATGAATGATCGCTGCAGATGATAAACAATATGAAATCTCTCTCCTGAACGTGAATTGTTTCGTCTCCTCTCTGGTTTTGGTTTAAATCTTTCAAACCACCTCTTATGTTTTTTTTTCTGTTCTTGCTACTTCACACTCTGTCTTTGCGTTCACTGTTGTCTCCTGTGTTGCGTTGACAGACACTCACTTCCCAGAATGCCCTCCACAGAGAGTCGGACTGAGGACAACCCGTTTGACTTCAGACATCTGCTGAGGAAGACCTCCCAGAGACGAAGGCTCATCAAACAGTACTGACCACACAACTGGTCTTTTTAACCATTTGGCACATAATCTATCAAATTCTGAATGTGACAATGTATTAATCATATGTCATGTTGTAAAATACATGAGTATTTTATCCGTCAAAGCTTCTGAAAACAACTGATAAGTTACGTAAATGAAAAGCACTGACTGCATTGATTATAAGTCTTATTGATCTAAATGCAGACAGGATGAAAGTAAATGTAAATAATGAAATGCTTTGCCCTTAAAACTGTAAATGCAGGTTTTATTTATGTGATTTGTAAACTAGTCATTGCTACTTTAGCTCATTTTGCTGCATCAGTTTCCTTCGCTCAAACATTGAGGTTGTCCGTATCCATTTAAACACCGAATAGAATTGTAAAACATGTATGTATACATCATGTAAATACAAGATCCATCCTCTTACGCTTCAATACTTTGCATTTTAAGCCATTTTGATGAGTTTATCTCTCTGAAAAGCTGCTTCACTGTTGTCAAATTGTAAGAAATGTACATTGTCTCCTCTGCTGTAATCTGTGTTTTGCTCATTTAAACGTCAAATATATTAAATTCTTTGTGATGTTTAATTAATCTTACATTTAGCAGAGCTGCTCCCATGCAACATGAGTTCCTGATAGTCGGCAGTACATCCTCCTCAACGCATAACCGAGCTTTGCAGATCTTTGATAAAAGAAAAAGGTCCAAGATATCAGAAGCAGCCGTGTCATGTTGATATCACACCAGCCTCTTTATGTAGTATTTTCTATATTGGCTTGAGAATTTCTTTGAGATTCAACCACTGACCTTTTTATGTGACATTTCAAAGGAGAATCCCCCACAGGGAGTTAGTGAACCCCCAACAACACGCTGACTGCACACACTGGCAATAAAACACCTCCATACAGCCAAAAAACATCCATAAAACACAGACAGCAAGGGAGGATCAACTGGGACTCCAGGGTAAATAATATTGTTGCAGAAAGAATGACTAATATTGCTGTTTTTAAAAATGAAATAGAAATAAAACTTCCAGAAAAAGAGCTATTAATATCAGAACAAAAATAGAAATATGAAAAAAATCTGTGTAAGGCCTCTTTGGAGATCACACACTTACTGTAGTTCCATACACCAATGCGACGGGATCAACAAGGCTTTGCCAAAGGGTTGAGTTTATTTTAATGAGTCTTTGTGTCATTAAATGGTTGCTGGTGATTGCATTCATAAATCATAACAGATGTGGCTCAGGCTACAGCTCTCATGCCCGCAGGCTCTGTTTGCTCCCATTCATGTTTAAACGACAAGAAAACAGTGTTGGATTGTAATTTGAAGTTGATAATTTGTGGAATTAGGCTCTGATACCATTTTAATTTCTATATCTTTATTTACCTTAGCCTATCCAACATGTACAACCCAGTGTCCATCTCATTGTAGGCTGAAAACATTGCATATCAATCATTTATCTCGATACTTTATGTGAAGACTGTGTTGATAATATTGATATTTGTGCAAAATAAATCTAAGAGAGTTATTCTCCCTGAAACGAGCAAACCGCAGCAAGTGAACAAGTCACGTGCAATAAATACTTTTGGAGTAACGAGCCCCTACAGGAGAGAGGAGGGACCCGTGCGCACTTTCGTGTATCTGAAGAAGCCTCCCCGCCGCTTCCTCCGCCCGGAGGCGCGCAATTTGGAGCAGCCGTTCTCCCAAGAAATAGGTCTACAACTGCCGGGCAGATGGATTAGTTGGCATTCGCTGTCCGTATGGAGGGTAAGTTCAGCGCGTGCAGAGGACAAAATGTTGGGGATATATGGAGTCACGACTCACGACGCAGTTCGTCATGACTTGAAGTGCATCATGACGGGACTTCTTTAGTGACGTGATATTTAGGTTGGATGCAATTAGTCGCGTGTGTGCTGCATATGTACCAGCAGCTGTAGCATATAGGTGCTTTATTTGACGCCGCTTTTTTTTTTGGGGGGGGGGGGGGGGCGGCTGCAGTTCGTTTTGATTTTATTTTTAGTGCACATTTTCATCCAAAAAAACCCGACATTTCACCGCAGTTTGTTTTCTTTGCGCCTGAACTCTTAGCACCTGTAAAACGCCTGTAAAAAAGAGAGCACACCGGGGACGTCTTTTTTCTGTTTCTTTTTTTATTTTCACAATACGTGTTTTTTATTTTTAGGGGCTCTCCTGCAGCATAGAGCGACTGTCGGATGCGCGGCGGGGTTTTCAGCAGTCGGAGAGGTCTGGTGAGATTCAGCACCACATCAGCTTTGAACAGCTCCGGGTCGTCGCATGTGGATGGGCTCTGTCTGTCTCCGCGTCTCCAGCAGCTCCTAACTACCGGCAACAATGGCATCACAGGGTTTCTGGTCTCTTGGCGCAGATAATGCAGGGGCCAATACCGGGACTCAGAGCCCCAGCACGCGTGAGTGGCTGTTTTTGTTGTTGTCTTCAAACCACCTCTGATGGACCAAAGGCGATGCTCTGATTCCAGTGCATTGTCTCGATGCATTGGGTGAAAATCCAAACAGGCCTGCTGTGTCTTTGAGTCGTCACATCTGCTTTTACTGATTTTATTGTTTCTGCAGGATGCAAGAATTCCGTCTAAAGAGCTATCTTAGTGCTTTTTGCATGGCGCATTTTGTTTGTTTGTTCGTATCTTAAAGTTGGACTCTGAAACCCCAAAGCCTGTTCATCCGTATTTGATTTATCCATTCTCTCTTCCAGCCAGGGCTTGGTGCCAAGCGGCGGCCCAGAAATTATCCGGAGGACTCGGATCGAAATTATGTGGTACGTCGGCTCACTGACGGAGGAAGTGGAGGGGGTGTGGGGGGGGGGGGGGGGGGTGGCACGCTGTCTCCACCATTATATTTACGGCTCGGCCTCGTCAGGTTAATACAAATATGTCCATATTTGTATTTTTTTGTGATGTCCAAAGCGCTGCTAAACGTCGCGGAGGTGGAGAAACCCGCCGATCCGGCCACCAAGCAGCCGCCGGAGACAGAGACAGAGACAGAGGCTGCCGGCTCGTGCGGCTGCAACAAATCCTGCAACTGCACCAAAGCTCCCCTGGTCTTCTCCGACCTCTATTCAACAGGTACAAAAGCATGTCGTACAAACCTGGACGTCAAACATCTGTCACATCTGTCTCGTTGAGCCACAGCATTGGCCTCGCTTTGGATTATCGTGATTTATTCAGTGTAAAAATGTAATTTTATATAGTTAGTCATTTTAAATGAAAGAAAAACATCGTTGTAAATCGACTTTATGTCAATAATGTTCATTTAAATGTCATTTTATTGATTTTTCAAGAGGGGATCCGCTTCATTCTTTGTTCCCAGCGTGAATAAAAAAAATCTACATATGAAAAATATAATGTAAATAAATGGCAGAACTTGAAATGGATCACCATCCTTATATATACATCTATATTAAATATCGACAATATTCTGCGAGTTAAAGATAACGTTTTTTGCAGTTTTTTTGGAGAGGTCACCTTCAGCAGAATCTCTTGATTTGAGGTGTTGAACGTCGCAGAAACTTCAAAAACTCCCTTAAATGTTTAGACCTGTAAAGATGTAACGAAAGGTGTTTTTTTTTGTCCCGAGGCCTGCAGGATCATTTACCAGCAAAAAAAAAAAAAAAAAAAAAAGGGCTAAAATTTGTGCATCTTAATGTTGCATGAAAACGTTTAACGAGGGTGCTCAGTATAAATCACAAGACGTCTCCCACGCTGCTGTTATTCTGTCTACAGACCTGTTACCTGCCCTGGACAGCGACGCCAAAACAATGACCTTCCTGCAGGAAGTCGTGGATATTTTACTGGCCTACATCGTGGAGTCTTTCGACCGGGAAACTAAAGTTATTGATTTTCATTACCCGAACGAGCTGCTCCAGATGAACAACTGGGAGCTGCAGGGCGAGCCGGCCTCGCTGGATGACATCTTGATCAGCTGCCGCGCGACCCTCAAATACGCCATCAAAACAGGTCTGAATGTTGGGCACGTGCGTGATAAATAGCCTGCTTTATTTCTGACTTTTTTCCAAACACGCTGAGCAGTTTCAGTTTGGCATGTTAGGAAATATTCCCCGCCTTTTTTTTAAATGTATGTATAGGCCTAAAGTCCGGCCTGCAGCTTGTCTTTATGTGAAATCACCAGACATTTAATATCTTATAATAAACATAAAAAATATTTATAGAGAAAATAACTATAAATGGCACAGAGTCAGTGCAAGTCCTAAATCACAAGACTCAAATATGTAACAGATGATGAAATCTACCAGAAACATATTTTTAAGTAAATACTATCCTCCATTTTATGAAGGAATATCCTCCCAAAAATGCATAGTATTGACAGAATAACACAATCTTTGTTTAAAATAAATAAATGATATTTAAAAAAAATCGACCTGGAAGTTGTCGTCCTCCTCCTCATCCTCCTCATCCTCCTCCTCCTCTTCCTCTTGGCCACCAGACCGATAAATGCAGTGACGCAGTAAATCTGGTTCACCTAGTGGGAGATAATAGGCTAATAACCGCTCTTCATAGGCCAAGTCCATTATTCTCTCCTCGCTGACACACTGGAGAACACTTACAGCACGAGACAGATTTCATCCCCAAAACAACCAACACAGATATCTGTTTTTATAGATTTTATTTGGCGACATTTTAATTTAAACAGTTTATAAAGATTCAATAATAAGCATATAACTGAAATAAGGACATTTTTTAATGCACAGTATTTGTCAGCAATCATATCCCCTCCTATGAATACACCTTTATATTATTAACTGTCTTTTACTATATTGTCATTTCCATTACATCATATTAACTGTGTATTACAGTAAACATTTATAAACTGCTTATAAATGCTGCATTGTATGTTTATATTGTAAATTAAAGTGAGACTTTTACTTCACCCTACTTAGGACACATTACGTTTTTTTCATATTTAAAAAAAAAATATTCACATTTAATTTACTCAGTTCCAAAGTTGCTCTGTGTGATGTATTCTGTTTTACAAATCAAATGTGGGAAAACCCCGTTTGGGTGTTTACACCCTCCACTAAACTCCTACACTAACAGATGCAACACCAACTGCATTCATTATCACTCCAGACCATCCACAACGTCACTGCAGCTGCATTCGTAAGCTGCAATTAACGCGTTTAGAAGATGACAGCTTCTGTTTCTTTTGCACAAACTCAGCATAAACACACGGGAAGCGTATTTCAATTTTCCCCGACACCAGATCAAATGTTGAAATTGCAGCCGCCTCGCACGCTTCCTCTCTCATTTTCTCCTTTTGCTGCTTTTATTTGCCCCTCAGCCCATCCCAGGTACTTCAATCAGCTCTCCACAGGATTAGACATGGTGGGACTGGCAGCCGATTGGCTAACGTCCACGGCCAACACCAATATGTAAGTATGTGGCCCAGTGCTTCATCATGATTTCAAATGGCGATAATGACAATGAATTCCATTTCCGGTCCATCTGTATGCCGTCTGCACGGGCCGATAGCGGCCTCTTCTTTTTTCACTCAATCATGGCAAATGAAAAGGGTGAAATGAAAGGCAGATCCTCCCCCTTACTCCCCCCCTGCACCCCTCCCACCTCTGCCTTTTATCCCTCCCCCTCACCTCGGATCTCCATGGGGATTCAAAGGGAGGAAAATTAGCCCTGAAATTAAATTCAGACTAATCTCAAGCTAATTTTGGTGTGTGTGTGTGTGTGTGTTTTTGTGGTGATAAACTCTGCAAGAGTCAGTCTTGGCAACTGTGTGCCACTGCAAAATACGCCTGCTGTTGACACAAGGGGGGTGGGGGGTTAACATTACTGCAGCTAACACCATGTATTTGGAGAAACATACAGGAAATGTGCTTTTTTGGTGCAGCAAGGATGATGGAAATGTGAGATTTCTGTACAACAAAGAGCCCTGAGCCTCTGAAATGTGGAAAAAAGAAAAGCGAGTACATTTTGTTCAAGAGCATGAGTGCAAATCAAGACATCGCCTCTTTTAGAAATGAAGGTGAAGCCTGTACAACCCACAATAATGCTACATGTTTTGAAAACAAAATATATATTGTTACCCTTCAAGTATTTGATTGATTCAGTGTTTCATCCGCCTCCTGCAAGAGCCGTCAATTTCACCTCTAAATATGTTCTGAAACACACAAACTGCAGGGGGGGGGGGATAAAATCTCCGTTTACTGGCTATTCTTTACGGGGATGAGTCATGGCACATTTTGTGTAACCACCCTTCAACCATGTGATGTCCCTTGTGTAACGCAGGTTCACCTATGAGGTGGCTCCTGTCTTCGTGCTGCTGGAGTACGTCACTCTGAAGAAGATGAGGGAGATCGTCGGCTGGTCGGATGGGCGAGGAGACGGCATTTTCTCTCCTGGTATGTTACGGCGACGCCAACCCCTCCACCCCTCCGTTTCACTCAAAATGGAACTGCCTGTGTGTGTGTGTGTGTGTGTGTGTGTGTGTGCTGTAATGTGTCAATTTGCATTTTGATGATATAAATGGAACTCGTTTCAAAGCCAATTAGCATAAAATTATTTTTCCAACTCAAGCCCCCACCTCGTCGCCCTCCAATCTCTAATTTCTCACGTGCATTTCTGTGACACGTGAGGAGGAGCGATCATTGGGGAGTTTGATGACAAAGGCCGTGATTGGCTTTGACATTGTGGCCAGTTGGATGCCGTGTCATCCCTCGATACGCTGTAAACAAAGGATTTTTGTTGTTGTTGTTGTTTCATTATTTGAAGCATTCACGGACATTTTCTTAAACTGGGCTCTGAAACCCTGCATCACTCCCATGAGACTCTTCCAGTTCCTGCTGTGACACTGACTGGCTGTAAATCACTGAGCCCTGTCTGTCCTCCAGGTGGTGCTATTTCCAACATGTACGCCATGCTGCTGGCCCGCTTCAAGATGTTCCCCGAAGTGAAGGAGAAAGGAATGTCATCTGTTCCCAGACTGGTGGCCTTCACATCCGAACATGTAGGCATTTATGTTTCAATTCAGCAGATAAACTTTGTCAATGTGTGTACTTATTGGATCAAATAATGAGCGTTTATCACTATTTGAATGATCTTTTTAAATGAAAAGTCAAATACCTTCCTCTTCTGCGCAGGAATAACGACAGATAGTTTTGCACATTTTGGTTGTGGCTGTGTTTGTGAGTTTTTAAAAGTGAAATATGAAGGAGATATGAAGGTGACTGGTGTGTCTCTCACACTATATGTCACTTCCCTCATCTATTAAGGACATTTGAAAGATGCTGTGAACAAAAAACCAAAGACAAACTGCCGTTTGACAAATGTACACACATAAGATGTTGCACAGATAGTTAAACACGACCTCTCGTTCGTGTTTCCTCCGTTATCTTTCAGAGCCATTTCTCAATCAAAAAAGCATCAGCAGCTCTTGGCATCGGGACGGAGAGTGTGATCTGCATCAAAGTAGATGAAAGGTAAAGTCGGCCTCTCGTGTCAGCACGAGAACTGAAAGGGAAAATATTAGAAGTTGGATTCCACTGGTGGAAAGTAACTTAGTGCATTTACTCAAGTATTGCACTCAAAGTACACGTGGTTTGATTACGTTTTTTCTTACAGGACTTCTACTTCGAATGTAGTATTATTGTTCTTTTGTGTTTTTTTTTCAGTGGTAAAATGATCCCAGCTGACCTTGAGAGGAGAATACTGGAGGCGAAACAGAAGGTAATGTGACACACATTAACAACACCGCTATAAATACTGCAGATATTACTTCAACCAGCCTTCGTTTTCTCGCACTCAGTCGGCTGAAACCGCCGTGACGATGAAACACGTCGGCATTGTTATCAGCTGCTTTCACGTACGATCATTTCCTGTCCGTCTGCAGGGCTTTGTTCCCTTCTTTGTAAGCGCGACGGCCGGAACGACGGTGTACGGAGCCTTTGACCCTCTCATCGCCATTTCTGACGTCTGCAAAAAGTACGACGTCTGGATGCACGTGGACGTGAGTGAAAGAAGTTCTGCATAAACGTCTCCTGTTGCCTTATTTGAAACTCTGTTATAACCTTTAAAAATACACCTCTCCAGCGGAGGGACTGTGGTGGAGGAATACACAGAAATACTGAGGTCACCAGTGACTTTGACAAATCTATTATGTCTGTCTGGCCTCTAACTGCTGGTGGTTGACCCAGATAGGAGCCAGCCATTTCCTATCTAACACTGGGGATTAGAAAAACTGGAACAGAGGCTGTAAATCACCTCCTCCACTGACTTTGCCATCATGGGCCCTCTCACTGAAGGAACTCTATCTGTTAATGAAGGTGATTTAGTCCTGACAGGGGGACACCTCTATTAAGAGACATAAATGGCCTTATCTATCATCCCGCAACTGGCTGAGATGGAGGAAAAAAAACATCCTGCTTTGTAGCTGCTATTTCTGTCGGGATTTGTGGATTTGTGGATGCAGAAATAAGAGTGTTTGAAGGCCTTCTTAACCATGAGGCCAGATAATCCACAGATGCTTGTTAAAAAACATGCATGCTTCTGACATTAAGAGCTTTTTCAAAGCTGACATTGGTGCCCATGTTGAAAGTGAAGAATGTAGTGTCCCTTTAAGGACTTTGAAGTTGTATTTACAGCGTGACATGATAATGATTGTCGGTCTGTGCTGTCAGGGTGCGTGGGGAGGAAGTCTGCTCATGTCCCGGAGACACAGGTGGAAGCTGGATGGGGTTGACAGGCAAGTTACGTTATTTGGGGGATTTTTTTGAGGGGGGGGAGTGGTGTGGACACAATCTGACAAGAAGCTAAAGAGCATTTGAAGTGACGAGGCGTGGCGGTTGTTTTTAACTGCAGGGCCAATTCAGTAACATGGAACCCACACAAGATGATGTCCGTCCCTCTGCAGTGTTCAGCCCTGCTGGTCAGAGAGGAGGTAGTCTTCTTCATCTCTCTCACACACACACACACACACACACACACACACACACACACACACACACAGTGCATGTGAGTATTTGTTGTTCTTGTGGTGATTATAACCGTTCTGGATGTGATTTCGCAGGGTCTGATGCAGAACTGCAACCAGATGCACGCCTGCTACCTGTTCCAGCAGGACAAACACTACGACCTTTCCTACGACACCGGGGACAAAGCGATGCAGTGCGGACGCCACGTGGACATCTTCAAGCTGTGGCTCATGTGGAGGGCTAAGGTAGTTTGCTCTCTTGCTCATGTTTGCATGCAGCTCTTTGAAATACAGTTTTTTTTTGTGTGACGTCTGCCTCGACCAGGTGGCAACCTCCGGTTCTGTAAAGTGAAGCCAATGCAGAAATGTATTAAACTTGCATTCTCTCTACTGACTAGCAGGGGGCGACTCCTCCGATTGCAAAAAGAAGTCACTTTGTATAGAAGTCTATGAGAAAATGACTCTACTTCTCTCTTGATTTATTACCTCAGTAAACATTGTAAACATGAGTTTATGGTCTCAATCTCTAGTTTCAAGTCTTCTTCAATACAGCATGATGTTCATTTAGTACATTATGGTCCATTTAGATTCAAACAGACCATAAAGCAGGGGATGCTTTAGGGCGGGCTTACTGTGATTGACAGTTCGCTACCAGAGCGACATTATATACAGTATGCATGACAGATGCAGCAATGTCAAGACACTGGATTGAATGCAAATTGTGGACATTCTTATCAAATTTTCCTGCAGAAAAACATGATTTGTCTCTTCTTATTTACACTGTCGTAGCTGTCAGGGATGCCCACAGTAAGTTAGATTTGGCTTGCTAGATGTTTCTAATAGATTCTGACATAGATTGCTGTTTTTGCTGGGGGTAAATGGTCTTTAAATATGTAGGATCAGAAATTGTTAAATATTTTTCATAATCTGTGAGTGAGGTTAGAAACAATGGAGAGGCAGAGACAATGGTTCACGGACAAAAGCATTTAAATAAAGGGTACTTTACCATTTTGCATCACAATACAATGGAGTAGGTGTTTGCTTCTGGCCCCTGGACCCCCATTAAGTTTCAACTAAATAAACATTTCAAAACTAACAGATTGAAACGTTTCCTTCGACAGGGCACCATCGGGTTTGAGGCTCAGATCGACAAGTGTCTGGAGCTGTCGGAGTACCTCTACAACAAGATCAAAGACAGAGAAGGATACGAGATGGTCTTCAATGGGAAAGTACGTCCACATTTAACTTCCGCTCTCCACAAGAATCCTTATACAGCCGCACAATCAGAGGAGAGTAGCCGACATTAGTCCACGTTGCTTCTCTTACCTCCGTGTGTTCGCTGTCATTACGGGTGACTTGATTGACGTGCAGCGTGCTCCTGCTTTGTGTTGGATGAATGCCATTTTTAACTCTAGCTGCCGGTATAATGTGCTGCTATTATGTTTCATGAATAGCACAGCGGCCTGTAATTGCTCATATGCGTATGAATGGCGGCGTCTGAAGTATCCTCTGCAACAGCCCAAACATACGACGGGGTTATTAAGCTAAAAAAAACCTTTTACAGGAGAAGTGCTTGGACACCCAGAGTCATTTATAGTGAAAGCTCTTTAATGTTTCAAAGCTTATTGTTTCCTCGCTGAGCCACCATAGACTGAGAGCATCATAACCCAAAGGGTGGTGGGGGTGGGAAGCCGAGTCTTCTGGGCATCGGCCCAGGTGTTCACTTGTCTGTATAGCTCCCATCGAGCCATTACATCAATCTGATGTTGAACAAACGACGGCGGAACCAGAGCGGGTCGTCTAAATGAGGCTGGTGTGCATGGCTAGTCAGCTGTTGGTAATGAATGATCTACACCTCGGCTGCTCCAGCGAGGCTTCACATGCCAAAAAATAAGAGAGCTGCGTTGGCTTTCAGACGTTTAGAGAATGTCTGAGGAGGAGGCAGCTACCTGTCTGATGCTGGGAACACATAATGGGTTTCTTTGTTACGCCTGGAAACAGAATCCACTCTGGCTTGAAGTAATTGACGGGCTGCGGTTACTTTCAGCGCTTTTTATTTTGAGGTATCTGTAGGATTTCTACCAAAGATGATTGTTAAATGTGTGTGTGCACTGCATCTATATTAATATTGTTAGCTGCTAAATGTTCGACAGTGATTAAGTGTTGCTAACTTTTTCTCTCTGCCGGTCTGGGCTGCTGGAGTGATTGCTAAAATGACACAAACTGAGACTGAAACAAAACTAGGGATGCACATATCAGTCAAGTTGCGGGCCGTAGAATCAAAACAATGAGCTGAAAAGAAGCAAGAACGCTCTGTAGATTTTAGTTAAACTGAGTCTTGTAATAGTTCTGTGAGCAATTGTTTTTGCTTTACACATAAAATACTGAATATAGCAGTTTTATAATGTGATTTTGATGCTACCACAAAGACAAGACAAGTCAAATTCTACACATAGTGGCTTTAATTTTAACAACAGACATTTACAAAATAAAACAATGAAAGTCTGTAATATTGAAGTATTGCTCGTCCTTATGTGTGCATGTTTTGCTTTGGTGGCGGTTTATTGCTCTCATCTCTTGTGTGTTCCCCCAGCCTCAGCACACCAACGTCTGCTTCTGGTACCTCCCTCCTGGGATCCGCTACATGGAGGACAACGAGGAGAGAAAGAAACACTTGCACAAGGTGGGCGAGCGGAGATAAGAAGCCCGACTATGATATCTACCAAAAACACCTTTCACTGCACCTTTCGTTTGCGCTACAAGCCTTTCACTCCTATCCAGTTTGACCATCACATGTCCCCCCCGTCATCAGGGACAACATGGCTACCACTTATCCTCTGGATTAAAAAAACTATACTTTGCCATACATGAGGTGTACTTAGTAAATTGTGACAGTGTTGCTCACAGAAGGGTATCACAGGCCTGATTTAAAGAGAGTGAGGCTATCCAGTTAGCTAACGGCGGCCACTCAGAGGATCCCACGGCAGCGGGGGCCGACTAATTGACAATTAGGACAAACAGATGGGGGACGTCCCGCCCATAAAAAGAGCTCTCTGCATCTGTAAAACCATCCACCGTAGATCGTTTGTCAAAGCACATCAAACGGAGAGATTTCCTTTTGTTTTTCCAAAGTTACGCCTCACTGAAACCCGAGTGTTTGGACAGCTCGCTGTTCTTCCTGCAGACTCTGACACTCAGATTGAGGGATGATGTAATCTTGAGGAAAACGTCCAGACTGGAGGAGCTTGATTTCCACTTGCACTTAATGGCTACTTCTGAAGGATAACTGGAAAATTGTCAAAAAGACTGATTTGACAGCAATCTGCAGATGTTGATTGATTATTTTACTGAAACACCTGCAAGAGATTAAGAGGGATTATGTGAGGAGAGCTACTGGACAGAACTCGCCGCTGCACTGCAGCCTTTATACTGTAACCCCAGTGGTGGGAGAAGTACTCAGATTCTTAACTTAAGTAAAAGTACTTGTTAGTCCTGCATTCGAAAATCTAGTTCGGTAAAAGTACATATTACATTTATATATAAAAACACAGACGATATAAAATGTCCCCTTTCAGAGCGTTAAGTCATGGAGCCTTTAAGGTCCTGAAGGATTTCATGCACCTTAGATAGTAATTTTTATGTTCTTATTGCTGCCAGGAGGATCATGCGATCGGTGGCTTGTGTGCGTCTGTGAGTGACTGTGCACCTCTGTGTCTGTCCGTGGCTAATCTTGCATTCTGCTGCAGCAAACAGCATATTATTTTGGGTGCTCATTCATAGCTGCATAACAAGGACCTCTCGTGGTTGCGGTGACTCACATTTTCTCAAAACATCTTTAATCTGTTTTATACCGGTATTGACGTAGTCCTCTCTCACTACTCTTAACAGGCCCCCGGCCAGTAGGACGGCCTGATAGTACAGCTGACTGGATTTTCTCATAAATTGGATGTACTTAACTGTATTTCAGTACCTCCAAATTGTACTTAAGTAATGCAGCATATTTGAATACATGTACACAACCCTACAAGCTCATGTCATTGTTTGTTTTGTGCCTCGTAGTAAATATATATGAACCAAACCAATGGAACGATGAAGACCTTATGCAGTGTTTGATCTTCTCTCTGCTTCTGTTTATTCATACTGTATGTACTGACCCTTTCAGGTGGCTCCGGTGATAAAGGCCAGGATGATGGAGTACGGCACGACCATGGTCAGCTACCAACCGCAAGGAGACAAGGTCAACTTTTTCCGCATGGTGATCTCAAATCCCGCGGCGACCTTCGAGGACATCGACTTTCTTATCGAGGAGATCGAGCGACTCGGCCATGATCTATAAGACTCGCCTCGCCAAATCCTCCCGTACGTTTCCCCCTTGACGGATGAATTGTTTGTCGTGAATGTACTGGTAAACGTTTTTCTTTTCTCTCTCTTTCCTCCAAACGTCACATATTTAAGAGTATATTTGAGGGAAAAAAAGATCTACAGATATATATATATATATACTGTATATATATATCCATATATTATGTATTGTAGCTTTGCCGTGGACTAACTTGGTCCAAAGCTATGTAAAAGTGCTTCTGTCTGCATTTCCTATAGTGTAGTAGATCCCAGTAAGTGATGTAACTTGTACTTTTTGTGATATGAAACGCTTGTGCAATAGGTCGATGAGGAAGAGTTTTTTATTTGTGGGATCATTTCTCATTTGCAGAGTATGTTGTTAAGTGCCAAACGTGGTCGTGTTCTACTGTAACTTTACAATTTAAACTTCTGGTTTAAAACAAAAAAAAGCACTTCACCTTACCTCAGCGTAATCAACTGCCTTTACATCTGCACATAGTACGTCAAGCAGTGTTGTTGGTCGTTTTTCTCCTGACTGGTGATGTATAGCAGCACCAGCACATGTTAGACAAACTGGAGCAGGCCGTCAGTAGTAAATATGTACAAAAGAAGGCATTTCTATCAAAATTACACAACAGCAAAGAATTTATGAAGGCGTGTTGCTCCATCGCGCTTCACATCAGCCTCTGACAGTTTGATCTGCAGCTTACGATGCTTATTTAATATTGCAGCAACACTTTATACTCATTTTACATACGCACTTCTCTCCGGTGTATTTAAGGTTGTAAAGGCTCGTTTTGTTAGCTGTGCTGAGTGTGCTTTACATGATGAAATGATCTAAACTGAGAATAATCAACATTGAAGCGGTAGCGTTAAGTTATAATCCTTAATATTATTCTTTATTTCAAACCCCGTTGTTTCGCTACGATGAACATTTGTGTAGCCATTCAAAGTATTTGGAGATTTTAATCGCCTCTCTTTACAGTAGTTTTAATTGTTGGCGGCGGAGCTTTGAACTTTCGCAACAAAACTATTTGATTAGGGTGGTTTGGGTTAAAATAAGTAAGTTTGTTAGGTAGCTAGCGTTAGTTAAGTGCTGAAGTTACATAACAAAACTACGGTAAATTAAGTCAACGTTAACTTGGTTTCACACGAAACATGAACAGCGGTCTTGTGGGCGAAAGTCCCGTGTTTGACAAAGCAAATTCCCTCCAACGGGCCCACTGATAACATACGCTTGTTGGGCCAGTGGGCATCACATGACCTGCAGTACCTACTGTGGCCACTATGACTACGCAGCGCCGAGTTGTTCCTGGCAGTTTCGTCGCGCACTTTCTGTTATCAAAATGAATCGTTAAGGATTATAACTTTGATGAGCACTTAATGAAAGATCAAGGATCTTTAAGAAAACTGGGAACGGGACAATAATGGTGTTTTGTCTGAGTAGAGGAACTTCACCAGACTTGCAGCTACTGCATACCTGACATCTATTGCACTAAATCAGGAGGAGGAGTATCCCTTAGCATTGCAACTGAGATTTCTTCTTTATTCATTCACAAGCAATATTTCAGTATGGGTCCAATCTATACACCCTGCAAAACAAAAGCTCTAATTCAAGCGTACAATAGTTAACGGTAATCAAGTTAAACATGCTTACTGTAGGCAGGTTATAGTTGATGGAAAGTGAACCCTGATTTTAAGAAAAGCAGGGCTTCACTCGCATTTTCATTAGAACAAGTTAGAAAAGCACAATTTGCTCAACACGGTTGCTCAGTGTACAATCACTTTTGATCATAGATTGTAAATAGTATTTCAAGATGTCCTAAGTACATATCTTTGTGTATACATAAGTGTATATAATACGTATAATCAGAGACTATTTGTGAGGTAAAGTTATTCATATTTTCTCTATCTCCAATATAGATTACTTGTATTTTCATCCTGTTTGTCCAAAAGGCTTTTTTCCTGTGTGTGGTGTGTGTGTGTGTGTGCGCGCGTGTGTGTGTGTGTGTGTGTGTGTGTGTGTGTGTGTGTCAGTGTCAGATACTTGACTTGGTTTGTGACTCTTCTGCTATTTCAAAGAAAACATGTTTCAGGGACTGGCTTTAAAGAAACTGACAGATTTCACCTCAAAACACTTGCGAGTCTTTTGCGAAGAGACTCTGGTGTTTTGATTTTAAATGAATATGCAAAGCCACTTTTCACTCTGAAGCCCTGTGTTTTTGTGAATACTTGACAGTGTGTGCCAATGTGTACCTTAGTGTGTTTGTAACTGTGTTGCCTTAGTATAAATTTGCCAGTATTGTCTAGTTTTCCTCCAAAGGGGAGGTTGTGCACTTTAGAGTATACACATGATAACGTGCAATGTGCAATCGTTGTTCATAAATTGATGTTTAAAAAAAAAACTCAAAAATGTAACTTGGTCTGAATGTGACATGCATCAAGAGTCTTTTTTTGTTTGCATTTTACAGACATTATGAAAGTTTTACATCCCAACAGAGATTAGATTTATTAATCCTAATTCCCAGATTTAAAAAGAAATTGGCGTGAACACTGTGACACGGACAACGTCAGATTTATTACAGCGACACAGGAATCTCACTGTGGCGGTCGTGGAAAGCCGGACATTTTTCTTCTCTTGCTGCTGCTGCTAGACTTGCTTCCTTTGCACGTGCATGCGATGCCTTGCCTATCCAGCTTGTTCGATATCTCCTATATATCTATTTCTCTCTATATATATATATATATATATAAATATATACAGTATGTGTAGCTCCTGTAATTAGCTTTAGTGTCCGACGTATAGCTTTAGCCTGTAGATTAGTGCACTGTCGCTCGAGCCTTTACATGTGATTCTCTGTGTCTTGGGCTTCCTGTAAAGTTTCTCCGTGCCGCAAGCATGCTAACCTCGCCTAGCATTGTAATCCTCTCCGCGCTTGATCTCACTATCTCTATCCTCTGTCTTTCTTCTTCTGCTTGAAGACTGTCGCAGCTCTGAACGTAAAGTATTATATATCTATCTATCTATCTATCTATCTATCTATATGTGTGTAGCCCCTCAGCATGTCTCTCTGAAAGCTCTTTTCTGCTCTGTACCTGTACGACCTTTTCTCTCTTTCTCTTCCTGCTTCGCCCTCCTCTAGCAGTGACATTGTCACCTCACGCTTTCCTCCAACGTTTCTCGGCTGCCCGTTGTCGTTCCGTTTTTTTCCGTGTCGGGTGTGTTGACTCGTGTCACGGTGCCATAACGTCGCCATTTTATTTTGGTTTCACCGAAAGGCCCTTGACTCAAAGGGATGTATGAGAAACAATCAATAAGATGTAAACTTGATTGTCCAAAAACTTGTCCAATACAAGTGTTGTTAGCCTTTAACACAAGTATAGAAAATATATAAATATAAACCCTGGTTTCTTGCTTACAGGAATATATTGTTTGTTGAACAATTAAAATCTCTAGTGCTCAGAGTGCAGTTCACTTTCACGTATGATTTTAAATCGTATGTTCTGCAAACTGCTGTGCTAGCTTCTCTCAAACATTCATTTGTCCTGAACTATATGTTACTGTTGGGAAAGTATAAATAAATATTGTCAAAACAAAGATTATTGGAATCTGTGTTTGTTGTGCTTCAGTCTGTCGGCTAAAAACACAAGTGTGTTGTGATTGAGAAAAGAGATGCTGTCACGTATCCCAATACGTCACCACATGTCCTATATTTCTTATATTTATCATTCCTTATTACTTACATGCTTTACATATATTGTGTTATATGGTGTTTCATTATGAACATAATTGATACTTTGCGTAGTCTTTTGTTTGTATATTAAGTGATTCTTTGTTTCTATTTTTCCTATATTATGTGTAAGGGCAACTGTATCAAAGTATCAAAAACAGTTCTTAATGTGATACTGATAGATTAAGAACAGATTCAAACACTTTTTTCATACAAAATATACACAAAATAATGACAATAATACAAACATAACGGTTTCATGTTTCTCGTGCAACTCCAGTAAAAAATTCAAGATGTTTATTGTCACTCTGGTTATAGAAGTACAATCGTGTGAAGTGCTTTCAGAGGGAGGATCCATAAAGGAAAGAAAATGTATTGTGTATATATATAGTTATATAAAATATGAGACAATAAGTACAAAAATATCCATTAGTGGTATTTTTGTGAGAGGCATCGCTGGCAGGTTACACATGTCTCCCTAGATGGCACTGCAGCTCCACACGTGAGTCACGATGAGCAGCAGGGAGTGTATTTTGACCTTCACTAAAAACAGACATGCACAGCAAATGTGGATGGAATTTTTGGCAAATAAAAATTATTTTCTGTTTATTGTCTCAATGAGCTGTTATTTATTTTTTTTGCTCTCAATCATTCCTGATTACAACATCCTTTTATGGCCAAACGAAAGAAAACATGCATCCCAAAGTATGTAAAAGGTTCCCAGATGTTTTACCTCTTCTTTCCCTCTCAAACACAGATAAAGAGGAAAAGCACCTCGTGGGAATAATCGTCGCCTCTGTGACAAAGACTCACAACCACACAGGGGTTTACCTTATTTGTTTTATTTAAGTGATTAGCATAAGAAAGTGACACTCCATGTTTTAAACGAAACATCTGGGCGGCACACTGTATCAGCTGGCTCTGCATGAAGCCGCTCAGAAGAAGCGGATGGTTTTGACATTACAAATGTGACATGCAATCACTCAGTTAACTGTTTCCACATCGTGGGGTTTTGCATGATGAGGTCCAACATAGTTCTGCAGCTTCGGACTCTAACGTTGTCTCACTATTGAGACTTTGCATGTAATCTGGTCGACACTGACGTTCTTCCTGTAGTGCTTCAAAAAAGTTTGAAATCATACATACATATTTACAGCCGCTCCATAGTAGAGCTCAGTCATGGAAACATAGCCAGAGGACAAAGGGATGATCAGATGATCAGTTGTGTTACTGTGTACCCCTACATAATGTTACCTGACCAGAAGAGTTTTATTTGTTACATAAATCACCTGCTTCTGAAACGTGGCCAAGACCAGAGAGATGGTGGTCGATTTCAGGAGGAAGACGACAGCTCCACAACCGCTGAGAGTTCTGGGAGAGGATGTGGACAAGTTCCTGGGTGTCTCCATCGACAACAGACTGAACTGGAAGACCAACATCAACGCTGTGTACAAGAAGGGGACGAGTCGACTCTCTTTCTTGAGGAAACTTCGATCCTTCAACGTGTGCAGCAAAACAATTGCTTCACACAAGGCAGCAAAATCATTAAGTTATAGAATTAAATGTAAAATCGAATCAAATTGGGTGGATTCTATAATAAAATAGGCAAAACCAACTCTAGCAATGTATAATAAAAGAAAGAAAACAGCAAAAAATTAAAATCTAATACCTATCTCATCAGTAAAAGTCAACAGTTGTCTGGAATGAAGCTGGCCGACATCTTCATGCACACATGAAGTCAATATGTGAGCTGTCCCTGCTTACAACCCACATGTGGAGTTTTACGATCCACTCCTCTTGCTGCAGAGCCACAGAGACAAAGTGAGTTGTCAGCTCATCATCCATTAATTGACATCAAGGAATTACCTATGTGTGCTCTTGACATCACGTTTTGGACTCATTTGGTGTCATGAGGCCAAATTAATTTCAATCAACCTTGACACGCTGCCTCTGCGGACTCTGTTATCTCCCTCACAGTCTTCCACAGAGCGTAGACATATTCCTTTTTACAGATTCAGAATGAATAGTACGAATAATGACTAAATGACCAGGTCTGGCATTTTCTCAGTGATCAGGGATGTTCCCACATGAGCAGTTTATCACCAGCGTCTCCTGGAGGATCTGCTCCCCCGACCGCTTGGAGCACATCACAGGCCTTGTAAAGCCCCGACGCTCTAATCCCACTAACGACGCTCTAATCTAAGTGATTACACAGAGAGGAGACGAGCTGCAGTGTCCAAACACACGGCTTGCAGACAGGAGAAATGTAGCAAACATGTCATAAAGTTTAAGTCGTAGAAGTTAATCTTTTTCCAGACTGTTGCGGTGATTTATGAGTAACACACTAGATGGTGAAGTGAAGGCTTGAGAGGCGCTTACCAAAGCATTTTGACTGAAAGGTCAAAAGGATTCTCATGAAGTCTCACTGAAGTCTTTCCTTTAAACAGACCATGTGTGTGTGTGGCAGCGAAGCCAAGCCAGATGTTGGTGTCTGTTGGAATTGGTGGCGTTCACCTCACAGTCCTCTGAGCCGTTGAACTCTGCCTCTGCCCTGATGTCAGCCCAGGAGCTGCTGGGTCATCCATTAGTGTTTGGTTTCACTTTGGTAACACTGCACGGTGAACACATGAAAGCCCGATCACCTTAGGGGAGAAGCCGCATGCTTGGTTGACAGCAGATAACACATCCTTTTTCTCGGCCGGGAGTTTGCAGCTAAACGTGGATTTGTTGGTTTGGAGGTCGAAAGAAGGCGACTAAGTTTCAGTGTGTTTTAGGTCGTTATTCAGGTTTTTACTGTTTTGATTCACTCTCACCGCTCTCATGGCATCGTTTCCAGATGTGGCATGTGGCGTGACTTTGGTGTGTGTGTGACGCAACAATGGCGGCTCCTGAAGAGGCTAGAAGCTGCAATATCATCAGTTACATCAGAGCTGGAGAGTTTCTTCATAGAAAGAAGAGCAAAAAGAACGACACTGAAGGCTTTTCTCGATAGAAAAGATGTTTTCATTCAGTTTCATTGACTGATGGTTCAACAAATCATCTGCCAAGTATTTTTTGAAAGCGACCGCCCTTTTCCAAACAGTTTCCAACAACCGGCTTCTCAGATGGTTCTCTGTAAACAAACCATCTGGCACCTCAGGTTACGACCTTCCAGTCCCCAGCATTAAGAGCCTGACATGATACATGATCATCCACCACACTCTTGCTTTCCTCCTCCCCACATAAAAACCACAGTTCCTCCTGCAATAACACTGACCGTTGGCACTAGACGTAAATCACAAGGTGCGTAATTCTGGGTTAGTTAGAAAAGTCCCCATGTTCCCAGATCTTTAGCAGTTATTTTTGCAAATATAATGCTACCAAAACAAAAACAAGACAAAAGGTATACGAAACCTGAATTGTCCTGGGCTTAAAAACGTTTAGTTTTCAACGGCAAATCACCAAATCCACACCTGCTGGGTTGCATCTGCCTCAAAAATATAAATGCTGGACTATCACGCTTTTGTTGAAGGCTATTTAAGCCAAAGATTCTCTGTTACGTCCACTTTGTTAGTCAAAGTCAGTCGTACTCATTAGCTTCTCCGACCTCGCAGTGCACCCTGCATGCTACCTAAGCATACACTATGTTCTGTTGCAAAGCACTGCACACACACACACACACACACACACACACACACCTCCGCTCAACTTATTGTGGTACACGCTGAGTCATTTGTATGGATGCATTCAGTGAGATAGTTAATCTGTAAGCGCCTGCCGGAGAAAGCAATTAACCTCATGGACCACCGGGGAGTTGATATGAGTGAGAGAGCATCTCTCCGCCATTTAAATATACACCAGAGGGACTCGCTCGCTCGCATTCAGCCAACCTATTATTCATCATCAGCGCTTTAAATGGCCTCTTCATGAAGACAGCAAGACGGGCCTCACTCCCTGTTGCATAAACATGTGCATATTGCACACACACACTAACAGACTGATGCCTATGGCTCTGGAGTTTCAGGTTGCCCTTGATTAAGGTCAGCAAAAGAACGAGAAAACTAAATGCTGCATTCCTGGTGGTCGGGGACTTTACCAGACACTGGTGGGAACTATGCAGAGCCCTCGCCATGACTGGAACAGAGAGATGCAGCATGTCCAACATGATTATTGTCAGTGTCAGTGTAGCTTTCAGCTTTTCAAGAATGCCCGACAGATAGCGAGTGTTTCTCATGTTGTAGAAACTGTTCAACAACAAAGAAAATCTGAGTAATTTAAGGAGCTAGATGTTCCCATTGAATCCCATTTTTGTGTTTGCGGCTACTGACCTGCCAGCCCATTTCCTCATGCATCAGCAACCTCTCTAATGAGGAGAACAACACCGGCACAGATGGACGAAGGCAGGAGTGCGGAGATTGCGACAGATGAGCAGATGCGCAAGAAAGGGAGGATGATGGAGAGCAAGCAGTTACAGAGAAACCCAGAGACGTGGATGCAATAGTTTTGCACTTACAGTAAGATACATATTGGACTTTTAGCCAGACAAAGGTCTCGCTGGTCCCTCGGCTATGACTACAATTGTTTCCTCAAAACCTGGCAGCAAATAATTCATCTTTTCTGTTTTCAGTTGTTCTGGAAGTTCTTGTATCTTTCGCTGAAAGGTGCTGTGAACACATCCATTTACCTCTATGGAGAAAAAGGATGCTCTGGTTGCTTCCAAAATGTCATACTAACATGCTATTTAGTACGCTAAACCGTATGTGAGATTCTTTAGGAATGCAAACTAAACTAAACCTGTCAGAAATCCTAGTATGAAACCATTAGCATGCGAATAGCATACAATTTGCTGTAAAATATTACAGTATAATAACGTAAATTACACTTACTGTAATGAAATGTTAATAACGCTTCAATGTAAGTGGATTCCACTCTACTGATAGGCGTCACGTATTTTTAAAAGTGTTTCAGACATCAAGATTCTCAGAAATCGTCATGTGGTCGCATGAGTTTGGAACTGGTTACCATGCTTACAAGTCTCCAACCTGGGCGAGGAGGCTCTCAGGAAGTAACGTGGTAATCGCAGTTCAGTCCGAAAAGATTCATACTCTTGTTTATTCACACTAAAGTATGTTGAACAATAGTTCACATATTGAGTTCGTAGAGCAAAGAGCGGTTTGTAATGTCAGACGCAGAATGATGTAGCTTCATACTTTTTACTTCAACGACACCATTCAATTTGAGTGGCAAGATGAAAAATTACTTTCAGATACGGCCTGACCTATAACATTTGTTATCGAGTCAGCGATTCTTGGCAGGTGAGACCAAACTGAACACGGAGAAATTGGTTCCAAACTCAAACATAACTTCTTGCAGCATGTGAGTGTTTTTCAGCTGTAACTCTAAGTAGTATTGAAGACATTTAAAATGCCCAAATAGACTTAATTTCCGTATTTAGATTATTTAATATAATTAATTCTCAAAAGAACCCAACAAGCTGTTTAAAAAAAATCAACCACATCATTACAGACTTTCTTCGCACCCCATAAATTCACTGTCGAGTACCAGTGTAACGCACTGCGGCGGGTTGCAGCATCAGACCCGACCACATGGTCGAAACATTTCCCTGCAGACAAGATGCCTTGGCTCTTAGAGTAACATCCGCTTCTGATTAAAGCAAGCCTGTCTCCAGCTTTGTCCTTTTTAAGTCAACGTCGGAGCAGACTGGGGCCAGGTTTGGGTGAGGAGGGTGTTCACCTCGACATCAACATGCACCCATGAATACGTGACGCAGATGCACATTTAGAGTATTAAGTTAAATACTTTACAAACATAAAAAAGACTCGTATTAGACATACTGGATTTTTAAGTTTTGTGGTCACAGTTCTGGACCCATTAGACTCTGAAGGAACTCCAAACACAGAAACCCTCAGAATGCAAATAAACTCACAACAGATGCATTGCGGTGATGAATGATGTCTCTGTTTTGCAAGAGATAAATGGCATGCGGCCTGTCAAACAGCATGGCACCTTTTTGTGTTTTCACATCACAGCATTTATGGATTGAATTCCCGAATGCTTTGGTTGATTATCTTGACTCAGGCATCTGATCTGTGCCAAACCTTTGTTACCTCTTGGTTTAATGTGTCTATGGAAGATGAATGTTACCAGGTCTGATCGAATATCAAAGCAGCTATAATAAATCTTTTTTCATACAAACAAAGGACGGCATGACTACATATGAAAGGAGTTGATTGTATTGATGAACCCGCAGCTAATTGTCACCCGACTCTGCAGTTCCTCTCAGCTCTATTGAGCTTTTTAGCGACTTAGAGATCAGCTTTTTGTCTTTTCTGGCCAGCAATCTGACTATTTTACTCTCATCACTCTCACGGCTTCACTTTCAGCTGCAGCAGGAAAAAATCGACCATTTAACCGGCTGTTCCCCATCCTGATGAAAACGCCTATGGTTCGTGCAGAAGCGCACACACGTGCACGAGCATGAATGTGCGCTACAGTTAAGGCTCCCGGTTTGGAGGTTTGAAAATATGGCTGTCTTACAGAGTTGTGTTTCTGGCCACTTCATGAATGTCACTTCACCATTTCCTTCTTTGCTTTGGCCTCCAGTCGTTCCAGAAGAAAATAACTGGTTCTTTACAACAGCAGCCAGACTTTTGACTTTGCAGCTAGTGCTGAACTTTGTTGTTCTGCCATTTGGTGCTAGCTGGGAAGCATTAGGTGAACCTATCAAGGCTTTCTTGCTGGAAACATCTGCTGAGAATGTGAGTGACGATGAGGGGGAAATTTGTTGGCCGTACAACCAAAACACAACTAGAAGGCTAACTAAAGTCTGAGGCTAACTGAAAGAAGTGTCGTTGTGCTAAGGGGAACAACAGAGTTTCTTCACGAAAGGCGAGCCTTTAACATTAAAATTAGTCATTTGAACCATTGTTAATTCAGAAAATAATGATTAGAGGAGCTAATACACACACTCCTCAGTTTTCTCTGTTCTCTCTCTGATGTCTCTGAAACTCTTCAAGTTCTGTGGGTCTCATTTAATCTACAGCGTCACACATCTGGAGCACTGCTCCACTGAAACACCTGTTTTCAATTCAGGCAGCCGACAGAAACATTTGATTGTTTTTCACATCCAGACCTTTTTTTTCTTCCCGCCTCTCCCTCTCATCGACTCACTGGCTATTTGATATGTTTAAGCCAAGGAACAGCTCTCCTATAGGTAATAGATGGAAGAATAATTTAACCTTGATTAAGACCAATCGAGAGGAAATATGCAGTGTATGACTTTCTGCAATTTTGGCACCTATAGCTGTTTAATAAGGTTCTAAAGAGGTTCAGTATGTTTGGGATTAACTGGAATGAGTAACGTCTGAATGTTAAACTTTTACCCTTTAACTTGATGGAAAATCCGCTATTAACTAAATGTCAAATGTGTCTGGACAGGAATGCTTCACATTATGCTAAATGGAAAAAACAATTAACAGAATACAATATGAACAAGCTGGAGTTAAAGTCATTCTCTGGCTAAACATATGTACATTTTATTTGGTGTTGAAGAAGAGTGCATGCATTGACATGTGCAGGGAGCCCAACCACAGAAAACTAAAAGAAAAATCACTAAACATAATGAAGTGAGAATAAATCTGAAGAATTTCCGTGGCCGGCCTCGTTGCCAACTCCCTGAAACACTTAATTATGCCTAATTGTTTAGAGGACAGAACACACACAGAGGCAATTATGAACGATATGCATGGGCAACTCCTCACAGGGAAACAGCATTCAGGCAAAAGAATAACAAAGTATGATGTTTGCACATTCCACAATACTATGTTAAACTATACGTGTGCAAATAGATGTGTGATAGAGGCTACCGCTGCGTGTGCTAATGAATACCAACACTGCCTATTCAGCACTTTACCACATACACATATTTTTATGCTTTTCTCATGACTGACAAATATATGTATTCTATAGTGTAAATACAAAAGTCACGTTTTATAAAAGGCAAATAAATATCATCAAAAACAACATAAAATACCAACTCCTGCTTGAGAGAGTTTACCTAGCATGTGTGTATAGCTATTTCATTAGTCTTCAGAGCATTAAAGGGATAGTTTGACATTTTGGGCAATGCATGTAGACAGCATTTTTTGTCACACAAACACGCAACGTGTTTTTGTCAGAAGGTGAATATAGGTTGATTCTTGAGCCTTTTGCACTTAGAATAAAGGCAGCAACCAATCTTGTTGTGAAAAACAGGCATATTCAAAATGTACACGATAGTGAAGAAGAACAAAAATTCACAGGCCAGTATTTAGCATTTTTGTGTTATTTGTTTGTCACGCCTACAGTGTGTAAAGGCCTTAATGATAGATGAGAAGACCGATACCACTCTAACATTGGTATGGTAAATATGAAGCTAGCAAGAGCAGCCAGTTAGCTTAGCTTAGTAGCTCCCAAAATGTTAAACTATTTTTAAATGCCTAATGATATAATACAGAAAACATTTGTTACATACAGTACAAAAGTTAAATATGTGCAGGAACAGAAGGATATACATATTAAACGACTCCTAGAAAGGTAGGCATGCCAATCTGTACATAAACACACACACACACACACGCATACACACACACATACATAACAAGCACCACTGCACATGTACGTACACTCATACACACTGTACACACACACACACACACACACATCCCATGTATAATTGGTCACTGCTCAACCAGCCGAAGTACTTCAAGCGAAAGCAGTACTTATGTTAATCATATCCAAGAGATTTCACAATAAAAGTCTAAACAGGTGATGAAACATACATTTAGAACAATAATATGACAAAATATGTGTAATAGATGAATAACATTGTTTTCATCTCTCTTTATTTGGTAAATTGTTGAATCTGCTCTGCAATTCAATATTGTGCAAAACTGTCTTCTTGTTAATGATAAAAAGGCTTCTTGGATCACACTGCAACCCAGAGGATTGAAATGTTAGTGCCGCCCTCGTGTGTTATCTGGTTAACTCGCCCACGGATGCAGTCCAGAGTAACATAGACCGCCGTACCGTTCTGGACCGGAAACGAGGCCCTCAGCCCGATGCTGGCCCACTCGCTCCCTTCCGGCATATGTCCAGACACCTGCTGAGCCACAGGACCCGCCTGCTTGCCCTGATCCCCCGCCCGCTGCAAAGTGAGTTTCACAATATTGCAGGAGTGTATCAGCTTCAGGTTCAGGGCGATGTTCGCCGTCCCTTTCTCGTGGAATATGAAGTTCTTCCGGCTGTTTGGCTCCCCGGAGCGGGCCAATCGAACCTGCGGTGTGTCGGCGCCGATCTGCTGGAACGACAGCGGCTTATTCCTGACTGCTCCAGAGGGCAGACCCGTCCTGGACACAGTAGCAGTCAGCGCCGACGACACTGCCGAGGGAATCCAGATGAGGCTCAGCACGCTGATCCCGGTGCTGTCCCCGAAGTAGCGGATGTTGCACTGGGACGGAGATGTGATCTCAAAGCTCAGCGTGTCGCCGCCAGCTACGCTCACGGCGCCAGAGAGGGTGATGGAGGTGTCCCTGTAGTTGACGCCCGTCTTGAAGGCTTGCATCGCCTCCTGGCCGGTCCCGTTGCGGTTGGTGTAGGCAATCAGGGAGAAACCCTCTCGAATGCAGGTGTGGCCCATAGAGTAAAGCGCCTGTTGGAGGACGAACTTCACCACACCGCTCTCTGTGAAGCGCACGCCGCGGTTGTCGTGCGTTAGAATGGTCATATAAGGGTCGGACACTGAGGTAATGCGGAAAGTTGGGCGATAGCTGGTCTGGTAGTGCGTCAACAGGGACATCTGAGCCGTCATAGCTACGGCACCGGTGTCATGCGACAACCAGAGCAGGCTGACTGAGGGGGTGGCGATATCGTAGAGGTGAAGATCCTTGCTCTGGTTGCAGTGTTGATTGGGGCTCTTCAGCAGCAGAGTGAAGGTGTGGTTGGGCTCCACCTCGACTCCACTGCTGACGCTGACACCCTGGAAGTATTTCCCATCCGGCTGTTCGATGCGAACACCACTGAGGTCCCAACCCTCCTCCTCCTGGCTCCCGTTGAGCCTCATCCCCACCTGGAGGAAGTTCCTGCAGCTGTGCTTTATCGCAAAGTTATGATCCAACCACACGAGACCGTGCTGCAGGAACGTCACCTGCCCTGCCTCGTTGGACAGCAGATCAATTCTCTCTTTGCCTCGGATGTTAAGTTGAAGCCCAGGGAAGATGTGGCCGCCAGAAGACCTGGCGGATGGGACTCCCACACTGGCCCCCCAAGACTGGGAGAGTCGGCTCTCTGAAGGCTGGCCGCAGACTGAGTCAGTGATAGCTGTGCAGGGAGCAGAAACCGACTCTCCATCACAGTCAGAACAGGCCTGGCACTCCTGCAGCTCCTGGTTGAAGAAGTAGTCGGGACCACACAAGCCCATCACTGCTTCTCTCTCAGAAACCCCCAGACACCTGAACCCCCCTGTGCAGTCAAAGACCAGAGAGAATACAGAAACCAAGGAGTAAAAAGGTGAAAAAGAGGGAGATATTGTTTTTTTCCCCACTGCCTACAATTAGGAGATTAATTGCTTTAATCATCAAAAACATACCTGGAGTATTAAGGCACTTCACTCGCTCTCCACAAATGTTTGGTACTTCAAGGCATTCATCTCTGTCCTGCAATTCATACAATAATCATTGTGAATATATTTTTACTATTAATTATAGCTTCATTCTGATAAGTATGAACATTTTCCCTCCAAATCAACTGTTATTATGTTTGGGCATTGCCGCCACATGTGTGAAAACTGACTGATTCCACCATATCAAGGTTTAACTATTAGCTGAAACCCATTCACACTTTAGTGAGCAGTGGGTTGGTTTTCACACATCAGAGATAAGTACAGATAGCAGTCTCACACGCCATGCAAACAGACATCAGTGCGTTTTAAATGAAGTGAAAAGGGTGTGAATATATGAGTATTTTAAAAGGACAATACCTGGCACATCCTGTCTGCAGTGGGAGAACATTGCGAGATCAGAAAGAAGCCCGGTGGACACATGGTGCACTTCTCACACTGAGGTGGGTCCCTCTGAAAATCACAGTACTCCTCCCCCTCACAAGTCGAAGGGCAACCCAGCAGAGGTTGAGGAAAATGAGCCTCTCCGACTACATCCATCACCTTCGAGTCGATTTCCATCTTGTGCACGGCGTAGGACTTCTGTAGGTGGCTGCGGGCCTGGCTCTGCAGACCCGCCAGGTGGCTCTCGAAGTAGCTCTGCAGCTCACCCTGAAGGCCCTGGAAGGAGACCTGCTTGACGGTGTCCGACAGGAGGCCGTACTGGGCCTTCACCACATCCATCTGGTCATACATGCGCCGCTGCTGGTCCAGGATCTCCCTCTGCTGGGACAGCAGCGCCTCCTGTTGGTCGGCGAGCTTCTGCTGCAGGTCGCGGATGACGATCTGCTGGGCGCGTAGGGCCTCCACCAGCTTCTCCTGCCCCTTCGCCAGCTGGAGGTGCAAGATGAGGGCATCTTCAGAGGGAACTTCGTTCTCCCCTGAGGGGAAAATAATGCAAAATGAAATATGGGATCAGACAAGTTGTTATTGTTAAACACTGCAGTGGAGGAAGGGATTAAAAGAGATTAAGAATGATTCAGAAGTCTGATTTCTGCAAATGCTGTTGCGATAAAGTTTGAACACCCATTGACCCTGTTTTAAGGGCAATGAACGTTTCCTTTGTGGACCAACATCAAAGCACTCAACATTTTCTGGACAACTGACTCACAGACATGTTTCCAGTTCAGCTGCTCTAGCTGTGCAGATATAATTTAGGGCTGAAGGTCAACAAGGTCTTCCTTTGCTTTTGGAGCTTAATCCCATTTTGCAGATCCCTGGTGGGAAAAGGGGGTTAAAGTCAATAAAGGGTTACATGCATGGTTACATTACAGGCCCACTGTTTCCAGAGCAAGTTAATAATTCATCAACTTCTTTTGAAGCTTGTCACTCAACCAGAAATGTCTGGCAGTGGTTAGATTGGTGCACAATTGTGCACAAAGGACATTTTGAAGAAGTTAATCAGCCTGTAATCATCTGAAAGCAACAGTTAAAATGTTAGATGACAATGATGATTATGATAATAGCAGACCTGGGTTGATGTCACATGTGAGCTGGACACCCAAAGGTGCGCCGCCAAGTTCCGACGACGGATATCCAAGCTCCGGAAAATCTCCCAGAAACTGCGCGGCTCTGTCGGACAGATGGACAGGAGGAAGCTGGCTGGTGCTCTCCTCTGAACTGCACCCCTCTCCCACACAAGACTTCGCGCGAGCTCTTGGCCGTATCCTCAGCGGCAGCCTGCACTCGATCCCCCTACAGTCTCGGGTGTCATTAGCGGACTGAGAATGTTTCACAACAGGGGCGCAGTCCGCATCGGTGCATCCTGCAGGTAAAACTTCTGGCGCTCTCATCCGCGCGCCGCCGCCGTCGCTGTGCCGCACGCGAAGCGGCTTGACGGCGGGGTAAGCGTCCGGCGCTGCTCTTGGAGAGCTCGGGTATGCATGGTGCTGGCTGGCGACGATCTGCGCCGCTCTCCCTTGCGTCGTCGGGTTGAACTGCCGCGGCGGTCTGGAGGATCTGCTCCCCGGGCAGTGCGCTCCGGTGCACGGTCTTGGATCGCCGGTTTCCGCGCGGTAGCAGTACGGCCCCCGGCAGATCTCTGCGACAGCTTGCAGTGAGAACCAAGGCAACAGCAGCAACAGCACTGGTGTTACTAAAACCATTTTTTTTGCGTCAGATATATTTAAATCTCTGCCTGCAAAAAAGAAAAAGAAAATGCGAGCTGAGCTTTTGATCACCAAATCTGGGAAAATCTCCAAACTGTTCTTTGATTGAACTAAAAAAGATCCTGAAAGTCCATCACTGATCTTCACCTTTCAAATGAAACTAAGCACAAACTTGACATAAGAGACTCTTGATGTGCACCTCTTGACAGAGCATTACCTTCAGCTCCAGGGTCCGGTGAGACTGTCAGTACGGAGTAAAACCACCAGACTCACGCATTACCACTGGCTCTCTCCATGCCCGAGCCACTCTGAGTGCGCTCTGCAATACAATGTCAGTATGTGGCATTCCTAAGACTTAATTAGCATCAGGTTTCCCCGGCCACAAATTAACCCTTCACCTTCCCTGCTCTCCTCGCAGGACATTGTGGTGAAAGAAAGCAGAATGAAACGTTTTTTCTAAAATTAAATATTTGCTCAAATTTTCATGTTAAAAGAAAACAAACAAGCAAAGACTTCCCTGTGACCCTATGGCCATCCAAGTTGGGGGAAAAAGTGGCAGAATGTTGAGACAGCTGCGGTCTTCAACCCAGTGTCCTTCAGGTTAGACTGGCCTTGTCAACACCTCTTTACAGACGGAGCCAACGGAGGTCAAGCTTTTGTTGAAGGGACAGAATGGCAGAAGTCAGGAATGTGAGACCCACAGCTGGTTTTTGAAGCCTCTCATTTTAGTGCTTCCCGCACAACAACATGTCCAGCCAGAGGTGGGAAGTTTGTAGTTTGGCAGATTCTGATGTAATTTTCTGTTTTGATTATTTCAAAGTCAGGCAAGTATGGAAGCACATTTTTGCCAAGAAAGAGGAAAAAACTACATAATAAATAAGACATTATAATAAAGTTATTTAACTTTTTCTTCCCTGGTTTCTCATAATGTTAACATATTCTTTCAGAATTTTGACTTAGCCTCCAACATTTGTTATGTTGACTTAATACATTTGATTTACTATCTCACAATTGTTTTAGTACCTGTTGACTTAATATTTCATCATTTTTAAATACATAAATTTGACTTATTGTCTAATGTTTATGTTTTAGTGACCAATCATCAAAAGAAGATCTCTTTCAAAAAACAACAAAAGTCCACTGATGCACCATTTAAATTGGGTTCAGGCAGTTTAGAAGTCTATTGTCCGTGTACAATTAGTGTTTAAACTCATTTTATTTTCCAGTCCAAAATCAAACATGTGTTCATCATGCTGCCTCTCTCTTGCTCTGGAAGTAAAAACATGTCCCTTCCTGGTGCTTCACCTGACGTTGAAACACCTGCTCCCTTTATCCTTAATGTGTTACCTCAACACGTGCTCAATCTGGTGCTTAGTGCCCCTTGTGTCTACAAAAATAATAAATAATTATAATGAAATAATCAAACTAAAGAATTAGCTCCTACAATCCATCTTGTCAACCATTTTTCTGGTGTAAACATGCAGAGTGGATGAGCGAAAGTAAGTGGTGCAGGTAGCATGAGCTGCACTTACACCCACTGAGCTGGAATGTTTAGTACAGCAGAGCACAAACAGAGGGCACCACAACACTCCTAATGCATCACTTTTCACATCCTCATTGTGACAGTTTGTCCTCTGCAGTACATTTGACGAATGCCCACTGGTTTTCATTATCACCCCCCTTTTCTCTTGGAGCACAAAAGCTCAATAAAAGGTTTTCAGGGGTGTGTTGGAGCACTCAGATTAAATATGATGGAGACTAATAGGCTTTAAAGTATGCTTTTCTCTTACACATCACACCTTAACAGCTGCGGTTCTGCTCCACGTCATAATCAAGATAAGTAGGGCTTTGTTTTGCAACCTGTGACGCATTAAAATTGCAGCTCTCACTTTATTTAAAATGCACAACATCTGCGTTATACATCTCGTGCCGAGATGTATAAGCTGCAGCATGCACGTTGTTCAAAACACATGATCGGTACACACAAGATACAACAAAGTAGAAAAATCCTCTCTCTCTCTTTGCTGCCGAGCTCCACAACCCGTTAATCAGCGTATCTGCTTGAGAAATGACCTCGGAGGCACCGGGGTGCTCGTGTTCAGGAGATGCTTGGAGCTAATGGGAGACTGCCTACGGTGTCCATCTGTTTGTCAACCCCTGAGAGAGGAAATGAGGGTGGTTGGGACACATGCCTGTACCCGGAGTGTTTGTTCAATACATCACGAGTCACGAAAGGCTCTTGGACACTCAAGGTTATTTGGTCCCCCCCCCCACTGTGGTGCTCGGCTTCGCTGTAGGATAACAGGTTTCGTCACAGAGAGGGTGGTCTGCCTTTACCGGTGGCACTGAGGCTGCTTCTTCGGGGAGAATAGGACACAGAGGTGCTAATAATAGCAAAATAATGCAAATGGGAAGTAATATTTTACTTTCTAAACAGATTAAAGAGTTGAAAATGAGGCTACAGGGCAAAGCTGTTCTTCTAAGCATCATTTTAACTTTCCTCGCTACTTTCTGACCTTTTCCAAATATTCAAAAACAGGATGTGAAATCTAGTTTCTTTTTATTTCTAGGCCTCCCAGGTTGACTCAAGGAGAAATGCGAATAAACAGAGCTATCTGTATCTGCCTGGTCGGATAAGAGCCAGAGGCTATTCATAGCTTGACAGCTTGGCTCTGCTTGGTTCCCCCCCTCAAGATAAGTGACCTTGTTGCACCACACCAGTGTCTTAACTCCTTCCTGATTTTAAGTGACGAAAAATAGCTCGAATGTACTTTTGTACGCCTTAGTCTCGGGGGAAGATGGCTGTGCAGCAAAGTACTTCAAAGCATATGGATGTGTCTAAAGGTGGTGCTGTGTGTTTCAGAAGAATTTAGATCACAGGAGCTCAGCTGGAGTCCGGTGCTCACCGCTGTGACGTGCAGTATTACCACTCCTGTCTAAAGACCTGCAGTAAATCAGCTTCAGTGCGGTGAATTATTAACAGAGGCCGTCACATTCCTCCTGCTGAATCAGCCGTTCTCTCGATCCCTTCGAGACCTCGCTTTTATGTTGTTTTTTTTCTTCCGAACACTCAAGTGCTTGTCAATCAGCAGCTATTATTGGAAATCACAACAACCTCCACTGCAGTTTTCTCCCGCTCTGTCCATGTATGAAAAAAAGTTGCATGAATACAGTGCAGATAAGGAGGCGACTGTTGAGTGGGGCGGCCCGGCGTTGCCCTGACATGACTGTTGTGAAAGTGTTGGGCTTTTATTGAAGGAATGCAGTGGCAGGTCTCGACCTGAACTTCCGCATTGAGCAGGAAGAAGTCAACAGTCAAGAGAGACAGATGCAATCCACATCAACACACCCTGATCTGCCTGTATGTGACTGTTTTTCTGGTGCTTTATTAGAGAATAAAACGCTGAGGTGGAACTGAGGTGAAACTAACTGGTGAAACAAGGATTAACACATTTGAAAAGGTGAGTTACACCTCTGCTAAAGTAGATGTTGTACCTTCAGTTAACGGTGAACACCCATAGCTGCTTTCCTCTGAGCGTGTTCGTGACTTTGACTGTGAATCTTTGTTGTTTTTATCTGTCAAATAAAATCATTTTTCTCCTCCAGCTGGAAGGAGAATACAGATAATGTTCATAATACAGACAAAAAAAATTGTAGCCAGTCAAATTTAGTAATTTTAAAACCTCGTCCTCGATAGAGACTTTTAAAAGTTGTCAAATTATAACAGTACAAAACGTCAATTGTCCCCCTGGATGTTTTTGTACTCATGAGATAAGGCTTTAATGAGCTTTCTGTCCAGCGATGAGGCCGTCATTAGGCTATTCGAACATAAAGAAAAGGGTGTTCATATGTGCTCTTTCCGACTGGGTGGACCAGACTCTAATTTCAGACTGCAGTATGACTCAGTGACCACATGAAACTGATCCCTGCTTCGCCTCTTGTTTTAAAGCTAATAATGCTGTCACCGATGACAGGAACATTTTGTACATTTGGCTTTCTGAGATGAGATGAATTACTTATAAGCTGTGTATGATTGCGAGCGTCTGCTGGAGTAAAAACCTTTTTAGCTGACAGTTTTCTGCTTTTCACTGCTGTCGAGCCAGAAAACGTTGCAATATACAGGGAGGTTAGACAGACTGTCCGATGACTCATGTGCAGAGGGGATTTTATGTAGAAAAAAAAATATTTTTTAAAGATAACCTTAGTGGAAATTAGTGTCCATGTTTGATTTCCACAAAAGCCCAGACTCCCTTCAGCACACATAGATACGATCTGGTGTGTTGTGAAATGTCCGTTATGATTCTTGATTATTGGTTTTCTCTGTCCTCCAGCTCTCTATTTCTGCTGCCCTATAATTTGCCTCCTTTACAGTAGAGAACGTCCACTTCTGTAAACACGACAGCTTAAGTAAAGATATTTGAGTCGAGTAAGAGAGGGAGTTTCTGTACATCACGGTAAACATGCCGTGCTTTGATATGGCCACTTAGGGCTGTTTTGTCTGGTTTCCATGTTCTCGGCTGAAACTTGAGTTCGACGTGTTTGCATTTATGAAACAAGATTTGAGATTATTTAGGAATGTCGAAGTCGCTTGCATGCTATATTTCTTTGACTCATTATTTCTTTGGATCCCAGACGTAGAGCGATGTGTTTTCACAATGCATTGTGGAGGTTTGACACGGAGCCAGATTCCATGCTCAAGTGTTTCCAGTAATATTCATAAATACTGACGAATCGCATATTTTCAGAGCGGAAAGAAAGTAGAAATAGTGCAAAGAAACAGCGACATACTTTTATGATTGTCTTCCTTCAGGCTGCAGCATCGTCCACAATATGAAGGAGCACAAATACAAACTTTGTTTTACAGTAAATGCAGATATTGACGGGAAATGAAATGATCCATTACTCTCTCCATCTCACTTTACACTTCTGTCTACACTTGTCATCAGTTTGTCCAAATAAAATTGTAAACTCAGCTCACTTCCGAGCACTTTATGCATCAGTAAGGCTTCTGTCAGATAGCGTTAGTCAAGCCAACGTTTCTCTTCCTACCGTGAAGCTTCTCCAATACTGCTGATAAAAACCTTTTTGCATGATTTCACAACAGATCCACATCACCTCTGATATCTGCAGCCAGTTCTTTTATTCGTGGTCTTTGTTTTTAAAGTTAGGAAAGAGACCCTGTTCACTTTCTTGCTGAAGGTTAGATAAGATTGAAATATGAAGCTGAAGCCAGGAGACAGTTAGCTTAGCTTAGCTTAGCGTAACCATAAAGACTGAAAACAGCTAGCCTCTAAAGCTAACTAATTAACACTGACTTATGTTTTGTTTGTTTAATTCTTTAGGCGGATTAATATTGAGACAGAGCCAGGCTAATCTTTATGCTAAGCTAAGCTAATCACCTATTGGACCTAGCTTCACATTCTACAGACAGATATGTGGTATCAATCTTCTTGTATGACTCTCAGCAGAAAAGTGAAGACACTTATTTCTAAGTAAAACAAATAGCCTCTGCCATTGACACCATTTTAAGGCTAACACCTTTTCTGTGGTTCTACTTCCTTTGTGTTTTGTTTGCAACGTCACACCTACGAATGAAAAAAAAGTGTACCAGGGCTACTTTCTTAAGCCTAATGTTGACGTGTGAAGTGAGACACGAATACAATCGTGCGTTTATGAGCGGAAGAAGTGATTATAAACACCACATGAATGTGTTTTGCCTCCATCAGCAGACGCCGGTTTGTTTTTGAGATCTGAGCATTTCTCCACTCTCTCTGACTTCTCTTTACTGCGTGAGAGCTCTTATGCATTTGGCCTCTAAAAGCAGCTGACCTTACTGACGCTAATATTTTCCTTGTGTGACAATAAATATGCACATTGTAAGTGGCATCAGACGCTCCCAGTGTTTACGTGTTCTGTGTGGTTGTTTGTGAGCAAAGAGCAAAGATCTGTTGCATTGCGGTTGTCATAACACATAATAAAACGTGAAACCACTGGAAAAAGACGGAAATGAAAACAATTAAGTGGTTATAATAGATTTTTAAATAATGAGCGCAATGTGAGTGAAAGGAAACAGCATTAAGGTTGCAGGTGGCTGCTCGTGTCGCCATTTCCAACACGATTTCAACATTGCAAGCGACAGGAAGTTCACCCTGTACCACTTCCTCCTGAGGAGTAAACCTTGTAAAAAGGGTGGAGGAGTGGGGCCACACAGTTACAAAGACCCACATGTACACGTGACGTGGAACATATTGTCTGAAACTCAAAGAAGTTAAGTCATGATGGAAATTACTTTGTGTGCAACGGTGTCAGAACCAGAGAGGTATTACAAGTCTTTATCAGTTATCTGCATAAAACCATTTATGGTCATGGATACGGTTTGTCTTCATCGAGCTTCCAACCGTACAAGCACGCGCCATCTATTAGATGTTGGAACAATATAGATCCATTTCACATTCAAATGAGAAACATCATGTCACAGCACTGTCTGAACTCTTGCCTGGAACACAATCAATCACTCTTGTCTCCTCTGCAGTGTGACTGAGGGGTTTGCCTCGACCCTCTCGCTTTGCTTTTGATTAAAACTCTGCAAATGTTCTTTCTTTTTTTTTTCTTTTTTTCTTGTTGGCTCTAAAAGTGTAATAAACAGATTCCAAACTGTGATGAGTGAAAACAGCAGCGAGTTACACTTCATTGGAGATAATATTTTCATATCTAATGAACCGTAACGGCAGAAATAAAAGTGACCGGAGAAAATGCAAACATTACACTGAGGGAGAGAAAATGTCAGTGGTTGAGTTAAACCAATAAGATTCAGAGTTGGTGGAGCTTTTTTTTTTGTTCAAAGTGTGTAGCTGCGTTGAGGTCTGAGACGTGCAGTGGTCAAAGTCCATTTATTATCACCTTAACTTTAACCACACCAATCCTTCACCTAACCCCAGCTATTTCTTATTCAAATGTAATGACTGTCGTCTTCCATCTGAACACAACCACGTTTGATCTTTATGCAACAACCCAACCTCTGAGTTTTGCAGACCAGTCATGCTTCTGTGCTACAAAATGAGTAAAGCCTCACTGAGATATCTAGGTTAGCCGGTGAGCCCTTAAAAATAAAGACACGCTCAGTAGATTGTTTTTTAAATCAGCAAATGAACAAAAAGCAGTTTGTTTTCTTCTTGTTTTGTTCTAAGCTTTATACAAAGTATTTCAATGTATTATACAACAACAAAAACTGTGTTTGCCTTTGCTGCCATCTTTGTGCCTCATCATGGAGCCCAGAATCACGGCAGGTCGTCACGAAATTAAATCTATTTGTTTCATGTACAGGGACACAAATTGTTCATATTTTTTCATGTCGCTCAGCACAAAAACAACGCCAATGGAAAGTCAATAAGGATCCTTTTTTCGTGGTGGACGCACAAATTAAACGCCACCACTTTACTATGCCACGGTCAGAGCTAGTAACGTATATTAAATAAAGAGATAGACCACTTATGGTGGGCAGCAGGGGAGGTGGATGGGTCCATCAAACACAGCACCGTCAACCACAAGCTCGATGTTCAACTCTGTGTGTCCCAAAGTGTTCGTGACGGTCTTCTAAAACCTATTTACGTGGTTTTGTTGCCTCAATCTAACTTTTGTTTTGTAGCGTAATGCTGTCCCGAAAAATAAGTTGTGCCGATCAACACGAAAGAAATGGACAAATGATGTTCCTTGTGTGACTATAGGCCAGCGACACTCATTAACACCCACAGAACCACAGGCAGAAAGCGAGCCTTTAGTGTTTAACCAGACTGGTTCAGCAGTTACAGCAGCCACAGTTAATGTTGAATTGTCCTTAATCAGATTATTGTACCCTCACAGGCTCTGTAGTCAATGTTGGGTTTCCAGGACCATTAACATGCAGTGGAGGTGCACAGCAGCATGTTACATCTCTGGATTTAGTGAAGTTAAAACCCCATCAAAGCACCACTGTGACTGAATGAACTGCCACTGACCCGTCCCACTGCTGGTCATGTTCCACTGTAAGAAAACAGGGACTCTGTTTTGACTGCACATTCTAGCCCATCATAACATTTGCTCTGAGGAAATGTGGATTCAAATAATACAAAGTGAGAGACGGCATACTGTACATAATTACAGATGTCAAGTGAGTCTTCGGGAGTTGTTGTCGCGGGCTGTTTCACTACTTTCAGACTGAAATGATTAACTGTATCGGGGTTAAAGGAGCCTTGCTTTACCTGAGCAGAGAATGAAGTCGCTCTCCCTCTGTGAATGTTGGTATCTGAGCTTCTCCGTTCTTTGTTGACATGGTTGGGCCTTTTAGTGCATGTTATCGCATGTTATCGTGCCCTACTGGTTGGCTCACGGCCGACGCTGTGCACGGCTCTCAAACGGTGGTTGAAGCTGATAACGCCGTCCCGATCGGCAGCTGTTTTCACGAAAGCATAGCACCAGCCCTCTGATTCCCCCTCAGGTCAACACTGTTAGCTCTGTCAGCACTTCCCCCGTTGTTTGCACTGTTAGCGCAGTTAGCACTGTTAGCTATGTGCCGCCGGCTCAGGCGCCGCCATGTTGAGAGGCAAAGCAAACACCCCCAATATCGGATCTTGCACCTTTAAACTATATAGCTCTGAAGCAGTCAAGTGTATTAGTCTTGATCAGCAATTTATAGCTAAGCCCAGCATACAAGCATGCATATTTTATTACTGTCGATGGTCGTGCAGCATTCTGATTTAGTTTTTTAGCACATAGTAACTGAAATAAATTGGTATTGTCAAACACACTGATTGAAACAAACGTTGTATATTGTAATCATGTAATGTGAGAGCATGGCTTCAACAGTTAAGGGTCTTTAATGACATTATAGGACTGATTGTAGTGGTGACTTGGAGGGCAGAGAGGTCAGTTACTTCTGAATCTGACAGAAAATACCAAAATGAATCAGATCTCACTCTTCAGTTCAACATGTGCAACAGGACACGACACGTTCAGGCGAAACATGAATGCATGAAAGTTATGCAGACATACTTTTCTTCCTTTCATACTGGGTGGAGATGATAATACAGCCTCAGGGCACAAATTACAGCAGCACACATTTCAAAGTGAAGCAGCAGTGCTGGGTCTCACTGGCTGTGTAACATGTACATGTGTACCAACGATCGTTTCATTTCTCCACACATTCCTTCACTGCCATTCATATGACAACCAAGTCCAATCAATGGAGATGTTTTGCTTCCTTGCAGCACCAATCAAAGACATTGACGCACACGGTGTCCCAACAGTTTATGTCACATGGTGGAAAAGTTAACATGTGGGATCTTTGAGTATTTTTTTGTGTCTGACACTTTTGTTGTTGCTTTTAAACAGATGGACGACATCGACGCCATGTTCAGTGACCTGCTGGGGGAGATGGACCTCCTCACTCAGGTGAAATAAGACGGCTATGGTCATACAGTTTTATTCCAAAACTTCACTCCACATCTTCGAGGTTTCGTTTTGCACTAATTGTTACAGGGCTTTACACTCCAACAGGCCAGTTTGAACATTACCATAGGAACTTACATTTTTGTGTCAGTAAGTAAAAGCTTTCTTCCAACACATACTGAACACGACACATTTTCTCCAGACTGCCCACGGTTCATTCTCCCACATTATACCTTAAATCGATTTTTCTACTTTCGAGACAGACGACAAACTCTCTAAAACCCACCATCGATCACCGAGACACTCTCGACTGGCAAGCACAACAGACACAGCGGGGGTGGGGGAAACACTCTCTGTGGTCAACTAACAACCATCAATTACACACTTTTTTGGAGGGGGAGGTCAAATGGCATGAACCAGCCAGAGATTACACATTTTTGTCTTGGTGAAAACCCCTGCTGATGACTTTGATGTTTTTTTTAACCCACCAGTCATTTTAAATCACTTCCATTTGGCCGGACGGGCTGAATAAAACACATAGAAGCTCTGTTAGGTGTAATACCTAAACACAGATGTAACATTAGACGTGTAAACATCAAACTTACTTACATATTAGGATAGTTTATGTTTCAGAATGTGTTGTGGATTAACTCGCTGTACAAATATTATATCAATGCTCTTATAAACAAGCTGCCTTGTTCATTCTTCCCTGCAGAGTCTCGGACAGGAAACAGTACCTCCTGCGTCTCTCCCCACCACCAACAAGGAAGTCAACCTATCCATCGGCTACACTGACCTCAATGGTGACTTTACATTTTGTCCGTCAAGCGTGTGGAAAATACTACAAAGAGCTGGGTGTGCAAACGCAGGATGTATATTGCACGTTCCATCAGTTATCTAGAAAATGATCCCAAAGCAGTGACGTAAAGAGGGAGTAAAAACAGCATTACTGTGTCTCTGGAGTTTATCTGGCTACTGTTCAAGAGGTGATTTAAGACAAAGATTGAGGTCACTGTTTGTGCTAATTACTCAGTGTTTGCCTTTGGCTCGTATGGGCTGTAAAACAAGCAGGTTAATGTTAAAGCAAGGTTGCAGAATGTTGGCATTAGCACTCTAATTTAACCCTTCCTTTCACAGTTTTTTTTTTTTAGTCGTACAGTGTGTCATCAAGTAGGCTACTTCAGTCTTGTCACATTACTCTAAGCTACAAGGATAAACCTTTATAAATCTCAACTGAACGACAATCAATCACAAAATAAACGCAAAAAAACCCGCTTTGAGCCGTGCTTTGGGGTCAGTTCTTAACAAATAAACAGATTTTCCTCTAACACCAGAGTCCCTCAATGAACTCGAGGACACCGATCTGGATGCGCTCATGGCTGATTTGATGGCTGATCTCAGTGAGTCGGAAGAGAAACTTGCAGCACAAATAAAAGATCTGAAGGTGCCGTCACCGCCCCCGTCAGACCTGCCGCCACCACCACCTAAGGGCCTGAGCATCCGTCCGGCCTCCTCCTTCCCTTCCCCAACATCATCAACGAGCAGCACCAGCAGCAACGTTAGCACCACGGCCTACTCCGCTGCCTCCCCTTTACCACCTCCGCCCCCTCAGGCTGCAAAGCCCACAAAGGTGAGTCTGCCAGTGTGCTGATTGTAAGATGAGAGCAGCATCTCTGCAAATATCTTTTAATCTCTCTGCTACTGGGAACTGGTCCAAAATTAAAGAAGTGAGAGCTTTAACCAAGGCTTGTCAGAGTGATAGAGAGTTTATTTTGGTTTCCAGGAAAAAGCCACAATGCTGTTAGGCTCTTAAAATGTAAGATCCAACGACAGAGACATGAAGCAGAAAGAGACAATGATTATGACACAATCTAGATTACCACAAGAAAGCCGTTTCTGAGCCGTGCGTGACAAGACAGTATTACAACAAAAGCATAGTTCCCAGCATATGAATTTCTAGTGATTCCTTTTTGTCTTTGTGGAACTGGGAAGAGTGGTATTGCTCTTATAACAGTTGGACGGTGAGATCATGGCAAAGTTGTTCCTGGACGGACGCATCTGTTACAGTTACAGAGACTCGTGAGTCTGTCTGGAACAGATCAAACACAGACAGACACGAGGCAGAAAAGAGTAACAGGTATTACTTTAGCAGCGCTTGTTACCTCATCCTTCTGAGGTGAAAACACCAGCTGTGCTGAGGCAGAGAACGCGTCATTGTTGTAGAGGTGTACAAGTTCATTAAAACTGCACTGTAGGCAGGATTTTAATGTAAAAACACGTTGAGTTATAAGGCAGAGTAAAGGGTATCCCTGATAATTGAGATTTAGTAGATTAGATCTAATGGCCCACATGAAATTCTTCAATGCACGCTTCACATATGAGAAGTTATGGAATTAAAATGAAACACTGCAGCTCCTGAGCAGCACTTAAAACGCTGCATCCACAGAAATGAACTCAGCAGTCACATCTTTTCCCCTCGTTTACCTTTAACTCCATCTTTTATTAAGCAACAGCTAAACATTTTTGGGGTATAAACTTATTTGCTTTTTTTGTCAAGAGTTAGATGAGAACATTGATACCACTATCATGTATTTACAGTAAATATGAAGCTACAGCCAGTAGAAGAAAAACAGAAAAGTTAGTTTTTTGTATGGATTAAACAAATGAGATTTAGCAAATTGATTGCTGAACATTAGATGGGAGGGTCGACATATTTTGTTTATTTTGGAAAGAGTCATGTTACCTGTTTCCCCATGTTCAGTCTTTATGCTAAGCTAAGCTAACCGGCTGCTGGCTGTAGGTCCATAATTTACACATCTGATCTTCATTTAATCATCTCTATCGCCCAGATCTCACACTAGTTTTATTGTGCTGTTTATAGTTTGCTGATATCAAAGATGATTTCTTGGTGTGCATTTTCCAAAGTACAACTAGCTTCAACACAATGATTATGGTGGTATGTATATATATCCCACTTACACCAGTAAGTAAAACTAAAACATAACATTATATTCTTTGTCTACAGGAGGAAATCGAGGCGCAGATGAAAGCAGACAAAATCAAGCTGGCTCTTGAGAAGCTCAAGGAAGCTAAAGTAAAAAAGGTAAGATGACCAAACACTGAGGAGTCCTCCTCTGATCTGACATCCACTGGCAACAGTAAACTTTAAAGACGCTGTGAATTACGGCTACATGGACATCACTGTAAAAGACGTAATGTTCAAAGATAGGACAGCTCTTTCTCTTCCTTTGGAGGAGGATCAATCACAGTAATGGACGACTTAACTTTCATCCAGCCAACTTCCTGCAAGACATCACGGCTTCCCCTCTTCGGAGGATATGTGGACACTTTCTCATCTTCAAAGCAGTCAACAAAAGCAAAGACATGTGGTTTTGCATGCAAAGCTTCACAGCAGGATGTGCAATTTTACGTAGGTTTTGTGCCAATTGCATAAAGTTTTATAATAGATAATAGTCTGATGATATGATGGCCAATTTCTACACTCATGTCTTGGCTGAGAAGTCTTATAATTTACATGTGTGGCTGCATTAATGGTCTTTTAAGTTAGCAATTATAAATTCTGAGAAAAATCTGAAGGAAACCAGCAGAAAACAGCTCCTCCAAATTGCTCTGTGTGTGTGTGTGTGTGTGTGTGTGTGTGTGTGTCTGTGTGTGTGTGTGTGTGTGTGTGGATGCTGAGGAAAAACAGGCCACTAGCCACTTCCACAGGAACATCTGTCCCAGGGTTGTTAGGCGCACAAGAGCAAGGTGCACTCTCAGTGGTTTCAGTACAACCGTCTGTGGGCAGAGGCCCTCGAGTTTCATGCTTTCGACACGGATCATGTATTTTAAAGATACCCGCCTCGCATGAGGAAGAACCATAAGAGGAAAAATTATTTGATATCCAGTGACATTTCATTCAACCGCGTGCCAAACCCATATTGTTTTCCAAAGGTCGGGACCGAGGAACGTGTGATCTAACGCGCTGAATCCTCTGGTGATAACATCTCTGAGTCCCACATTTCACATTTTTTATGACACAAGCTCAGCGACCGGCTGACCTTGGTTCTGTGAAACTCCTCAGCTTCCCCAAAGCTGGATTTGTTTCAGATGAGAGGAAGTGTGAAGCCATATGAGCCTGTGAGGGAAGCAGTGCGCCGCTCCAGAGCAGAATTAATCTCGGCCAAGGGGGGGGGGGGGGGGAGGTGCTAAGGCTGCAAAAAGGAGACGAATACAATGGGGAGGAAATTACTAAAAAGCCAAAGAGGGTGAACAGAATAGAGAGACAGAAGTGCTGATGCTCCAACTCTACTAGTAGAACTAACATTGGGAAACAGAAACAACCATTTACTGCACATGGCCGGTAATTAAACGGGATAATAAAAAGCTGCATGTGCTTATCACACTTTAGACACCTGCCTCTGTCCACAACATGTTTTAACTTCAATCTGTCATGCAGGTGACACAGAAAAAAATCATTTTAGAACCGAAAACACTGACATTTTTATAAATGCACTTTATTGCTGAGAGTTAGATGAAAAGATAGATATTACTTTAAATGTTCATTATATATGGAGCTAAAGCCAGAAGAGTGTCACACAGGAGCCGGAGTAATCTTCACCTGTATGTTTTATTTGAAGATTACATGAAATTTAAAAGCAGTTTAGGCTTAAAACTATTTAAAGAAATGAAATAAACATGCATCTTTTTTAAAAGAATGTAAGGATCTATAAGTCAACGTCAAAGTTAAACTAAGCCAATGACTATTGGGTAGATAGCAGCAAGTTTCCAGCAGGTGTGCACCTGAACTGAACCAACTTCAACCATGAGCTACCCCACAGACAACCCAAAGTTAATGCATAATTAATTAATTAAGACATTCAAATAACAATTATATGTAAAAAAAACAACAACAAAAAACAACTTTCAACTTTTCCTCACTCTCTTAACATAAAAATATTAGTTGTTTAGGAAGCTTAAACAAGGCTGGCTATTTCCTGAAACCATGCACCCCCCTCTACTCAACTCACAATGGTACAGTCTTACTTCCACTACTATAAAGACTGTTATCACTTCCTGTTTGGCAGTTAGACCCATTACCAACAGTTAACATGGATGGGCGTGCATGCAACAAACATTTGCTTGATGGCAGTTGTATATAAGTTATATCATATAACTGATAACAGAATTTAGATTGAATCTGGTCATCAATGAATTTATTTATTTCACTCACAATGTAAATGACGACAGTTTGCCTTCTGAAATGTATAATTTATTTATAATAAAGTTGTATTTTTTTCGGACAGTTGGTGGTGAAGGTGCTGATGAATGATGGCAGCGCAAAGACTCTGATGGTGGACGAGAGGCAGACTGTTAGAGAAGTTCTGGACAACATGTTCGAGAAGACTCACTGTGACTGCAACGTGGACTGGAGCCTGTGTGAGACCAACCCGGAGCTACAACTTGGTGAGTTACTGCAATATAGCATCCAGTTTACTGTACTTATGGTTGATGCTACACAGACTGAAATGTGAAAGATGTTACACATGTTAAAATATGAATAAAGAATTTAATTGTGTAGCTAGTTTCTCTCTCTTAGCTGTAGCACTTAAAACTCATATTTCAATTCATCCTGGTTGATCTGTAAAAATGTCATGTGACATCCAGAAAGAGAAAATACTGGTGGTGATGCTGCTTTGTTGACAAGTGATTTCTGGTACATTTAGTCCAGAAACACCACAGCATAGCAGTGAGCTTGGCAGCAAATACTGTATATCATCAGACCCAGAAACAACACAGCAGTGATCATATAGATAGACTTTGACATAAATACCTTTAGTGTGTTTTTATATGAATTGTCAACTAAACACACACAACGTGCAGGGAGGAGAGATATTTCATTCGGGTCCAGATGATGAACTCTATTTTTATTGGCGCGATGGCAGCCGTACTGCAGCGGCCTCACAATGAAACATTGATCTCACTCCCATCCGTCTCTCTCTCTCCCTCCCCCTCTCTTTCCTATACTCTCTCTCTCCCTCCCTCTCTGCCACATTCAGTGTAGACAGGTGGGTTTAATTTGCTGTATCGGACACTGTCAGTCACCCTCTGTCATATGGAAATAGAAGCCTTATGATCTCAATCCTCCGTCTGAGCTATATTTACTTCAGACGCCTCATCACCGTCTGTTTTCTTGGTTTTATAACATTTTTATCGGATTGTTACGGAGATCATTCATATTTTCTAAAGAACCAATCAAATCGTGAACGGAGAGTCATTTCACGCCTGTTTTAATGAGGCACAGGCGGTAGAGTCGTTAACCTCTGTCAGCAATTAACTGTAGTCAATATTGTTTTGCTTTAGAATTATATTCAAGTAATTTTATATGCAGCTAGTTAAACTGTGAAACTCTAAATTGAAGGATAAGCCTGGATTTATTATTCCATACTCTCAACAAGTTCTTCTTCCAGTAATTATAAAAGCACAAACTTCAAGCTGACTTATTTCTGACTTATTTTGCATAGGGTTGTAATGCTGTGTGTCCCACTGGGCTCTTAAACACCTGATAGGTGCCTTTAACATCAACAACAAGTACAATCAGTACTGTAGATACCTGACTCTTTTACTTCTGGATATTTTAAATGCTTCTGTTTTTCAGAAAGACGTGATAAACTGCCACCCCACAATAAATGAGGAAATGCGTGTTTCCCTTTGGTCAACAGTTTATTTTTAACAAAATGGTAGCTCGTGTTTAAATTAGCTGTCTGACACACTGATTTATTTACAGCATGTCGCCCATGCAAAACTTTAGCTTACTTGACTTGTAATCACGGGGGAGTGCAGGTCTTTGTGTCATCTCTGACTATCCACAGTGTCGGCGTCATGACGGCTTGACATTTGAGTCGGTTTGTTTTTTAAATGCCTCTGAATTTCCCCAGAGTGTGTTGCTTTCCAACGGCACTCGCAGACCTTTAATCGTTACCAACAGAAAGCTCCGGCAAGTCATGCCGTATAAACAGCCACAAAGCTCATCTTCAAACAAATCTTCACCCATGTGCTCCCCATGCACACTATCCGATCGCACCGTGTGATTTATGCAGTTCAAAGGGATTTTTACTGGGAATAGCTCACCGTAGCTGCAAAGTCACACCATCCATTTAATGATTGTAATAGTCAAACTGTAGACTGGAACCCTGGCAGCAATTTATGTAATGCCTACCTCTGCCTGGGCTGCTAACCTGTAATTGGAGACCACGGCTAAACTACAGTCAAATGCCTGGTGCATTCTGGAGATGTATAGCACCGAGTGTGTGGGTGGGCAGTGAGCAGGAGGAGGAGGAGGAAAGGGCCCTTAATGTGTTTTCGAGGTTTAGTGCCATTTAAAGTCCCTCCAGCAAAATGGGGAGGCTTGTGTTTTATTGAGCCCTTCCTTAATTCATCCCATTTGAAACAGACAATTGTACAGCTGTGGGATTGACTTTGAACCAGCTGATTTAAGGGTTTCATTACAGAACGAACTACTGTACATATGGGGAAGCATTTGTTTTGAAATGTTGTATAGAAAGCTAAAAAACAGAGAGGACATGGAGAATATTATGAGATTAAAGGCTGTTACAGATTCTGCTTTTCTCGGTGTGAAAGAGTAAACTAGAAATGTCTCCAGAGTATTGCCATTGGTCTTTGAATGTGCTGAGAAACTATTTTTGATGGCTGTGTTTACTGCAGGGGTGGGAAGTCAGGAAGTATAATTATTAAAGTAAATGATGCATCACAACCACCCACATCTATATATAGTCGTTTCAGCTTCAATACTAAAATGCAGCAGAAAGTGTGCAACTCTGTACTTTTACTCCAGAAAGACTTTTGGCTTAAACACACAAGAGGCCCCTTTTCCTACCTACAGTAGCAGCTGTACTATGCATTTCAGAAATGAACAAAGAGATAGCAGACTTAAAGATTCAGGTATGAGGGGAGGGGGGGGGGGGGGGAATAGCAAAATCCCCCCTTCATTATGCTTTTGGCCTGTGCCTGTGAGGCCCATTCTGTAATTCATCCATGACTTGTTATGGAGTAGTTTTACCTTGTAATACTATACGTCAAATTTTTAAATTTATAATTGAACCATCCAAAATAAGACGCATGGACTATTGATTGCACTTATGTTTACCAGTTTGTCTCATTTTTACTGCAAATCAAAACGTATCCCATTAGAGTAATTTCAAAGATGCTATATTCACATGAAAAACACACGCATAATGACTCTAGCTTGATCATCTAAATGCTACCGCTACCAATTTTCTGATGTCCAAGTTTGATTTTCCTTTGACAGAACGGGCGTTTGAAGACCATGAGAACCTGGTGGAGCCTCTCTTGGCGTGGACCAGGGACAGCGAGAACCAAGTCCTCTTTCAGGAGCGGGGGGAGAAATACGAGGTTTTCAAAAATCCACAGGTTAGTCCCCTCATTTGTATGCACCTCTTGAATACCATCTCTAAGCATATACTGAGTGATCGGAAAAGTCCAACACTGGCCAGTTCATGTATACTTGGCCTTGGTTTGTGCACATCCATCTCCACGTTGTTGCAGCTCAGAGCCATCTGGCTGTTTTCACTGTTGAAGCATTGTCTGAATTATGAGATGTCTTTCCTCCATGCAGGATGACCTCTTACATTTATGTCCTCACTGTAATATATCAGACAAAACGGCCTCAGGCAAAAGACTGTGATATCTTGGCATGTTTGTTGATATAATGGGGACCCTTTATAAACCCAGCGTATTTAATGGATTCAGTCTGTTGGCAGAGACAAATAGTCGAGTTGGAAAACTGGTGAGATATTCTCCTTTTTAAGTACTCCATCATGTCTTCCACATCCCCCCAACAAAAGCCTGATCTGCTTCATGCAGTATGTCCCCTTCAATATACAGTTTCTACTTTTGACAAGAGCTACCAAAATAGAATTCCCCTCTTGGCTTTCTCTCACTGGCCCAGACTATGATATCAAATCAAGCTAGCCCAGTCACACGGGGACAAATCTGCCTGATGATGTCTTTTTCTGCTCGGTGACGGTTTGTTCTGATATTTAACACACTTATATTTGATTTCCTTTTTCTAGAAAAAGAAAGAGAACTTGAAGATGTAGTTTTATTTTTGACCAGATAGAAAAAAACACTTCTGAAGTTGCATTTAGATCAAATTTATTCAGAAAAATCTGGATAATGATCCATATTTGAGGAAGCAGACATTTGATAAACAAGTGTAGCTTTGAGCTAAATGCTAATGTGTACACGCTACAATATTCAAAATGACAACATCCTGATGTTTAGCAGATTCACTATCTCGTTTGTCGTGTTAGCATGCTAACATTAGGGCTTAACATGAAGTACAGTGGAGAGTAATTAGTATTGCAGGTCATAAACCAAAGTATTGGACAAACTAATGTCTAAAATGTTCAAACTTTCATGGCGATCCATCTCATAGCTGCTGAGACATTTTACTAGAAACCTCTGGTGGCGCAAGAGAAAAAGTCAGGAGATTTGTTGATGCGCTTTGTGTTTTATTCCTGCAGAACTTTTATCTATGGAAGAAGGATAAGAGAGCCCTGAAAGATATAAAAGACAAAGACAAGGAGTTATTAATACAGGTAAACAAACTCGTGCACACAAACCACAAGTGAAATGTTTTTAAGGTGACACTTCCACATTGCAGTGACCCCTTTCATCCCTCTTCACCTCTGCAGGAGAACTTCTGCGGGACTTCCATTATCGTGCCGGATCTGGAGGGGGTGATGCACCTCAAAGAAGACGGCAAGAAGTCCTGGAAAATGAGACTCTTCCAGCTGAGGGCCTCGGGAATTTATTACGTGCCCAAAGGGAAAACCAAGGTAAAGGGGTGAAAAAGGGGACAGACCATAAACACACAACAGCTAACGCTCTAATCCAGGACACTTTCAGCTGGGCTCAAGCATGTGGGGAAAGATGAAAGCCCAGCAGATATAGAGATGTTTGAAATGTCAGCTGAAACTTTAGGGATTACACGGTTGATTTGTAAAATGTGTCACTGGGACTACATAGTCCTAGTGTGTAGTCTTTCTGCTTTATCAGCCACATGCATCTCTCATGCATTGCACTTGAAGTGTAGATTATCAATTTAAAAGGAGGGAAAAGGAAAATGTAATTACAATACAGATTTATTTGTAATATAATCCCTTATTTCTCTTTCAGTCGTCCCGGGACCTCGTCTGTTTTGTCCAGTTTGACAACCTGAACGTCTACTACGGCAAAGACTTTAAGAACAAATACAAAGCCCCGACCGACTTCTGCTTTTTTCTGAAGGTAAATTTGCTTTAAATGTGTTGTGTTTTTAATCTAGTTTGCCTCAAAGCCACACACCCTTTCACTGCGAACAAATAAACAGAGAGGCTGCAACTTCCCCTAACTGAAGAACACATTTACAGTAAGACTCTTGAGTGCCTTCTCATTGTTGCTGTTTTGTTCTTTTTCATCACACCGTATATCGCGTTGTGCGAGAGGTGTCAATGCAGAGTTGATTATTGCGTGGTGGGTCCCCGAGTGTATGGTGCAGCCAGACAGCTGCTTATTTAACTGGAACTGTGAAATGCAAGAAATACTTTAAATTGAAGAAGTGAAAGTTGACAGTTTTACCAAATTAAGCTGAAAGTGGTGAGAAAAAAAAGACGAATTTTTAAGTAGTTCCTATAATTTCTTTAAATGACCATAAAAGCCCCATGTCTTTGAGAGAGTACTATCAAACTGAGATGGGAGGTACCTATAGAACTCATTTAAGACTAAAATATGCTGACTGACATGAAAAAAAACAAGAATGAGATGAGTTGGTGGTGCGTCTTAAAGGGATGTGAAAGTCCTCTTTCTTTCTTTTCCCCTATCTTCTCTGTGAACTACTAGAATCAGCAGATAGGCTACAGTAGTTGTTCAAAGCAAAAAGAGCTTAGAGAGGCAATGAAACTGAATTAGCTCCCAGTGAAAGACGGAGTCCTCAAGGTTTGAGCTGAAGGTGCTGATGGCCAAGGGCAAAGGAAAAAGGACCCGTCAAGGCTAGCCAGGTTTCACATGGAATGTTTAGGCACTGCACAGTAAAACGTATTAAAAGCTTCCTCGGCCGTGGTCGACGGTGATGAAGATGACACAATAATGGCTGAAGCTGTTTTTTCGGCTGCCGAAGTGTTCAATTAGGGTGTGTTTTGACAGATTGGTGGGGTGGTGTTTACGGGCTGCCAAGAATTGCCACAATTCAAGGATGAGAGCAAAACAATTTAGCTTTTATCATTTAGCTGTTTTATATTCAGAGGAGCTGCCTGAAGTGATCTCTGATACCGTCCCCATTATGTAGAAAGTCAAAATCCTCTTCAGGGGAAAACAGTTAACTCTAATATTAATGTGAAACCCACACAATGTGCACTTTAAAGCAAATATTTGGTGTACACGTACAGGCATAAATCCAATGGTTAAGACTAAGACTATTTGAGCAACAAACATCTCACATTTCCTAAATTAAACTGGATTACAGGATGGACTCAATGGTACACACATTCTAACTTTGTTCATGTTCAGAAATGCTGACTGGACTATTCCAAACAGGAATTGAAAATACAGCATCCATTTAACTGGAGTTGCCGGTTGACACTCTGATTCTAGACTCACTCTGCCCCCTCGTGGTTCCCTTAAAGAGGAACTCCACTGATTTTGCAGGTTTTGGAAATGTTGAAGGATGCATGGTTTGAATTAAGAGTTCTTGTTCTGCCGTATTGATTGTGATCCTTTATCTGGAAGAATGGTATTGAAATGCAATGCTGAATCATTCAATCGATGAGTTAGTTAAGTCTCTCAGAGTCGAGGGATGTTGTGTCAGTAAATGTACCAATGAAATACAGTAGTGTTCAGACAACAGCTAGAAAGAAGACTTGAGGCTAACGCTTGTGTGTTTTGGTCTTTCGCTGCCCAAGGAAATATCTTATTGCACATTTAATGTGAGCAATACTGTTCGTGTAATTAAATGTTACCTTAACTTCTCTCAAAAAATCTTAAAAATCTACTGTTAACAAAGTATGTTCTTTACGAACCTTTTTGGATTTGTTACAGCATCCTCAGATCCAAAAAGAGTCTCAGTACATCAAGTACCTCTGCTGCGATGATGCTTGCGCCATGAACCTTTGGGTAACAGGAATACGGATTGCAAAGGTAAATTTCCCCACATCTGTATTAAAAAATTCTCCATTTGAACAGAACTCATGCTCTCGTGTGATGCGTTTCTTGCACTTCCAGTACGGTGCGTCGCTGTATGAAAACTTTAAAACCGCAGAGAAGAAGGCTGCTGTCAGCTCTGTGTGGACGAACCGAAGCACTCCATCGAGCTCCAATCCGTCAACGCCCTCACCCACCATCAAAGGTAGCACGACACACGAGCTGCCCTCACTGATGCGAAACAAGCCACATGTAGTGATATTAGTTCAAACCTCATGGTGTTTATTTTTCTCTGCCAGCCAAATCACCAAACCAGGCCAATGGACATGCTCAGGAGCCCCAACCAGGACCTGTTTCTACGGTACAGAACTCTTCTTTAGGGGATCATGATCAATTTATCTGTTGATTATTATTGTTTAGTCTATAAAATGTCCAAAAAGTCATAGTATAGCATGTCAAAAGAAATCCTTAAGAAGTCATAGTATAATATGACATAAAAAGGTACATGTTGAATCATTATGATATATTCTGTCTTCTCAGGACTTCGGACATGTCCCTCCTCCACCTCCACCATTGGCAGACATCCTTCCCCCACCACCTCCGGACCCATTCCTCCCTCCTCCGCCACCTCCTTTGGCTGCCAAGAGTTCTTTAAAACCTGCCCTCCCTCATCGACACCTGCCAACCAACTTCCCTCCGCCTCCACCTGCAATGGACAACCTCTCTCCTCCACCACCACCATCCAAAGACGATGCTCCGCCAGACTTCCTTCCACCCCCTCCTCCGGCTGCTGGCTTTGGTTCACCGTTTCCTCCTCCGCCACCGTTGACCTCCCTACCACTACCGCCACCCCCAGTGAGTTTCAGAGGTGTGGACCAGTCTCTGCCTCCTCCACCACTAGATCCAGGGTTTTTACCTCCGCCTCCACCAATGTTCACAGGGGCTGGAGCACCCCCTCCGCCACCTCCTCCAACTGCTGCTGCCCCAAAACCAGCGCTACGGCCTTCTGGCTCGGTGAAGAAGATGCCTCCGGTTCCGCCAAAGAGAACTACACCATCTATGCATGGAGGTGGAGGTGGAGGTGGAGGTGGAGACTTTATGTCAGAACTGGCGCTGGCCATGAACAAGAAGCGTGGTCTTCATTAGCCTGAGTCTAAAAATAGCTTGAATCCACCACTCTTTACATCCATAACGATGCTGAACATCTCCAAAATGAAGCCAGTGGAGATCAATACAGATTCCATCTCTTCCAGAGAACAGATGGCCATCCATCCATTTGTATGGATATGTATGATACCAAGACATAATCTTGCATGAATTAAGTGAAAGTGTAATTATTTTCAAGACCAAAACAGTTTATTTTGTACACTGTTTGTAACGTTGCTGAAGAGAAAACATGAAAAGTATAATGTGGTCATCATGGTTCAAAGAGACATTTTCATAGAATTGTACATATTGACATGTTTGCATGGAATGCTGTAAATACTATAAACACAATCCCCATATACAGAGCACACGATGAGTTTTCAAATGACTAACAAGCTAAATAAAACCTGGCAGAAGACATGCGTAAATATCTTTTTTTTTATTGGGTTTTCTTGTACAACTTGCTGAAATCTGAGAAGTGAAGGCTCTGGTGTGTGCATAAAGTATATGAATAGGGTGAATAGTCATACTGTATGTGAAACTAGGTCTTAAAACAAACGGTACACCCTCTGCTGTAGCATCTTTGAATATATTTAGGCGTCAATATGGCATTAAAAAATGTTAATTCCTCTGTTGCACTCTTTTTTGTTGGTCACTGTATCAACATATGGTGGGTGATTTTAGTAGAAGAAAACATTTAACAGCCATGACTTTGACATTTTGGACCACTTTTTTCCACCAGCATGAAACAGTTTACTAAAATATAACAAAGGCTCAGGTATGCTGTAATCTTCTTCACTAGTGTCTTTTTCTCTATCCAAGAATCTCTCAGGAGGAACAGCTGACCTTTAACCTCTTAGCCCAAAAGGGAGGTCTTGAGGCATAGCCCGCCTCCTCTGCGGTCTCTTGTGTAACAAAGGGGAACGACAGAATATGGTGAAGCAGCTCCACCTAGTGAGGGAAAAATAAAATCAGAACAATTTGTAACAGAAAAGTAGTGGGCACTGCTTTGATTTTGGAGAGTACTGAAAAATAACTTAAAATTCATAGTATGTCGAAAAAAGTCATAGTACAGGATGTCGGAAAAAAGCAATAAAAAGTCATAGTACAGTATGTCGGAAAAAGTCATAGTATAGCGTGTCAAAAAAAAAGTATAGTATGTCAAAAAAAGTGTTCGAAAAAAAGTTAGGTCGAAAAAAAATGTTGGCATGTCGAAAAAGAATAATTTTATGTCGAAAAAAATCTTAGTTTTTCATAAAAAAGCCTTCATATATTACGTCAAAAGTTATAAAGATAGATAGATAGAAAGATAAAAAGTCATAGTATAGTATGTCATAAAAAAGTCATGGTAAAGTATGGTATAAAAAAGTTATAGTATGGTAAGTCATAAAAGGTAAAAGACAGAAATGTCCTAAAAAATGCGGTTGAAAAAAGTCATAGATATCATATACACACCTCAGAAAAATCATTTATCTCAGCTTTACTGATAGCAGACTCCGCCATCCAGTTCCTCAGCACATATCTGGGATTTACATCTGCAAGACATATTTCACAATCAGACAAACTTGTTCCTCGTATAGAAACGCCACACTTCAAATAATTACATATTACACATTCAAATCAACACTAATATGTACATTTAGTGGCTTACTTCTCATCCTCTGCTGACGATCCAAATCACTATCGGTTTGTTGTCTGAACAGAGAAAACAAACTTTTAAATCCACTTAGATAAAATTAAAACATGACACCAAATAGAAATGAGAGCATCGCAAATACTGAAAAAACAACAACCGTGTGAACATTTCAGAAAAACTTGTGATACCAAACTAAGTAGAGGAAGGTCTGGCATTACTCTACATCTTTGTGCTTACCGGATGAGCCGGAGCTGGTACACGCTGAGCCAATCAGAAAAGAGCTTGTGGGACGACAAGTCTTCAAGAGCCCACAACTAATACAAAACAAAACAAGATGACAAAGGATGTCAGATACAGATATTAAAGAGGCCACCAACTCCTAAACTAGATCTAGCAGCTGCTTCAGCTCTACCTGTGTGAAGTCCCTGTCGTGAAGCTGCTGGGCTGAAACTTCACTGAGCTGCCTGAAGGTCATGGTGAAGTCTGATTGTGTGTCCTCCATCATCTGACGAAACAATCACAAGATTAGGAGTAAAAATAATGTTTGCAGATGAACAATGTAGATATGTTATTACAGTAACAATGCAATGACTTGCCTTAAGCAGGAAGGCAATGAGGTAACCATCATCCTCCTCTTCCTCCAGAAGCCCCAGTTTAGCTTTAAATAGCTGATGAATCCTGAAACGCATGCATGAACACAGCTCGGAATAATATACTATCACTGTCACTGCTTGGATATAGAATTAGGGACAATATAAAAGGACAACTCATCATTTCACAGGGACCTTACCTCTTATGGTAAATATCAACATATCCATTTAAAATATGTTTTGCCCTAAAAAAAAAAAAAAGATTAGGACGACAAGTTAGTCCAAAATTATTCCGTCAAAGAAAACAGTTTGACAAGGTGCTGACCACCATTACTGGGTCCTCATTCCAGGTTAGTAAAGTTCAAAAGGTCTTGTATTTTTTTTACTAAATATCACTTAAAGTTCCCTTGATATAAGCAGCTATCGTGGTGTTCTTACTTGCTCTCCTGCTGTTTAGAAAGCACCGGACTGAGAGCCATCAAGAGCTTCTGGAGGTTAAACAGCCCCACGTCGGCCTGAGCTCCGATGCTGTATCTGCCCTCATCGTCAGAAGTGTTGGGGACAAAATCTGCAAAAATTAAACATGTGTTTGACGTTTGACAAGAACGGGGCATTCTTTTATTGTTAAAGAAACGCAGACGTGCGTCGTCGTACACACTGGGGCTATACGACTCCATGAAGCCGAAAGGTCCGTAATCGATGGTGATGGACAGGAGGCTGAAGTTGTCCGTATTGCACACACCTGTTGTGATGAGACGTAAAATGATAAATGAATGTGATGAAACATATATATGTATAAGCAGATGTTGATACAAACTGTATGGTAAAACGATCAGCCACAACAGGTTCTCACCGTGTGCAAACCCAATCGACATCCACTGGGCAATCAGATGTGCTGTTTCATTTACAACTGTGGAATAAAACACCTAGAAAAATGGAAATGCAACCAAATGCAAAACATTAAACTAGGAAGTTCCATAAAAAACTAATAATACACAGCATGCAGAAACACAACAAAAGTTAAGTCCTGTAATCAACGACAGGACACCTCGGTTTATCATTTTATAAACTAAATTAATAAAACCTTGTATTCAGTTGGCAAAAAAACATATTTCTGTTTTATTTTACTTACCAAATATTTATCTGGGTCATTGGAACTGATGAAAGGAAAATGTTCGTCAATCACAAAGATCAACAGCTTCCTAAAATCAACAGAACAATAAGCTGCAGTATACTTTATGCAACAGGAGGCCACAGAATGAGAAAGCCTGAGAGATAACGTGAACATAATCACCTCAGGAGATCAATCTCTCCACTTTGAGACAAAATCTCTAAAGATCCGATCCGAAACCATGACCTGGCTAACCTGAGAACAGCAGCTCCTGAAAACATTAAAAGAAACATACAGTGAAACATACAGTGTGATGAACCAGTAAACTGAACTAAAAATAGTTCAACTCTATGTTTGCATGAATCACTGCACCTCTCTCTGTCTTCACGTTGCCGTCGTAGAATTGATCCCTCGTCACCGGCTCGTCACTTACAATCAGACTGAAACAAAGCAAATCATCACATCAGTAACATTCATATTTCCTCCATAACATTTCACACTGCTGCCTTTCATCCATCACCTGGCAGCCCTGCTGGTCGGAGCACCCAGGAAATGCATGGCTTCGCTGCACAGGAACTCCCGTACAGAGGATCGGATCACAGCTCGACCGTCTCCCGACCTGGATCACACATTATCAAATTCATATCTGGCATTTCAGACAGATTAAAGATAGTTGCCTCTTGCTGCCATTTAGTATCACTAGTGTTGGCAAATGTGAAAAAGTGAAACAAGGAAACAAGGAAGGAGAGAGTGATCTCGATCGCATCCTAATGTGGACATTTAAGACACATATTAATACCAGGTGTAAATGTAATCAGGTTAAATCATATAAATACAATCTGATTACGGGACACATTTTAACTCAAGGTGTAAAGGGAGTCCAACATACCTTGAATAAGGGGTTTTCCCAGAGCCTTTAAGCTGCAGTTCCCACACTTCTCCTTTCCTGTGGCACATTTTATAATGAATATAGGTTTAATGTTTGAACTGTGATGCACCTTGAATATACAGTTCTTTGAATACAAGAGGAAACCTAATTTATTTTCACCTGTTGGTATATTGACCAAGGTAATGTGCTCGACCATCACCCAGCTGACCTGCCCAGTAGCCAAACTGATGATGAAATAGTTTATTCATTAATACATTTCACAGTCATCGCCTGTGATAAGATCTAGTCTCAGATGTACACAGATATTATCTTACAGAAGATTTACAGAGACCTCCAAGTTTCCTTGATGTTGCTAATACACTTGTTTTTGGTATATTTATTCCTGAGTTGATGACTGACTATGCATGCCAGGAAAACAAATGAACCATTACCTGATAGCCTCCATATCTGTGAGCAAGTGGAATTGACCCTGGTGGCAGTCTGCCACCGCTGGCATAATGCAGGAAATCATCCGACTGTGTTACAGCCACATCTAAGTCTAAAATACCCTCGATGACCTCCTGTCGAGACAAACGCAGATATGATGAAGTCTTCACATTTCACTGTAAAGACTCTGTGATGCTGCTGGTGGTGTTGTAACATCACCTTAGAAGCTGCTGCCAGTCTCAGCGGGCCTTTCAGTGGTGTTGGAATGGATTTGGAGAATATACAGTTCTTTACAGAGCGAGCAAAATTACCATCAACTACATCGATTGGGAACGCTTCTGCAGAGAGTACAGAAATGATTGAATCACGACATTATCAATGTCAGTAACTGGGTAACACATTTTGTATTGACCTAAAAAAAAAAAGACACGCAAATCACTTCTGTACCCATTAGCTTCTTGCAAGACACTCTGAACCGGTCCAGGTCCTGTATGAGGTTTGAGACGCTAATGTTCCACCTGGATTTGAAAGTGTTTGGGGACAGCTGGCTGTTTGATGCCGTGTTATCGTGACTAAGGCAGTCACGGTCAGTGCAGAACTCCAGAACATGTACAGGTGTGAAGCTGGATGCTGCTACCAGAGCAAAGACTAACACTTTAAAGGGGCTCCACATGTTGCAGACACAGCAACTGCCTCAAAGCTACTGGACTGTAAGCACTGATGTAGTGATAGATCTGAAAATGGGTAAATTAGGATTTCCAGCTGGTAGTCATAATGCACACAGCAATGGGGGGAAGAAGTACTCTGATGCTGTGAAAGTATTAATATCAGTGTAAAATACTCTGTCCTGCATTCAAAACACTCCTTAAGTTAGAAGACCCTAAATTAAGGAAACGTTTATCAGTTTTAAAGTAATAACTAAAAAAATAACGACTAAGACTCAACCTTGAATGTGTTTTTAACAGCAGTGTGTGAACAAAAAGGTCAGTTTATTCGGCATTTACACTTTACCCAGATTATAGTTTAATAAACTGTTTTGAAAACCCCAGTAAAATTAGTCAGCTAGAGCAAGCTAGGGCTAGCTAGAGCAAGCTAGGGCTAGCTAAGGCTAGCTAGAGCAAGCCAGGGCTAGCTAGAGCTACAGCTACTAACGTTAGCCCCTAATAGTACACTACACTTTTCCGTGCTATTTCCCCAGAGACCTGTAAGAAGACGTATTTGATATCTTCGGTTTAAAGCGAAACAACCGTTGCTTACATCTACCGCTGCATTTCTGATTACAAATAAGTAACCTTAGAGGAATTAATTAATGTTTGTCTCAAACTCCCATATATGGCTAGCTAGCAGTAACCTAATTCCTAGTCCGTGACCCACGTCACCAACCGTTACGGACTTCCGGTTCCGGTGACGCAACTATATAACCTGCCGTCTGACGCCCAGACGCTCCGGGAACATGGCGTGCCCGTGGCTGAGGCAGTGCCGGAGGTGGAGTACGAACTGTACGAGCAGGAGTCTGTTAGAAACCTTGAGGCACTTTAACGGCCGGTCCGTGCCCACGTTCTCCACCGCCTGTCTCCGGCGGACATCATGGAGCTCCAGGCCGGGGAGCGAGGTGAGTTGGCCGGCTGAGAATCCAGGAAGGTCACCGCGGAGCTGTCAGTTAGAAAAATGAATGGTAGTCATTTTCTAGCTAACCGGCGTATGAACGTTACTTCACTGACTTTTTACGCAATGCAACATCAACGATTCGAGCCATTTTTTTCTTTCCTTTCGCAAGAGTGTCTCGTGTTTTGTAAGAATGTCCTAAATGAATGTGGACTTGTTGACTTCTGGGTATGTTGTTGGCATGTGCAGAACTTCCTCAGCACCCACAAAGGTCAAGACCTGCGTCTAATGTTGCACAGACATTAATCTACTGCTGTCCTTTACTTTGATAGTTGTCTACTTTTAAATCGAACCGACGTCAACGTCCATCTAGATGTTTTATGTGATTTATTTATGACCCACGTTACTTAACACTTGACTTTTATAAAGACATTGCATGTTGTTAGTCTATCTGTTTACAGTTTCAGTACCTTTGTTCTGCTTGTTGTTGTTTTAAGCTCCATGTCCATTTCTATCCTCATCCTAAGTACATTGAGATGTATTTGTACACATATTTAGCCAGTACAGCTTTGATTTCCAACAATAACAGTAGAAATGCTAAAAAGAGTAAAAACTACAATATTTCCACCATGAATACACTGTTTGGGGTAAATTGTTCTGTTGACTCTGTTGGCCTTTAAAGTATTTAAATGGTCTAAAAGTCTAAAATCCTTTTTGGTCTCGTGTCCTCTGTTGTTTCAGGGGCAGCTATCGGCTCTACCGACACAGATGCTCCCAAAAACTCTCATCTCCACCACATCTCTACCCAGGTGAGTTATCGTAACCAACAACTATTTACAGCATTTGTGCACATAAATGTGACCGTCACCGCATTTAGCACGTTATACTTTAGCAATTTCGGTTAAACGTCAAGCAATGTAAGATTTATATCACATGAAATTGTTGTAGTACCAAGGATCTACGGTTGTAGGTATAACAATACTATAAATAGTAATTACCTTATTTTCTGTATATATATTTGACAGTTTCTGTTTGTCTTTGTCTCCAGACACACTTCCCAGCTGCTGAATCCAACACTGCAGTCTTGCTGTTGCAGACAGAATGTACACACTGACGTGAAGCTGCAGGACCCGTTTACATTAGCACAGAAAGATTTAACAAATTTATATGATGACATCAGAAAGGTACTTTCTCCAATACAGAGAGTGTTCTTACTATTGTGTCCCTACATGTGAAACGCATGACAAGTGAGTCTTCCAAGATATTGGTTATAAATGAGCAGAAGACATGATGTGTTTGGCAAAGTTTATCTCCGACACCAGTAGATTTGAAATTAAATGCATGCATTTTATTCCTCTGCCTCACAGGAGCTATTTGTATCCAGAGATGAGCTGAAGTCGCTATGTGACTACTACTTCGATGGGAAGGGCAAAGCCATACGACCGATGATTGTTGTCCTAATGGCCCGGGCGCTCAACGCTCACAGCAACGGATCCGGGTAAGATGTGGATCCCTCCAGACCTTCAATGTATTATGTTTTTACTGTTAACCCCAGGATGCACCACACCCTGTCATAAAGCACAGTCCAGGTTTTTATTTCCTCTGTGTCCTCTGTAGAGATTTGCTCCCGGGGCAGAGGACCATAGCTATGATTGCAGAAATGATCCACACTGCCAGCTTGGTGCACGACGACGTCATCGACGGATCAGATAGACGACGGGGAAAGAGAACCATCAATGAGGTGTGGGGGGAAAAAAAGGTAAGAAGTTAGATATGCTTAAAAACCTTTTATTTTTCTCTGTACCGCTTCATTTTAAGGATATAAACATCATTTATTTTTTTCTCCTCCAGGCCATCTTAGCTGGAGATTTCATCCTTTCAACTGCCTCCATGGCCATGGCTCGTATTGGGGACAACACAGTTGTAAAAGTGATGTCACAGGTGATGGAGGATCTGGTGCGAGGTACAGAAATCACATTGTTCGTGCCACCTCAGTCAGTAATAAAGCTGTACTTGGTAGTTTTTTTTTAAAGCACATTGGAAGCAGTTTAAATAAAGTCAGTTTTATAGCATTAAAAACTATGATGAGAACTACCTAAAATGACAGAAACCATCTGTGGAAGAAATGTATTCCAGATGTAAATTGATTTTTTTATTTAGTTTGGTTTATGTCCCATCTGCTAACATGGAAGGAGTAGAGCTTATGTTCTACATTACTGCAGCCAGCCACCAGAGGGCGATCTAGATGTTTTGGCTTCACTTTTGGGGAGCCGGCAACGCCCCCATCTTTAAATGCAGCTTAGGGTCACAACCCAAAGTCTGCTTGTACAGTGCGTCCAATACCAAACTCCCTAATCTCTAAACTCTGTGCTTCCAGGTGAATTCATGCAGCTGGGCTCCAAGGAGCACGAGAACGAGAGATTCAAACACTACCTGGAGAAAACCTTCAAGAAGACGGCGAGTCTTATTGCAAACAGCTGTAAAGCAGTATGTACGTTCTGTTTCACACAAATATCACGGCGCAGAAGAAGAGGCTCGGTTTCTACTCAAATGTTTTTTGGCTCTTCTGTGTCATCCAAGGTGTGCGTTCAGGTAACTACTGATCCGAAAGTTCATGAAATAGCCTACAAGTATGGGGAGAATGTTGGCATTGCATTTCAGGTAATTTCTATAGTTTCTGCTTTTAATCTTTTTATTTTACTCCTTACAAGCTAAAACATAAGAAACCCCTCTACTGGAAGGATAGCTCATCCATTCAGGACATAATTCTGTTGAAATGAACTGTCTATGATTCTATGGGTTAATTGTTCTGACTTGTAGCTGGTGGATGATGTCCTGGACTTCACATCAGGAGCCAGCCACCTGGGGAAGCCCTCGGCTGCAGATCTCAAACTGGGCTTGGCCACCGGGCCGGTCCTGTTCGCTTGTCAACAGGTGAGTGTGTTGGTCATACGTGTGTCGTAGAAACTGTACATTTAAATGAAGCTACTGGAACACACACACCACGTATCACTGTCTACTGTCAGACTTTACGTCAATTTCTTTCTGCCTTTCTAGTTCCCGGAGCTCCATGCGTTGATCATGAGACGCTTCAGCTCTAAAGGAGACATAGATCAAGCCTGGCAGTACGTCCTGCAGGTATGACCAGCAACACACTGTACATTAAATGCTTCCAGGTGCAAGTTTCTACCTAAACTAGACGTTTAAAAACATCTGCTTCCTGCATCACACTTTAAATGGGGTAGATGAATATAAAAAATGGTTTGATTTGTATTAAGTAAACATTGTGTGACCAAAACCTTAGCCAAGCTTTCAGTTGGTGATGGAGGCTTTTAACTTGTAGTTATTTGTACTTTGCAGGTAAAGAACATTCAAACAATATTTCTTCTTCCGTTTTTAGAGCGACGGCGTGGAACAGACCAAATACTTGGCCGAGCGCTACTGTCAAGAAGCCATCAGGCAGATCAGTAAGCTCCGGCCGTCGGCAGAGAGAGATGCCCTCATCAGGCTCACTGAGATGGTGCTCACCAGAGACAAGTGAACCTCCAGGAAGCACTTCAGGCAGCTGGCTGTGGAAAAACTAAAAAAAGACTCACCCTGAACTCTCAAACATTTAAAAACCACGGGAGATTGGTTCGGAAGGACCACTGGTGCTTGTTTGCTGCATACCATAAATATATATAAATACTTTGTTTTAGTGCAAATCCGTTGATTCAGATTTCCTCAATGGCAACAACGGTGATAATTTGGAAAAAGGAAATATCATGAACTTAAATTGATGGACACCACTGAAAACTGCAATCCAACTCCTCCCTTCATTCAGTACTGTGATCGTCTCGTGTGTGATCGTCTCATGCTTGAAATTAGCAGACTTCTGACTGAGTTTGTTACATGCTAGTGTTGAGCCGTGGCGGCATTGAGAAATCTGTAAATCCAAAACACACAGATGACCGTATGTCATCGGTTTGTTTGGATCGATGTAAATTTTTATTTTTCAAGATCCGTCCACACCTCAGCGGCCAAACAGTCATGTGTCATTGTGACATGTTATTTAATGCAAAGTGCTCTGTATACACTAAGGCCTTAACATCGTCAAGGACTGATCAATAAACCTGCAATTATGTTTTTTCAATCTGTGCTTTTTTGATTTCCACCAAGTGACCACACCATGCATGTTGTACATAGAATTGTTTATTATAAAAGACTGTACATTACTTTTTCAATCAACATATTATATGTACAAATGAAGGGCAGACAGATTTCAATATTTCGACCCACGAACTTGAGCCGGAAACTGTTTTTCATTTAATTTGAAATTTCTAAAGCAAGCAAGCGGGCAAAATATCAAGGCATAAGCTGCAGTATCCTGAAATGGTAAAAAATAAAAGTTGTCATGTTAGATGGCGCGTTCGAGGGCTGACAGGAACGATGAGTTCTAGACCTGAGTGACAGCTGATGTTGATTTTAAAATATGTACACCTCGGAGGATCTCATGTTCAGAGCATTCAACGTGGTCCTTTGAACCCGGAGCAGGTCTGTGTGAAGGCTGCGGAGGTATTAGTTTATTGGTCTACGTTACATCTGAATTGTCACATGGCAGTGTCGGGCACGCTATCTATCAGAAGCACAGTCACTGATGGATCCCACGGATTTGATGTGGATTAGTATAAAATAACAGTGATGTGACAATCTTTTAAAATGAAATGTGATCTCTTGCCTCAAACGGATGAAAAAGTAAATTCAGTTTCAATTTTTTAAGATTTTAAAGTCCAAATGCAAAGTGGCATTTAGGACGTGCGAGACCATGTGGGGGAGGCTTGAGAATTTACTTCAGAGTCTAAAAAAGTTCAGTGATTTCAACAGTGTAATAAAAATAAAAGCTGAATACATTTACAACATAATGGAAGCATAATGGGGATAAACTTTAGATTACATTATATCTCTTAAAATTTTGCATGCTTTAACACCAAGACTGATTTTCAGGATTAATTGTTTTCTTTGAAATACCATATACAGTACTTTTAATTGGTGAATTATTGACAGGCCATCCTATTTAACGAATGAGGGCGGCGCCACTTCTAATCATATAATCGACATTCACTGAATTCACATTACAGAAACCCCGAGCGGTTGCAGCTCTCGTTATGTACAACGGACAGTAGAAACACTTCAACTGAAGGTGTTTACGTTTTATTTGTTCCATCAAACCTCATGTTCTTGTTCAAAAAAAAAATAAAGGGACTTGGACTCGCTAATCTTTTTTTTTTTTTTTTGGTCCAGGCAAGATGATGTCGTACATCCTTCAGCTGTGTGACCATCGTCTTATGAGTTCAACGCGTGCAGTCCAATTCTTTAGAAATGTTTTGTTTTGTACATATTCCATAAAAGTCCCCCTCCCCCAACCCGCCCATATAACACCAAAAAATAAACTAAATAGATATTACTTTTCATTTTATTTGCAATCGGTAAGGGAAAGAACATTGTCATATCAAAAAAAAGGAGGGGGGGAGGGGATCATACAGTTACATCTATCTCAGGAGTCAAGAATGTCGGCGGTCAGTCTCAGTGGATTACGATACGACTGAATAAATAGACTTTACTGTTTACTCCTCAGTCCACGTAGTGCATGATGGACTCCACGTAGTTGCCAGGGAACAGCCCGGTGACGCCGCCGGACACGCCCTCGAACCAACCGTCGTCGTTCTTCTTGATGACGTAGATGATCGCCCCCTCCATGAAGCTCAGCTCGTCGTCCTTGTCCCTGTTGTAGTCGTAGATGGCCACCACTGAAGAAAAACAACAACCCAGAAGTCAGACGTTTGTTGTTAAGTAGAGACTAGTATCTCTAGCACCCAACGTTTG